CCAGGGTACCCACAATGCAATGCCTTTAATTAAACAGCATCACCCTCAAAACATTCTCAAGAGATTTCATTTTTTCCCATCCCGTTACTACACAAGTGAATTTGAGGAAAGCCTGTTTAAAAACCAGTCATTACTATTGACTTCCTGGTGGTTCTTCTTAATGAGTTCCTCACTGTTCTGGCAGTATGCGGCTACATACGCCCATCTTCATCTCTGGTACCGTGGAAAGGCCTTGTGCCCGACACCAAGTCCTCGGCATCCATGGGCAGACTTTGAGGGGGTATGCACATTTTATTTACATGGCTCCCATGCAAGCTTTGCTCACTGTGACTTTGGCTAAGTCATCCGAACTGTAACAATTTCTCCATTAATAAAGTAGGAGTTGCTACCCTACCACATGAGAATTAAAGATGTGAAAAGAGAGACGAGGCTTGGGGTGTCTGGGTGGCTCAGTCGGTTAAACTTCTGCCTTTGGCTCAGGTCATGATCCCAGGATCCTGGGATCAAGTTCTGAGTCAGGCTCCTTGCTCAGCCGGGGGCCTGCTTCTCCCTCTGCTTCTGCCCCTCCCCTCAGCTTGTGTGCACGTGCTCTCTCTCTCTCAAATAAATAAAATCTTCAAAAAAAAAAAGAGAGAGAGAGAGACAAGTCTTTCTAAAACCAGCACCACTGACTGAATGGCTTCCTGGGCAGAGCCTGACTACTAGTGGTACCCTGAGGACAAGCGGAGGAGGGGGGTGGCTGGTCTTCCCAGTGCCTGTGATGGGAGGAAGTGGTGCCCACATATGTGTTCAGCTGGCACGTGCTGGTTCATTCCCTGAGTGCCTACCATGTGCCAGCCATGGGGCTGAGCACTGAGGATGCAAGGCCCTCCTGCGGCTCAGTCCAGTTGGGGGGGACAGATAATAAACAGCAAACAAGTAAACTGAGAGGCAATACCTGCAGATATTGATAAGTGCTACACAGAAAATAAGACAGGATGCCACAACCATCTTGGAAAACAGTTTGGCAATTTCTTTTTTTTTTAAGAGTTTATTTATTTGACAGAGAGACAGTGAGCACAGACAGGGGGAGTGGGAGAGGGAGAAGCAGCATCCCAGCTGAGCAGGGAACCTGATGCGGGGCTCGATCCCAGGACCCTGGGATCATGACCTAAGCCGAAGGCAGATGCTTAACCCACTGTGTCACTCAGGTGCCCCAGTTTGGCAATTTCTCAAAAAGGTAAATAGATACCTGCTATATGATTCGGTCATTCTGCTCCTAGACATCTACCCAAATAGATGTTCAGTGACTATCACCTGAATGAATGAATGAATGAATGAATGAATCTGTTTTGCATGTCTTTCTATATTGAAGGTACAGAGATAAAACTTGGCTGAGGCAGACATGATAAATTTATTTTTTATTTTTATTTTTTTTAAGATTTTATTCATTTATCTGACAGAGAATGACACAGTGAGAGAAGGAACACAAGCAGGGAGAGTGGGAGAGGGAGAAGCAGGCTTCCCGTGGAGCAGGGAGCCCGATGTGGGGCTCGATCCCAGGACCCTGGGACCATGACCTGAGCCGAAGGCAGACGCTTAACTGACCGAGCCACCCAGGCGCCCTGGGACATGATAGATTTAAACTTGAATTCCAGAAGTGTGCTCACGAAAGCTATCACCCCAAAGCCTTATAGAATATGCTTTGTGGGGGCCCATTTGTCCTCGCACAGTCAGGACTGGGTCATGGCTCCTTTGAGAATAGTCACTTTCCTTTGTTCCTGTGAGCTACCCCCCAACCCCAGCCATCTGGGTCTTGTGCCTCCTCCCCCACGCCTCCCGCCCCAGCCGGTCAGGATGAATGCAGTGTCACTGTGTGAGCCAAGCCGCAGGGACATTCCACAGACCCAGCCTTGTGCTTCCTCCACAATCTGTCTTCCCCTTCTTTGCCTCACTCCATCCTTTGCATCCCAGCCTGGACTACATTTTCCTGAGATGGAGGCGGTGGAGCTGAGGGGCCGAATGTCAAGGTCCCAGAGCCAGACCTCCTCGGTCCCCAGCCCAGTTTCATACCAACCAGTGACTTGGGCAATCCTTCCAACTTCTCTTAACCTCAATCATCTTACTGTAAACAAGGATGAGGATAGTACCTGCACCATGGGGTCACTGTGAGAATTTACTACTGAGAATTGACTACAGACCATTTTTCACATTGTCTGCCACAAATTAAGTACTTAATTAATGTCCGCCTTAATCTAGTACTTGTTTTGCATTTTCTCCTCCTAACGTGATCATGGTCTTATTACACAGTTATAGGCTTGGAAGAAACACCTCTAGGATCTGAGGTGGATGGGGACTGTTTCTTAGAAGAGAACTGATGGAGGCCACTGGGTGGCTCAGTCAGTTGAGCATCTGCCTTTGGCTCAGGTCATGATCCCAGGGCCTTGGGATTGAGCCCCGTGAGGGGATTAAGCCCTGCCTCAGGCTCCCCGTTCAGGGGGCAGCCTGCTTCTCCCTCTCCCTTTGCCACTCCTCCTGCTCCTGGTCTTTTGTGCTCTCTCTCTCTTTGCCAAATATATAAATCTTTAAAAAAGAGAGGGGGGGGGGCGCCTGGGTGGCTCAGTCCGTTAAGCATCTGCCTTCGGCTCAGGTCATGATCCCAGGGTCCTGGGATCGAGCCCCGCATGGGGGTCCCTGCTCAGTGGAGAGCCTGCCTCTCCCTCTCCCTCTGCCCCTCCCCCGTACCCCCATGCGAGCTCTCTCTCTCTCTCACTCTCCCTCTCTCTATCTCAAATGAGTAAGTAAATCTTTTTTAAAAAATAAAAAAGAGAATTGATAAATAATAATATAATGTTATAATATCCACCATTTATTGAGGCATTACTCTCTTCTAGGTATCACATAACCAATAATTAACAATAACCAGGGGTGCCTGGGTGGCTCAGTCGTTAAGCGGCTGCCTTCGGCTCAGGTCATGATCCCAGGGTCTTGGGATCGAGCCCCGCATCAGGCTCCCTGCTCAGCCGGAAGCCTGCTTCTCCCTCTCCCACTCCCCCTGCTTGTGTTCCCTCTCTCGCTGTGTCTCTCTCTGTCAAATAAATAAATAAAATCTTTAAAAAAACAAACAAACAATAACTAATACTTAATGACAACAGTAGCCAATCCTGATTTAGCGCTTACTATCTGCCAGGCCCTGTTCTAAATGCTTTTTGTGTATTAACAAATCCTAACAACCCTTTGAGGAAGATAACTATTATTGTCCTCATCTCACATATGAAAAACCTAAAGCACAGAGAGGCAAAGCAACTTGCCCAAGTTCCACCAGTAAGTGGCAAAGCCAGGATTCAAACGCCTCTTCCCCTGTGTGCTAACTCCGCAAAAACCAAACTAGGTGTAGCCATTTCCCAGCTCAAGATCCCAGTGGCAGGCGTTGGGGTGCTCTGTCCCCTGGGCTGGAGGACTGTATCTCCAAACAGGGCATAATATTAGGCCAGTGGGCCCTGAAGCCCTACAAAGGTCCCCCTTTCTTTGTGTCTGGAGGGAGCACCTGTCTTGATCCGATTTCAGGCCCCTCCCACTCCCCCGTCGCCAATCCCGGGCAGATTCTCAACCGCCCACGTGGTTTCTCCCTCCTGGAGACCAGCAAGCGCTCAGACCAACCCTAAGGGGACCCTTACCCCAAGCGACTCTAATAAAAGCTGATGTTCTCCAACTGAGAATTTTCTCTGGTTATGGGTGAAGAATGGGGTGGGGAGGGGTGGGGTGAGGGTAGTCAACAGCCTAAGAGAGATGCCAGGTAAGAAAGACAGCCCTTTCTTTCCTCAATTCTTCTCATTTACAATTGAGGGGCACACAGTGTTTAGATAAAATCTTTTTGTTCTCTGGTTTTCTTCCTTCTGCAGAGAGGTGTGTGTTTAGGTTTTCTGCTGGTTTTCCGGCTAGATTTTCCTAAAGTTTTTGGTATATAGACTCAAGTGGACTCCAACCAGTATATCGATAATAACCTCCTGTATTGGTAATAACAATAGCTCATGTGTATTGCCCACTTACTAAGAGGCAGGCACTTTACCTTGACAAAGACACTATCCTTGACCAAATTCTAGCTAGGTTCCTCTGAGCCCTCTTCTAGACGAGGCCTGGGCTTCTCTGTCAGCCTGTCCTTCCTGGGACTGCAAGATCCAGTTTTACCAAGACTCCTCCTAAGTCAGTTGAGTGAGAATCGCCCCCACCCTTGATATCTGGTCACCCTCCATATCTGATCAAGTTCCCCATCCCCCATCTTTGGTGTCTACGTCCTGGCCTGCCTTTAGCAAGAATCCTGCTGGGTCAGTTTAGCAAGAATCTCCCTACCCTTTATATCGCCTCTTGGTATTTTCCATCCGCTGACCCCTCCCTCTGCGCCTGTCCGGGCTGTCCTGGGAAGCGAGCTTCCTCACTCCCCCCCCCCCCATTGCAATACCCCTGCAACGGTCTTGAATAAAGTCTCCCTTACCGCTCCAGCAAGTGTCAGAATAATTTTTTCATCCTCAACATGAATGAGTTCATCTAACCTCGCAAGGATCCTGAGAGGTAGGTACCATCAAAGTGTCCACTTAGAAGCGAGGAAGGAGGGAGGAGAGAGGTCTCCTTGGGGGTGAGACATCAGCTGTTGGCACCTGGACGTTCCCGCAAGTTCTCCGGCAGCAGGTGGTCCCATCAATCCATCTGTTGGGATACTAACCAGGCAAGATATGGCGTCCTTTGCGACACAAATCCCCATATTCTCCAACAGCCTGCCGGAACCGCGTGGGAGGCGGCGGGAGCTAGAAAGCCGGAGGGAGCAAGGCGCCGGACGCCGTCTCCTGGCAACCGGGCCGGGGTCACGTGACCCGCCTCACGTGGCCGGGAGCGGCGCCGGAGACCGAGCGGCCGCCGCGAGCGGGGCGGGGCGGGGCGGGGCGGGGCGGGGCAAGTTCGTTTCCCGAGTTCCGAGCCCAGGAGCCCCAGCGGCTGCCGCGCAGGTGCCCTCCGCCTGGGTCGGGATGGAGCTGCCTACCGTGAACCTGAAGGTGGCGACGGGCAGGGGGGGGCGCGGGCGGGGCGGGCTCCCCCAGAGTGTGTGGGGCGTTTGCTTTTTTCAAGAAGGATTTCCGAAGTGAGAGGACCGAGAGCTCGGGGCAAGAGGGGGTGGTAGGGAGACAGCGAGAGCGTGGCCCCCAGGTGGGAAGGACGTGAGCAGACCGGCCATAGCAGGGAGGGGAATCCAGGGAAAGGCCAGCAGGGAAGACCGAGGGGGGGCTGGAGGCGGTAGGGGAGGGAAAGGGCCGCCCGTTCCCCTTTGCAGCCTCGGCGCCTCCGGCCCGGCCCGCGAGTCCCGGGAGCCTGAGGATCGCTTTGGCCTGCGCGCCCAGAATCCCCTGGAGAGAGGGAGGGAGCGAGCCGCGGGGTGGGGGCGGGCCCTGAGAGCCCAAGGGGTCTCGGCGGCGGCCACCTGCCGGTCGCCCAGAGAGGAGGCTAGACCTTTCACCTGCACGCCCAGCACCGCCCCGCTGCTTCGTTGGCTTCATCAGGTTAAGAAAACCCGAAATTCCCAGACCCGTGGTTTCCAAAGCTTATAAATCCAGCGTCCTTATTTCATAGGAAACAGGAACTCCAATAGAAGTTACTTAGAAACAGAAAACCCCAACTTTGTGCCCTTAGGAAAGCACTGCGCGGCTTCCTGGGGTGTCTTCATTTCCTGTGGCATGTTCTCAGCTCCAGATGCCAGTGGCTTCTTCATTTTGTCCCCGGCCCTGCAGGCGGGCTCCGCTTCTGGACTGCGCTGACGGCAGAGGGGCTGGGTGGGGCCTTTAGCTTTGGGCTGGAAGGTGTGAACGTTGGCCCAAACCTGCCATTTGGGGTCTCGGTGCTGTCCCCCTAGAGACTATATCCAGGAACGCCCTTTTACTCCCCAGTGACAAAGCATTTAGCACACGTGGTGTCCAGCACTGAAGGAATCTAAGAGACAGAGGACCACAAAACAACACAATCCATATTTGGATTATTAGACGGGGTCTGTTATGACTTAACGGAGGCAGATTTCCCTTAATCTCATCTCCCTCCCAGACGCTTCCAGCCAGTTTGGTTTACAGGAGGCCAGCCGAGGTTTGTTGGTATCAACATTCACTGTGTTCCAGGCAGTGTGGAGTCAGTGCCCACTGCCTTTTCTCTGATGAGAGATTTGCCTAAAATCATGGCTAAGAGAGCATCAGGCGAGGGACAGAGCTGCAGGAATGGAGAGGGCAGGGGGCCCTCATTCCTGGAGCATCTGTGGTATGCCAAGTGGTTCATTTGATCACAGCCACTTCTGAGAAAGCTGATATTGTCGCCTTTCTTACAGATGAGCAAACTTCGGGGCAGATAAGTAACTTGCCAAAGTCCCACAGGGATTAAGTGGCAGAGTTAGGCTTTGAACCCACTGGGGTCAGACTTCAAAGCCATATCCTCTCCTGGCCACCAGTTAGGGCTGACTTTGGCCTTGACGGTGTCCATCCACTAGGAGGGCTTCGTCTGTTTGGGGCTTTTTTTTTTGAGCAACTTTATGGGCCTGACAGGCCCAGTGTGCCCACAGGTATGAGCTGTGCTGGTGTTCTCTGCCCCAGAGTGAAACGGGGCGGGGGGGGGGGGGGTGAGTGGGTAGGGGAGGGCCTTCCCTTGGCTTAGGAAACAGGACCCCAGGTTTCCAAAGGTCTTAGCTGCTACCAGTCAGAGACCAGTAAGTGCTGGGAGGCCCTGAGGGGCCAAGGTTGCCAGGGAATATACATCCCATTGAATTTGAATATCAGATCAACAGTGAATAATTTTCTAGCATAAGTATATCCTAGGCAATATTTGGATCACACTAACAAAGGGCTTATTAACCAAAATTCAAAACTAACTGGGCATTCTGTATTTTTGTTGTTGTTGTTAAATCTGGCCACTGTAGGGAGGGCGGCTGTCGACTCCTTGCTTGTAGGCACTTAAGTGGGATGTTCTGAGCCAGCCCCTCAGGAGCTAGGAGAATGCATGCCTGTGGACCTGCATTCCCTCGTTTCATCTATTCCGTGGCATTTGGCTGAATCCTGCTCATGCCCAGCCCTGCCGGAGTGGTCAGTGGTGCCAGGTGAAAGAAACAGCTGCCCCAGGCCCTTCACACAAAGGGCCATCCCTAACTGAGTCCCATCTATGAGGAAGTCCCAGCTTCCTGTCTTCCACTGTCTTCTGTCCAGCCACATTGGCTTCTTTTCAGTTTCCAGAATGTTCCATGCTTCCTTCTGCCACAGGGCCTTTGCAGGTGCTGCCCCTTCTGCTTGAAATGCTCTTCTTTGATCTCTGCCCCTAGTGAACCCCCTGCTCACCGTTTTTACCCTGGCTTAAATGTCACTCCCTCAGAGAAGCCTCCTAACCACCCCACTCTCCCCCACCCTACCCCGTTGTAGAATGAGGCTCCTTTTCCTTTACTATAACTGTCCCTCAGAAAGAAGGTCTCACTGGATCCCTCATTCCTAAGACGATGATCTGATCAGCAGGTGTCTCCCATGACATAAAAGTTCTGCCACAGCTGCCCTGCTCACCACTGAGCTCACCGTTGAGCCCCCAGGGTGGGTGCCAAGCAGATGCCAGGGATGCCGAGTGAAGTGTTTGAGAAACTTAGCACCATTTGATCATGTGTTTCAAGCCTCTGGGAAAAGAAACCTCATGGAGTCTTGTGAGAAAAGGCTGTGGGAGGAGGGTCCAGGGAGTAGTGTAGCATTAGGGTTAAGGACTCAGGAAGCCGACTTCCTAGTGGTAGCAATGAGAATGGCCACGCACTGAAGGCTGATCACCTGGTGGGCGCTGTGTTGTGTGTTTCACATGCCTCTCCACCTCCCTGGACCACTAGATCCACAGAACAACCCCATGACATAGACGTGATGGTCCCTACTTTATAGAAGAGCAAACAGCAGTTCCAAGAGGTCAGGTGACTTGCCCAAGATCACACAGCTTCCAAGTCATGGAGCCCCGGCTCCATAGGATCAGATCTGCATATTTGGCTTCATTGCCCACACAGTTAACCACTGGCTGACTCTGCCTCCCCAGTATGGCATTCCTGACTTAGGTCTCTTAGCCTCAGCTACCCTTGGGGACCTTACTGCCTCATGTAACAGGCTGCTGAGTGTTTACACAGGACTAATAGAACTATATTTCCCGTATTGATCTGTCTGTTGGCCTTAGGTCTGTCTACCTCCTGTCCTAGAAGTCTCTCGCCCCCCACCCCATTCGCCCCTGGGCCCTCTAGTGGCACATAAAGGGTCTAAGTCCTGGTCCCCATTACCCCTTGGCTTCCCCTTAGCCTTCCCTTCTGGTTAAACCTCCTCATTTCCATCCACCCTTCCCTTGCTCTTCCAGATCCTGACAGCATAGCACAGACTTTGCCACTTACTAGCCCTGTGACCTTAAGCAGGTCTCTTAACTCTCTGACTATCCGTTTCCTCACTGTAAAAAGAAGATAAAAATAAACCCTACCTTCTAGGGTGGTAAGAGGAGGATCCCGTGGTCCAGGAGTTGGTGGGGCATTACATTTTTAGTAGCAGAAAAAGACCAGATAGAGCTATCAGACATTTGCATCTGAGCTCTCTTGTTTGTAAGTATCACACTGTGGGCCGATTACTTAATCTCCCGCTGCCTCAGTGTCTTCATAAGTAAAAGAGCATGAATAGTCCCCCACACACAGTGGCCAAGTGTTCAAGGCAGTGCAGACACATGGCAGGCAGGTCCTTGTCAGGAGGTGCGTTGTTAGCTTGTTAGTGCTGTTACAGGATGCCTGTTCCACGTGGGTACTTATGGTTGTTACGTGGATTTGTACAGTGACTGTCAGACACCTCTCTGTGGTTGAGGCACCCCACTGGGACATATGGGGGCGGGGGATAAGGATTGCGTCCAGTTCGCAGAGAGTGAACCTTGGGCATAGACGCAAAGGGACATGGCCCCTGGACCAGAACCCAGGCCTCCAGTCCAGCATCCTGTGACCCCCAGCTGCCTTGGCTCATCCTCCCTCCCCTGCCCCGTCTTCTGGGGAAAAGCCAGGCAGCGTCCCGGGCGCCAAGCACTGTATGAAGAGTGCAGGAGCTCCGATCTCTCTTTGCTCTTGCCCAGCCAGGATGGGCTGCCCAGGCGCATTCTCTCAGAACGCAGTGCCTTCCTCCCCTAGTCTCTCAGGCAGTACCTGAGAATCCCTAGTGTCCCCTTGGTTATCAGAAACCTTCCCAGCAGCCGGCAGACAGTTCTTTGTGCTGAGATGAGTCACTGTTCCCTCCTGTGTCAGGAAGAGCCGGGCCCATTTGGCTCGGTTTCTGGTTGGAGCTCTTCTGGACACCAGGCCTCTGTAGGCCTGGGTGGGTGTGCCCTCCCATTACGAAGATGGGGAAACTAATAAAGAGGAGAATTCGTCTTCTGGGGGTTTCTATTCTCAGGGGCTTAAGAGACATGATCAAAAGTGCTAAGTTTCTTAACTATTTATAAAACAAAAGTGACGGCACATGGAGGGGACACAGTATGTCTTTAGGGGTCCTCAGTGTTTCCAGGTTGCACTCTTCCCAAAACAGATGGCTTAGTTTTGGACTTCGGGCAGGTGCTCACTGCGTATTACAGGTCTTTCTGGCGCTTGGCAAAATATTTGTCTCACGGGTGACACAGCCATTTCCCCACAGGCTTGCCTGCATCTCAGCTGGCTTCCGGGTCTCAGCTTTTCATCTCCCCTTCATCAAGCAGGGCTCTGCAGGGCCAAGAAGTACCCACGTGTTAAAGACCCACTGTGTGCATGGTCTGGATGTGGGAACCAGAGCACTTGGAAATGAAGATGGTTTCTGGAATAGAAGCCAACAGTGGGGAAGGCTCAGGTGTTGATTTTCAGGAGAAAGGTGGTCATGTGACCTGCCTCCCCTGTGCTCCCTTCCTCGGTGTTTGCGCTCAGTCTGAAAGCCGGACACCAGGACCACTGCGGCTGGTCACATGCTGGGGCCTTTGAGGCAGGGCTTCTCCCCTCTGTGGACAGGGTTTCCTGTCAAGACAGAGGGGGTATTGGTTGGCTCTTGAGATAAAGATCAGAATTCTTCCCCACACCCCCAGGCCTGGCCCTGCCCACCCCCCAGCTTCCTGTCTGTCTTCCACTGTCTTCTGTCCAGCCACATTGGCTTCTTTTCAGTTTCCAGAATGTTCCATGCTTCCTTCTGCCACAGGGCCTTTGCAGGTGCTGCTCCTTCTGCTTGAAACGCTCTTCTTTGATCTCTGCCCCTAGTGAACCCCCTGCTCACCGTTTTTACCCTGGCTTAAATGTCACTCCCTCAGAGAAGCCTCCTAACCACCCCACTCTCCCCCACCCTACCCCGTTGTAGAATGAGGCTCCTTTTCCTTTACTATAACTGTCCCTCAGAAAGAAGGTCTCACTGGATCCCTCATTCCTAGGATGATGATCTGATCAGCAGGTGAGACATAAAAGTTCTGCCACAGCTGCCCTGCTCACCGTTGAGCCCCCAGGGTGGGTGCCAAGCAGATGCCAGGGATGCCGGGTGAAGTGTTTGAAAATTTAGCACCATCTGATCATGTCTCTCGAGCCGCTGGGAAAAGAAACCCATGGCAGACTAAGCCTCCTCTCCCTCGGTCTCCCCAACTTTGTAACGGGAGGATCACAGCCCCCCAGCCCCAAAGAGGCCTAGTGCTCAGGCCACACCGGGCTCACGGTCAGGTTCGAGCCGTGGCTCTGCCACTGGGCAGCAGTCACTCACCTCGGAGCCTCAGATTCCTCAACTGTAAACGGCACCTCTGGGGGTTGGAAGGATTAAAGGCGTCCACGTACAGAACACGCAGTGGTGCCCACACTGAGGAAGCGCCCCAGGGCAGAGGTAGCCAATCACGAAGCTCCCTTCCAGAGCAGAGGTAGCCAATCACAAAGCTCCCAGAGCAGAGGTAGCCAATCACGAAGCTCCCTTCCAGAGCAGAGGTAGCCAATCACAAAGCTCCCAGAGCAGAGGTAGCCAATCACGAAGCTCCCTTCCAGAGCAGAGGTAGCCAATCACGAAGCTCCCTTCCAGAGCGGAGGTAGCCAATCACGAAGCTCCCTTCTAGCGCCAGCCTTCCGTAGAGTACACACGTGGCTTTCTCAGGGGCTCGGCTGCTCCGTAAAGTCAGGAGCTTTGGTCCTTGCAGGGCTGTTCTCCCAGCTTAACGACTCTCTTTCAGGCCATGGCACCAGAGCCCTTTTGGTTCACTCGCACTGGGCCCTGGGGGGTCAAGGTGGAACGTCCCGGCCGTTTCAGCTCCCCCCATGTGCAGAAAATGTCCACATTTGTCACAAGCTCCAATGGCTCCCCTCCGCTGAAAGCCTGGGCCCTCCCACCCTGCGAAGGTTGGGAGCACCGGAGTCAGACTTACACTTGAACTCGAGTTTCACCCCACCATCGGTGGAATCTAGATTAACTTAATTTTCCTCGGAGTCTAGTTTTCCCATCTGTAAAATGGGAATGATCATGGTGTCTGTTCCAGAGGCTCTCGTGAGGCCCAAAGAAGGAGGCGTGAGGTGTTGGCACAGAGCAGGTGTGCAGTAAATAGTAACTCTTCTCGAAGGGCTTTTCCCTCCAAAGCCAGAGTTCTTTCTTGCAGGTGGCAATCCCCATTTCTGCCCTTTCACCGGCAGAAGCCTGGGCCCTTCACTGCACACTCTTGCCGTGTCTACCCTCACACTCAGGCCAGTACACTGCCCCCTCCCCAGGCTCTGGGCATCCCCCCTCCCAGCTTGACACCCCCCCAATCCCTTGAGTAACTCTTTCAAGGTCCCCCATCTACCATTGGGACCCCCATGGAAGCTCCTGACTTGGGACTCCTGACCCCTGCTGGTGTGGGTCCACTCCCTCTTCCTCCCCATTTATGTTCCCTCTGCCACCTCTGGAACACCTTGCTCTCCTCCCTTTTGCCTGGCTGGTCCCTGCCTATCCCTTAGCAGGAGCGCCCTCCTACTTCCGAAGCTCCAGCTGACAGCCGCCCTGCCCTCCCCATAGCATCTGCTCCCTCCTTCTTCATTTGCTTTCCAAGCAGGGCCCTTTTGATTACCAAGAGTAGAGACAAGTTCTAGTAAAGGGGGCTGCGATTTTCAGGACATATGGGAAAATGAAAGGGGTAGAATGGTGTAGAAATCTAGAAAAAAATCCACCCTCCTTGCTGAGGCCCTCGCTACCCTCCCCCTGCTCTTCCCCTCCTGCCCCCTGGTGCTCTCCTGCTCCTTGGATGCAGGTAGCAGACAACCACTGTGCCCCACATTGTACCCCAGCTCTGTGTGCCAAGAAACCAGCCTCGTTTGAGTCCCACTCCTCCCCCCAGCCATTCCCTGTCCAGGTATATCCTCTGATGCCAGAGCAGATTGCGAAGCAGGAGGGAAGCAGGAGGGCGTGTGGGTGTCTGCTGCCCCAAGGGAGTAGGGCCGAGTGACATGGCAGCTCCCCCAGCCTGACCTGCACTCTTCCTCCTTCACCCCTGCTTCGCTCACTGTTGCTGGTGTTTTGTTGTTGTTGTTTAAACATATTTGTAAAGCCCTGTTAGGTGCTAGACAGGTGCTTCCTGTGTTTTCTGGCTCCAGAAGCTCTCCCCACCCCTCCCCAGATTGTGGTCTCACTCATAGTTCTTTTCTTTCCTTCCCCCAGATGATCCTGCTGGTTCACTGGCTGCTGACGACCTGGTGAGTGACTCCGCAGGTGACCACTTCTGTGTCCACCTGTCTCCCAGGATCTGGGTCCATATACCCCCAGGCTCTCATCCATGTGTCTCCTGGCCAGTTCCAGAACTAAATAGCACCTTTGTCAAGAATGTCATCAGCATCTCCATGTCCCAAGAATGTCTGAGGGGCAGGCAGTTTCCAGAGGCCTCTGCCATCACCTCCCCCCATCCCAGAAGCTTCAAGCCTTTATCCTAGGGGAGGTGGCTGGCCCAGGGCAGTCCCCACAGCTCAGATCCTCCTCCAGACATTGCCCAGGCCCCTTCAGGGGCTTGGCATGACTCTGGTCTTTGTATCTGGAAGGTGTGAGGTGCTAAAGCCAGGGGGCCCGTCTCACATAGCCTGCTGGACTCCCTGAGGCAGCTGTGGGGTGGATGCCGGCTAGAGCTCTGTGTGTCTGTGACCTTGGGTCAGTCACTTAGACTCCCTGAGTCATTTTCTCACCTATAAAATGAGTGCATTACTGACCCTCCCATTTAGCCTGTAAGGTCACTGGAAGGTGAAAGCCGAGTTTTAGAAACTGTAATAACCACTAACATTTCTTGAGGGTGTCTAGGAGCCAGCCACTGGGCTGAGCACCTTCTGTGGGTTGGCTCCACAGCTCAGCAAGTAGATATTTTATGATCCAAGATACAAGGTGGGATCACTTGCTTAGGGGTGGACCCTATTTCTTATATCACACTCCTGCCCAGAGATGGCAGACTTGGGATTCAGATGGACCTGGGCAGGTCCTGGCTCAGCTGTGGTCCAGCCGGGTTACCTTAGGCAAATGGCCCACCTCTTGGGACCTTGGTTTCCATCTGTAAAATGCGTATAAGGATAGCGCACATCCCTCAGGGGCTGTGAGGGAGAAGCATGTTGTGCTCATCCAACACTCCCCGGGGCCTGCCACAGGCTTGATTTCATTATTACTGTCTGTTTTACCTGCCGAGCTATGGGGCGATTTCCCTGCCGAAGCAGGACTGGAAACCGCTGAGCTTCTGTGTGCATTTTGCAGACCTTAAAGTATGCTGCACATGTAAAATGGTTGTGAATAATGCAGACAGTGAAAGTCATGGCTAATGACTTTGGGAAGCAAGGTCAAAATACAGATTTCTCAGTCATACCCCCCAAGATTCTGAGTTGTGGTCTGGGCTGGGGCCCCCGCACTAGCTTCTTAAAACCAAAAAGTCAGGTGACAAAGACTATCAAGCTGAGTCAGGTTCTACACTTCACAGCTTTGTACGCGTTCTCTGTAGGGAACACTTCAGAATCCAGAAACCTGACGTGACTCGGGTGCCTCTTCCCACAGGGGCTGCATCACGTTCTCGGGCCCCTATCCCTGGGCCAACTTCACCATCCTGGCCGTGGGTGTGTGGGCCGTTGCTCAGCGGGACTCCATCGACGCCATAAGTCTGGTGAGGTGGGGGAAGCAGGGAAGGGACCGGCCTCGGGGTGGTCTGTGGCCCCCCTCTTACCTCCCTTGACCCATCCCAATCCTGTCTCTTCCGAGGAAGGGGGCCCCCACCCCACCCCCTGTTTTCCATTTCTAAAGCCTTGTCAAGAAGCCAGCTACCAGCCCAGGTGTGTCTTCACTAGCCTGGCCCGCTTCTCAGCCTGCCTGGCTCCGGGAGCCCTGAGTCTGCTCAGTGCCTTCCCCCGAGAGAAGCATGGGCGGGGTCCCCCCAAGTGCCCCAGCTTGGCCACTCCTCGAGGGCACTGGAGCATGTCCCCGATAACCCACCTCTAGGGCCCTCTTTCAGCAGGGAGCCCCACGAAGAGGGAACTGCTGTACTTCGTGAGGTCAGAGTGGACACAGCCCTGCTGAGCTCTGCCATGGGGGAGCTTCCCAGCACCCACTGCGCCCCGAGGGGCAGCCAGCTCTCCAGCAGGGCCTGTCAGGATGACTAAGAAGGGAGTTCCCTGTGGTGCAGACGGATTGGGTGAACTCCAAGGGACCTTACATTTCAGAGGTTCTGGAACCAAGTCTTGTGCCTCATAGTGGCCACAGGCTAGGTCCAGACCTGGGTCCCCACATCCCTGCACTGGGTGCTGTAGTCCTCGGTCAGGCGTCTCACCCACCAGGTCCTGCCTGCTTGCTGATCTGTTTTCCAGCAAAGCCTAAGGACACAGGAGGGCACAAATGGAGCTTCCAGTCTGGTGTTCGTGGTAAGGGAGCCATGAGCCGTGATGGAGCGTCAGGGTGCTCATAAACCCTGATGGCACATGGCCCCCCGGGCCCTGCGCCTGGCCTGTCTTGCAGTTCCTCGGTGGCTTGGCGGCCACCATCTTCCTGGACATCGTCCACATCAGCGTCTTCTACCAGCGGGCCGGCTTCACGGACACAGAGCGCTTTGGTGCCGGCATGGCCATCCTCAGCCTGCTCCTCAAGCCCTTGTCTTGCTGCTTTGTCTACCACATGTACCGGGAGCGCGGGGGTGAGCTCCTGCTCCATATTGGTGAGGCCACCACCTCCGGCCAGCTCCCTGACTGCCCCTCTCGCTGGCCAAGGTGCTGGCGGCGCCATCTTCCACGTCTCCCCTGTCTCTGGCTTGCCTGACCCACAGCCCCTGCCCAAGTGAGCCGGCCTTGCCCCGGGGACGAGGGCTCAAGGCGTGGGGGTGGGGGAGGTGGGTGCCGACACTGACGACCAGGCTAGAAGGTCTACAAGCTCCCGTCTCTGCTGCACGAGCCCAGGGCTCCCATCCCAGCCTGCTGTGAGCTTTCCCGGGCATCAGGCTCCGGGCAGAGTTGGGGGCAGGACCAGAGCCCCGTCGCAACCCGAGCACAGATGCAGCTGGGTGTGCCCCAGTCCCGCAGGCAGCTCTGGGCGGCCTGCAGCCTGAGGCTGGTAGGCATCCACGGGGCCAGCCTCTCCTCTCAGCCCCATGCCTAGAGCCTCCCCTCCTGCCATGTGGGGTCTGGGTGGCCAAGGGAGGGGGTCTGCTGGCATGGGCCGTGGAGCCTCAGCCGAAGCTGGCCCTGAACTGCAGGTGCTTTCCCTGCTAATGTCCCGGTCACCTCAGCCTGGCCCGCCACTGCCCCTCCCACACCCTCCTGAGCGGCTGGGCCATTTTCCTGTTCTCTCTCACATACTGCTCATCTCCTTTCAGAGAGGTGGGGAGAGGGTGGGGGTGGTCTTCCACTGTCCCCTCCCAAGAAGAGAGGCCCGGAGGGGCCCATGACCCACCTAGAGGGGCAGCTGGGCCAGGGCAAAAGGCACCTGTGGCCTCCCCAGGGCTGATCTCAGCAATGCCCTGGGGTTGCGGGGAGTCACTCACATTCCTTCCACTGGGCAGATGAAGGAGCTGGTGCCCAGAGCCCCTGGGACTTGTTCAGCGTCAAGTGTGCAGGGCAGAGAGGGGAGCAAAGAGCATGGGCACTTAGAGCCCTCCCCCCTTCCTAGGACCCCCAGCCCAGAGCTCTGGGCTCTGCAACTGTGCCAGCTCTGGGCCTTCTGGTTACAGTAGCTCGGGGTCCACTCTGCCCAGGAGAGGAGCCTGTGGGCCAGGGCTGGGCGTCCCTCTGCTCAGATGCGTGCTGCTCTGGGAAGGCCCCAGTGTGATGGCCAAGAGCACTGGCTTTGGGCCCATGCTGCCTTGGCTTGAATTTTAGTGTCCTCCGCATCAAGCACCATACTGGGGGCAAGTCAGTTCATCTCTTTGACCCTCAGTTTCCCTGTCTGTGAAGTGGGGGCAACCCAAATACCTGCTCTGGAGGGCTATGGGAGGATTGGCTGAACACCTGCTAAAAGCCGGCGGGCGGGGGGGCTGCTGCCCCCGTCATTGTCCCAGTGCCTTCCTGGTGGGGGGTGGGTGGATCTTGGTTGGGACTCAGTAGACTGCCTTGAGTCCTCACCCTTCGTTTTTTCCTTCCCCCCTCATCCCCCCCACCCTCAGGTTTCCTTGGACCATCACAGGAGCGCGGTGACTACCAGACGATTGACTCACCAGAGGCGCCCACAGACCCCTTTGTAGGCTCGGAGGGCAGGGGTCACTCCCCGCAAGGGTACTGAAGCCAGTCTGCTTTGGCCCCAGCGCAGGGGCCAATGGAGCAGACCCCAGAGACAGCCCAGGCTGCATCGCCCTCCTCGTGCCTTGGATGGCATTCTAGAGATGTTCTTGACCTCCACCCCCTTTCTTGGACTGTGTTCTCCTGTTGCCCATCTCCCTAGTCAAGTGCCCTGAGTGGCCTGGAGCCCCGTGCACACCTGTCCCAGACTCCCTGAAGCCTCCTCTCCCTTCAAGGTACCCCAGTGGTCTGAGGCTGGGAACCGTGGTCTCTTTCCTCACTTCCCTTAGCGGCTCCGTGTAGCCCCCCCGTCCAACCATGCCTGAGCCAGGCCTTGCCCAAAGTTTATTGATCTCGCCCACGGAAGCTCTGAGAGCTTTGGGTGATGCTCAGTCCTGGGAGCAGCCCGGCATGGGAGTGAGGTCCCTGTGCTTCTCACTGCCTGGTAACTTGGTGCTTGGGGACCTCAGGGCTGGAGGCAGGAGGTGTCTGCAGCACCTGAGACCCCCCACGGCCTCCAGCTGCCCTTCCTACGGCCATGGCATTCACATTTGGGGAATCGGTAGCTGGGTGTGTTTTGAGCCATGGTTAATCTCCCAGCCAGGCTGGGGCCTGGACCTGCCATTCCTGAGAAGATTTCTCCTTTGAACCCGCAGGGAACCTGGGCTTCGCCACCCATTTTGTTGTGGCAGGAGGAAGCAGGGGCTCACTCCCCAGCTTTGGCCTAGCCAAGGCCCCAGCAGAGGAGGGCGCTGTTTGGTGTGGCCAATGGGCATCCATGTCTCTGAATCAGATGACTTGGGTATTGGTTTACATCCCTCTCTGCCACTTTCTGGCTATGTACCTTTGAGCAGCTTAATGTCTCTGACCTCAGTGTCTCCTGGAAAAGAGCTAATGCCTGCCCCGGGCGTGATGAGACGAATGAAGTGTGCAGTGCCTGGCCCTCGGAAAGCTCCCTAAGCCACAGCAAAGTTGGTGGGTTGCTCCTTGATCCTGTGATGATGTGGGGTCAGTAGGCAAGGGGCGACCTCTTCCCGGTAGACCCTATGTCCTGGTGTCAGGGCTGACTGAAACCGGTACCCATCCAGAAGCCCCAAGTGTCCCATGGCCAGGGTCCTAATCTACATTGACTGGACCAAGTGTTGACCTCAGGGCCTCATGGGCCTGGGCTGTCCCAGGCCATCCCGGCTTGTCCCCAGCACAAAGAGATCAAGGCCTAGTGCACAATCCCACCACCCTCCTGGGGCTCGGTACGTGGTACTGCTGAGTGCGGGCCGCAGGGCTCAACTCTGGGGCCTGCTCTCAGGGAACAGACATTAAGAGTCCTCTGGCAGGAGGCAAGAGCTCCGAAAGGGACCCCTGGGAAGGGACCAAGGGACACCGAGTGGCTGCAGCTGCAGGAAAGCTAGAAACAGTTTCACCGTCAGAAGGGGACGAATAGATAACCTGTGGTACATTCATTCTATGGATATGGTTCAGCAGTTCATGTGAATAAACCAGACCTAGTTCTATTGACGTGGGTCCCCCTATGGTGAGCAAAACAGATTGTAGAATGGTATCTTCAACATGAGCGTTCACATGAATTTAAAAACCTCCAAGCGATATCATATGTCATTCATGAGCATATATGTAGTGAAATACAGAAGTGTGGGCTAGAAGGAAGGACCCTTCAAGGTCATGGCTGAGGCAGCCTTGGGTAGGGGAGAGGTGTGACTTTTGGGGCATGGAACTAAAAACCCAAGTTCCGGTTCTCTTGTTTATACCAGTTCCTGGCACACGGCAGGCTTGCGCTCTGCGCGCTCCTGTGTGTATGTGGTGAATATGTCAGATTTCCAAAGGGAATGAAAAGGTGGGGGGGCCACAGTGGGGGGACAGCTAATAGAGCCTGTGTCAAGCAGAGGGGAGAGTATATTCAGAGTCCCCGGTTCCTCCTAGTCCCAGACCCTCGAGTCCGATCAGATCTTTATGGGGGGCAGAGGAAGGCCCCTGTCTTAAGTGGGGGTCCCCAGAAGCAGACCCTGAATGCAGCGTCTGGCTTGGTGCAAGCAGGGGTGGGGGCTGGGCTTTCTGGTCATTGGCCAAGGGCTGCTCTGGAGTTGGGGGACAGTGACTTAATCTCCCAGGCTACTCTGGCTCCCTGACCAGGCAGGCCCAGTGGCCCCAGAAGCTGGAGGGCTGTCCTGCAAGAAGAGTGCCACCAGAGGTACAGGGACAGCGAGGGCCACCAGTGGGGTGCCCCCCTTCCAAACGGCAGGTCTCGTAACTGACGTTCGAACATTCATTCAACAAGCAACCAAGAGCCTATGGGAGCTAGGAGTCTTCCAGCTGCTGGGGATACCCAAATCAAGGGGAAAAAGCCCCAAGTACCAGGAGATTCCATTTGGCATGAGAGGTTCCAGGCAGGGGAACAGCTCATAGGAAGGCCTGAGCAGGTGTGTGCCTGGCCAGACTGTTTCTGGGCACGGTCGGGAGGCCGGAGTGGCTGGAGCCAAGGGAGGAAAGAAGGAATGAGGTCAGAGAGGCATTAGGGACCAGGTAGCAAAGGGCTAGTAGGTCATTTTGAGGACTTTGGCTTTTTCTGAGTGAGATGAGGGGCCGCTGGAGGGCTTTGGGCAGAATGGGACACGATCTGACTCACACTCTAAAAGGACAGTGTCGATGGCTTGGGCTGGGAGGTAGAGATGGGGGTGGTGACAAGTGGCCGTGTTGAGCAGAACACCATGCACCGATTGTCCCTTCCAGGGAAGGACATCAGGCAGTTCCGCCCACTGTTGGAGTAATCAGAGGCTCCAAGGAAAGCAGTGCGGTCAGTCACTGGCTGGACAACGCCTTACGCCTAGAAAAGACCAGATCAGCCTTGGCGGCAGGCGGCGGTCCCCCGTGGCCAGCAGTAACTGACGCAGGGCAGTTGGCTTCCTCTCCCCTCTCTCCTGCCAGAGTGGAAGGACACTCCCCTCCTGCCAGAGCGGAGGACAGACACAGCAGTGGGGTTGGCCAGGTGCCACATGACACGCATGTGTAAGCAGAACAAAAGAGCGAACCCTGGGCTTGAAATAGGGGAAGATATTCCCACACCAGGTGACAAGGTCAGCACAGGCTGTTGTGGGCTCTTTATCTCTTGGGAAGGAAGTGTTCCAGCCTCAAGGCCCATTGTTACCCAGCGGGTGGGTTTGAAAGACAGCAAGCAAGCGACTGCCTCGCCCAACGCGGCTGCTCTTGGATATGTTCTGAAGGCAAGGCGACAGGATTCACTCGTGGACAGGATGCAAGAGAAAAAGAAGAATCCACGATTGCAAGCTTCGGGGCCTGAGCAGCTTGGGGCTTGAGCTGCCACCGACTGGGAGGGAGGGTGGCAGGAAGGCCAGGTTCCAGGAAAGGCCAGATGAGCCACACTGAGGAGATGGGGCTTCCCACCAGACCTTCTCACCACTGGGAGGCCAGCTTTTATAGACACTTGAAAGTACTCTGTATTCCATCCTATAGTATCTGCTGATCTGGAAACTGTTGACCACAGGAAGCAAATTCCTCTTATCTCTGCTCTCCTGCTGGTGAGGACCGAAGCCACTTGTCTAGTTCCCAAATCTTGTATTTCTTGTTTTCACAAAGCTGAGCCTTCCAGATGAGGGAGCCAAAGACAAGCCCCTGTCCCAGGAGAAGTCACTGTCTTCTGTTGGCCAAAACTGGACCAGAGGCAGCTGTACCTGCAGGAGCCCCGGCCTTAGGCCCGTCCTGGGAGTCTCCAGAACAGCCTGGAAATTCCAACTCTCCCAGCTTCCCTCCAAAGTGGCCCTAGAGCCAGAAAGCCTTGGTCAAATCCCTACTGGCACCCCATGACTGGCTGTGTAAGAGACAGGACAATCTCTTAACCTCACTGTGAGTCAGTTTTCTCATTGGAAAAGTGGGGCTACTCATAGTGTTGACTCAGGGATTAGTAAAGTCTGAAAATGTGTAACATCAGCATTTCTCATTACCTGTGTTACCATGTTAATTATTCAGAGAGAGGGAGGGGGTGATGGGTGTAGGGGAGGAAAGAGTCTTCCTCAGCCCTCTTAGGGTCCCTGGCTGGGTCTGAAAATTAAACTGACAAAGATTAACAGGAGAAAAAAACACATACATTTTTTCGAACTTTTACAAGTACACAAGAACTTTCACAAGAGAAGGAAGGCCTGGGCGCCTGGGTGGCTCAGATGGTTAAGCGTCTGCCTTCGGCTCAGGTCATGATCCCAGGGTCCTGGGATCGAGCCCCGCATCGGGCTCCCGGCTCAGTGGGGAGCCTGCTTCTCCCTCTGACCCTCTCCCCTCTCATGCTGTTTCTCTCGCTCGCTCGCTCTCTAAAAAATAAATTTAAAAAAAAAATCTTTAAAAAAAAAAAGAGAAGGAAGGCCTGATGAAGTGATAAGAGCAGGGAGCTTTTATACCTTTCACACAAAAAGACAATAAATGTGTGAAGAATTGACAAGACAAAGAGGTCTGGGCTGGGGTAGTGAATGGTGAAGAGGTAACCAGGAAGATAAGGGTTAGATTAACAAGGTCTGTTTATACAAATTTCTTGGCTATAAATTCCCTGTCTCTGGTAATAAAAATGTCCTCTTTCCTCATGGTACAGGGAGGATACCATTCATGCAGAGATTTAGGACCTGTTTCAGGAAAGGACAAGGGATGGGGTCAGAGTGACTTCCTTCCTTCTGCCATTTTTTCGAACGCTCAGGTTAAGATGTTCAGTATGCCATGGTGCCAAAATTTGGGGGTAGCATGTCCTGAGCCCCATCACCAGTCTGTCTGACCATCCATTCATGTATTCATTGATGATCAATTCTATAATAATTTATTGAGTGCTTCCCACAAGTTCTGAAAAAATTGTCAAGAAGTAAAACAGAGGCTTTCCTCACTGGCCACAGCAGAACCCTGAGGGTCCAGTTCTCCAGGTAGACGAGGGCTTGTGTTCATGCCTATGAATCTAAAAACTATTGACAGATTCAACATTATAAAACATTATCATATCGAAGATCTACACTCAGATTCACAGACTTGAAATTGAAGGGAGCTTAGAGCTCCAGAAGCCTAGCAGTTTGAGATGTTTTTTATTTCAAACCCTTGGCTCAAAAGAAATCTTACGCAGGGTATAAAACAGAGCGGGTCTGACAGGGCCCACCAGCACCACCACCCCGCCACTCTGAGATATGGCCCCCAAAACACAATATGGAAACTCTTCTCCTACATCCACCTTATTTCACAGCTCGGGACACGGGCCCACAAAGAGGAGATGTGGTCAAGTGCACGTGGAGACTTTGGAATGTGACAATGTGGAGACTGGGGTGCCAGGTAGAACTTAAAAGGAAAAAAACAGAACTTCTACAAATGAACAGTTAGAGACTCAATGGATGGATTAATTCATAGAATAGATACATCAGAAGAGAGAATCAGGGGCGCCTGGGTGGCTCAGTCGTTAAGCGTCTGCCTTCGGCTCAGGTCATGATCCCAGGGTCCTGGGATCGAGCCCCACATCAGGCTCCCTGCTCTGCAGGGAGGCCTGCTTCTCCCTCTCCTACTCCCCTTGCTTGTGTTCCCTCTCTCACTGTCTCTGTTAAATAAATAAATAAGTAAAATCTTAAAAAAAAAAAAGAAGAGAGAATCAGTAGCCTTGAAGAGGTATTTGAAGGAATTACTCAGAATGGAGCAAAAAACACAAAAGAAGAGAGGTTAAGAAACAAGGGATAGCATGAGAAGTTCTGACATAACTCTATCGGAGTTCTGAAGGAGCCCCTGGGAGAGAGGCAACATTCAAAGGAATAAGGGCAGAGAATTTTCCAAAATGGAAAGACACCAAACCTCAGATTCAGGAAGCCAAGCAATCCCCAAACAGAAGAAATCCACATTTATAGTTATCATATTGGCACTTTGTTCAGCATTGCTTAATCTTTGGCACCTGGCACAGTTCCAGCACATAGTAAGTGCTTTATAACATATATAGAATGGGGGATCCCCAGGTGGCTCAGTCGGTTAAGCATCTGCCTTCCGCTCAGGTCATGATCCCAGGGTCCTGGGATTGAGTCCTCCAACAGGCTCCTTATTCAGCAGGGAGCCTGCTTCTCCCTCTGCCACTTCCCTGGCTTGTGCTCTCTCTTTCTCTCTGACAAATAAATAAATAAAATTTTAAAAAATGAAACAAAACACAAATATAGAATGGATGGTGCAGAACACCAAAGATGAACATTAAGATCCCCAAGGCGGGGGCGCCTGGCTGGCTCAGTTGGTAGAGTGTGCACTCTTGATCTCAAGGTCGTGAGTTCAAGCCCCATGTTGGACCATAGAGATTACTTTAAAAAATTAATTTAAAAATAAAAATTTAAAAATCCCCAAAGCAAGCAGGTAGAAAAGATGTTGTCCCAAAAGAAATGACAATTATACCGGCAACTGATGCCTCAACAACAAAAGGAGTCAGAAGACAGGGGAATGGTATCTTCAAAGTGGTGTGAAAAACAACCGTCAACCTACAATTGTGCACTGTGAGTTATCTTTCAGGAATGAAGAAAATAAAGGCCTATTCAGAGAAATGACAACAGAGTTTATCAGCAACAGACCTTTGATACAGAAACATCTAAAGAATCTTCCTTGTGGAAGAAGGACATTTTTCCACAAAGAAGATCTGACACATAAAGGAGACAGTAAACATGTGGTTTAGTGTTCAAAACTATACTGCTACATTTCAGGGGGAGCTGGCCAGGCACAAAGTGTTATAAAGTCCTTTTCTGTCTGGAAGGTAAACACTGGATTAACTTTAGACTTTGCCAAATTAATGTCTTGGAGAACCACTGAAAGAATAGAAATAGAATGTGTAATTTCCAAGACAGTGTTGGGTGTGTGCTTGGTGGGGGGAGAGCCTTGACCAACTCTTTTGTTATTGTTTGATCAATTCTTAAAAAGCCAAGAAAAGAGAAAAAAGAAACATGAATTTGGACCATTGGCAAACACAAAAATAAGATGGGTTTTATATATACACATCATGATCATACCTTTGTAAATGATTTTCTAGAAACTTCCAGCCCTATTGTGTTTATAAAAGACACACCTAAAATATACAGACACAGGAAGGCTGAGAGTACAAGAGGGAAAAATGTTAAACCAGGCAGGGGCGCCTGGCTGGCTCAGTCAGTGGAACACGCAACTCTTGATCTTGCGACCTGAGTTCGAGCCCCACATTGGGCGTGGGGTTTACTTAAAAATATATCTTAAAAAAAAAAAAAAAAAAAGTCAAATCAGGCAAAGAGAGCTGGTGGAGCTAGATTAGTATCAGACCAGCGTGCCTTTATGGCATCATCTTCTTGGGATAAAAGAGCACCAAGATCTAAACAACGAAATGTTCGATCCACCAGATTTGGGAAGAGATGTTAGATACACAGACTCAGGAAGGAAGTATAATTACCCCTGTCCTTCAAGAATTGCTTTACACTTTAGGAGGCTCTTGGGCAGATTTATTTGTTAAATGTTCACAGCATCCGGTGAGCGGGTAGAGGAGGTGTTATCATCCCCCTTTTGCAGATGAGAAGGTCAGAGAAGTTAAGCACTTGCGTAAGGCACACGGCAGCAGAACGGATGGCGATCACAGGTCTTCTGACCCCAGGTCAAGTGCTCTTTCCTCTCGCGGTTGCAAAGGGGAAAGCATACAATCTGGACCGAGGGTGGAAAGGCGTGGAGGGCTCCATGGGGAACAGCGGGGGCAAAGGCTTGGCAGACGGGAAAAGCCCAGAGGGCACTGTGACTGGGCCGAGCCTGCCACACAGGAGGAGTGGGTAGGGTGGACTCCAGGCAGTTTCAGGGGGACCCGACGGCCCGCCGCGTCGCCTATCTTGCGCGTGCAAGAAGCTTGCACAAGGCCACGTGCTTCGCCGCCGGATGCGCGGCGGGGCCGGGACCCTCGCGGAGGACCGCGCGCCCGGGTGTCCCCCCCGCCCCCTGCGCCCGCGCCCTGCTGCCCACGCGGCGGCCACCGGCGGCCACGCTCCCGACTCATGGAGCCCCCGCGTGCACCTCCAGGCTCCGCGGCCGCTGGGCGGCGCGTTCTCTGCGGTCCCCCGACCCCACCCGCCTGGGTCGTTAGCTTTCGCCCGAGGTCCTCTCCAGTTTCAAGCCCGGTGGGGTGAAGGAGGACCGGCAGAAGACAGACGCCAGAGGACGGGCCCGGGAGGCCAGGAAAACTGACCGCCGGTTCTTTGGGTGGGAAGAGGAGGGAGGCTCTGATGTCCTTAATTGGACAGGGATGGGGGTGGCGTGGCCGGTGGCAGACGGGGGGGGGGGGGGCTGTGAGGAGCAGGTGGATGGATAGATGCGCGCCCAGGCACGGGGTGGGGGCACCAAGTTAGGAAGGGATCCTGTGGGTTGAGCTGTCTCCTGTCTCTTTTGGAAGGAGGTGGACGGAGTTGAGGGGGGCGGGGTCCTGGTTCTGAGCATGGGCTGTGGAGTTAGTCCCTTGGCCCCTCTGCAGCCTCTGACCGGCTGTGGCGCTTGGGCTGGGCAGGGAGCCCCTTAAAGCTCCGGTTTCCTCATCTCTAGAACAAGGGACCTAATGCTTCGGGCCGCAGTGCCTCTTTGGCAGGGTGTATGGTAAAGGCTGCATGGCGTTTACCATGGTCCGGGCGCTCATTTTGCACAGTGTAGAAGCCCCTGTTACGGGCCAGGTACTATTCCATGTGCTGTAAATACTCCAGGGAAAATGACAGTGGCTCGCAGCCCCTGGAGGGAGAGGGCCAAGCTATACTCTCTTTACTCTGTTAGGTGGTGGCAAGTCATGGAGAAAAGTCATGCAGGGTAAAGAGAGGACGACGGAGTGCGGACTGTGTGATTTCATGTGCGGCCCGGGAGTGAACAGTCAAGAAAGAATTCTTGGGACATTTTCAGTGCAAAAAGCGTGGTTTTATTAAAGCACGGGGACAGGACCCATGCTCAGAAAATGCTGCACCAGGATTGTGAGGAGTGACTGATTATATACTTTTAAGTCTGTGGAGGAAGTCGGGGTAGAGATAATGTGAGTTTCTCAGGAATTTTTGTGCGCTGAGAGCAGGGTCTACAGGACCTTGGAGGCCTGGCTGTCGTCAAGATAAGGTTGCTTTTCGTCCCTAGTAAAACATCAACAGGAAGGCGGCCTTGAGTTCCTTGAGGAAGGTCACGCTCAACCTGTCTCAGGTATTCGGCAGTAGGCTGCAGGCTGTAAGGAGATGGAATTTAAGCTACATTTCTCTGGCTTTTGTTCTCCTCATCCTTTTCTCCCCTCTGAACAGTTTTGACCCTTAAACCTTTAAGGTTGCTGAGGGAGGAAGGTCTTCTCTTCTGTAACTTCTTCCTGCTGAATAGGGGCCTAGAGATGTCCCCACGTTTGGGTCAGCGTTGGTCACTTGGGGAACTTTTATATATATATAGGAGTTACCAAAGGCAGAGACAGCCAATCCAAGGTGTAGACACCACATATGAATCTCCCTGAGGAAAAGGGATCATCTGTCGGCAGGAAGTTATGGGAGGGAAGGGGTCTTAGCACCAGGCAGGGAGACACCGGGAAAAAAACAAAAACAAAAACCAAAAACAAAAGAAGATTAACATTATTATGTGAAAGAGAAGCCCAAGAAAAAAGGCCTTTGATAGTGGACCAAAGTTTTCCTCCAGTGCCTTCATTGTCGTTTGAAGAGAAGTGTGAGAGGTCTTCCACAGGTCCACAGAAATAAGAAGGCGGGTTAGCCAGCCCTCTGGATTCCTGTGAGGAAGGTACGGATTTCATTCCTAATATAGGAGTCCATGAGGAATGGCCTTCCAATTTTATGGCCATGGGAGAACATAATACAACCCAGTAGGGGCCCTTCCATTTTGGAGTTAAACCCCCTGCTGTGTTAGACTTCCAATCCTTGAAATAAACCGTGTCTCCTGGGTTTCTGTGGGGTGGGTTGCTAGTAACCGTCAGATCAGGCGGAGGGAGGATATGGCCTGTGTATTCCTTTAGCTAGATATTTGAGGAAACCAGAAGAATTCAGAAAATAGTGTTAAAATCTAGTATCTACAAAGATGTTATTGAAACCTATTTTCTCTCTATAATCACCCTCATTCTTATCAAAGATAGCCAAATCAAGACTAATTCATTAAAAAAAAAGTCCAATTTTATTTTATTATATAATTATTATTTTTAGAGAGGTGGGGAGAGGCAGAGGGAGAGGGAGAGAGAGAATTTTAAGCACGTGGGGTTCGATCTCACAACCCTGAGATCATGACCTGAGCCGAAATCAAGAGTTGAATGCTTAACCGACTGAGCCTCCCAGGCGCCCCAAAAAGTCCAATTTTAACAAACCTGTCCTAATTATTTACATAAGCTCAGCAAGAAGAGTGACTGATCACATAGATCTTTTAAAATCTGCTGGAAGTTTTATAAGGAATCTCGGTTGAACTTTCAGTAGCCTCTCTAGGCCAGAAGCCAAGCCAAGTGCTTACCATCAGACATGCCTGCAGTATCTGTAGATTTGGGCATGTTCCTCTTCTCGAGGTCCCTAAATATCCTGAGGCTCCTGCACCTGCCAGGAGGTGACATCCTTTACTCACCTGGTAAGGCTGCTGGGACCTCTGTAAGCAAGGTATCAGGCCAGCATTTCCAAGGGGCTCTATTGACTTCAGGTTTCATAAAGTCAAACTTAATTCCTTAAAGCTGTTTGGTCATATCCGAGTCTATGCATGTCCCTCAAATACGACATTCCAGTCAAAGCCTTGGTAAAATAACCAATGTTTCCAATGGTGCCTGTTACAAGGAGAACAGATTCTTATTGAACTTATGCCAATGATTATGATTGCCATGGAAGAAAGAATATTCACTGAGAGTTTCTGAATTTCAGAGAGTTCAGGTAGAGAGAAAAGTTAAATACTTCAAATTGTTCACAAAAGAACATTTTATCATGTTTCTGTAAGTCGTGGACATCTTAAGAGAAAGTTCCCTCAATCTGGAAGAGCAAACATCAGAGGGCCAGCAATGTTTCAAACAAGAGTCACAAAAACTATAATCATCTTCCTTAGTGCATTTAGTCCCATGTTCCTAATTCTTGTTCAGCTTGAAGGCAGCTTTTTAGTTAGTTCTGGAAATTCTTACCCATTTCAGTTTTATGATTTTAAAGATATCAAAAACCTGTATTTGTCAGAAGCCCTTTGTATGAATCTCTTTGAAGATGAAACACATTCCACAAGAAAATAAGAACAACTATCAATGACAAAAGACTCAAAAATGGACATAGTTCAAGATCTGATGAGAGTTCATTGTAATAGAGCTGACAAGGAAATTTTGTTATCTCTGTGACATCTAACACTTCAATAATCAGAATATTAAGTGATGACCTTATAGCAGAACATAACACACCAAATAAACGAGCCTAATTAGTCAAGGAGACTTCATTTATGATTTAAATCTCAGGGAAGTTGATTAAAACCTCAGAAAGTGGGCACCTGGGTGGCTCAGTTGGTTAAGCAACTGCCTTCGGCTCGGGTCATGATCCCGGAATCCTGGGATCGAGTCCCGCATCGGGCTCCCTACTTCTCCCTCTAACCTTCTCCCCTCTCATGCTGTTTCTCTCTCTCTCTCAAATAAATAAATAAATAAAATCTTAAAAAAAAAAATAAAACCTCAGAAAGTTATAGAGCCCATGCCTAAATAGGATTACAGATCATGACAAAACTTAAAACTTAATTATTTATTTAACCAAGGTGGCAATAAGAGACTCCTTGGTAGAATAAAAGTTTTATATTTAATGCTGATAACCCTAAAGACAGGTCTTAATTAAACCAACAAACTTAAATTTAGTTTAAATGCAGAATATGTTCCTCCTGGGTCCACTTAAAAGTCAATCAGTTTGTTCCCCATTGTCAAGTTTTACCTGGGGCAGTGGTGAGGAAATCTGAAGGGGGCGGTGTAAGTCCAAGGGGGTGCTCTTCGCTCCCTGACAGTGAGGGGAGGAGAAAGAGCCAGTGGGGTGGAGGCACCAAGGATGGTCTGGGGCCAACTATGCAGGCCACACCCAAGGTGGTGGAGAAACAGGAGGAGGAGGAGGGGGAGGGGAAGGCAGAAGAGGTGAGATGCCCCCAGGAAGGCTGGAGGTGGATAAAAGCCCAGCAGGCAGAGAAAGAGGATTCCCAGTCCTAAAGCCCACCAGCTTGAACAGATAAAAAGACAGGTTTTCTTTCCAACAGCAAGCGGAAATAGGCAGTCCCTGTCGGGCTGGAGAAGACAGAGAAATTCCCCGAAACAAAAGGAATTTCGGCCGCTGCTTGGGAATATTCCTTAAAGTCCCCATCCCAAGGTAGACTAACCAGAGACAGCTGGCTCCAATTATCATAGCCATGAGCCCGGGAAATGAATGAGGGAGAAGCCCCCACATACAGCGCTAGTAGTCTGGGTCTATCAGGAGGAACAGCGAGAGACAGTCCGTATCCCCTTTGTCAGGGATGGCCCGTATTTCCTCCAGCAACCTGAGTTTATTCGGAGGAAGCCTGTTTAGATAATCATCATCCAATATATGGGGAGGGGGTTTTCTAGACTGTTTAGTGGCCAAACACATTCTACAAGAGGCCCTTAAGTCGGGGTCCTAATTTAGGGCCATGAAGGCCTGGACATAGGCCACTTGCCCTGTTTCCTACAGAAGAGATCTAACAGATAGATCATATTGAAGCTTAATGTCCCATTAATGAGCCATTTTTCCTCATCTCTTTGGGTTTTTTTTTTTAAGATCTTATTTATTTATTTGACAGAGAGAGACATAGCGAGACAGGGAACACAAGCAGGGCGAGTGGGAGGAGAAGCAGGCTTCCCGCTGAGCAGGGAGCCCGATGCGGGGCTCGATCCCAGGACCCTGGGATCGTGACCTGAGCCGAAGGCAGACACTTAACGACTGAGCCACCCAGGTGCCCCTGGTTTTGTTTTGTTTTGTTTTGTTTTAAGATTTTATTTATTTGAGAGAGAGAGTACAAGTTGGGGGGGGGGGCAGAGGGACAAGCAGACTGTCCACTGAGCAGGGAGCTGGATGTGGGGCCCCATCCCAGGACCCTGAGATCATGACCTGAGCTGAAGTCAGATGCTTAACTGATTGAGGCACCCAGGCACCCCTCCTCATCTCCTAAGGAATACTGAGGCCATGCAGTGTTACAGAAGACCAGTCCTTTCTTGGAGCTTGCAATCCAAATTGTTTCCAGTGGGTAAAAAGGCATCCCAAGGGAGAGCCCTTGGGAACTAAAAAAGAAGCCTAGAAGGTCCGTTATCAAGAAAATCCTCCCTCCCCCCACCCCCCGGGTGGCATCCCATGTAGGATATATCAGAGGCTCCTGGTGTCAAAGTGACCCAAGGTGTCCCTCTAAGGAAATTGCTATGATCACCACCCCGCCCTGTAGGAGGGATGCTGGTGCCCCCCCACCCTGCTTTTCCCTTGCATCCTAGGCTACAAAGGGGTGCCAGTGAATGGACCAAAATACCATGCCATGCCTTGCCTTGCCGTGCCATGAAGAACCCACCGTTTTTAACCCATGGAACACACTAGAAAAATTTTACAAGCGGAAATTACCCCATGTTGTAATTTAAGTGGTATAGGACATTGACTGAAAACAGTAAAGGTAGAAATCCATCATGGTCTAAGCAACATTCCAATACATTTGGTCCTTACAGCCAACTTCCCTAGGAAATGGTCCCGTTTGGGTTTTAATTCAATCAGGTACTGGTTTCGGCTGGCTTCCAGAGGAGGTCTCGCGGCCAGAAGTGGCTGGACCGGAGATGTGAAAGGGGTCACATTAGACCCGATGAGAAGGAAACCTCACACGGGAGTCTTAAGATTGGCAGCTGTACTAGTCACTTAGGTGGCTGTCCTGTGCCCAAGACAGACAACTTTGTATAAGAATAGGAATAAAGAGGAGCTCCTGGGTGAGTTGGTTAAGCAACCGACCCTTGGTTTCAGCTCAGGTGATGATCTCAGCATCATGAGATCAAACCCCACATTAGGCTCTGTGCTCAGTGCAATCTGCTTGAGATTCTTTCTCCCTCTGCTCCTCCCCCCAGTGTGTGCACTCGTTCTCTCTCTCTCAAATAAATAAATAAATCTTTAAAGAATAGGATAGAATTCTTGGGACATTTTCAGTGCAAAAAGCGTGGTTTTATTAAAGCACGGGGACAGGACCCATGGGCAGAAAATGCTGCACCAGGATTGTGAGGAGTGACTGATTATACACTTTTAAGTTTGTGGAGGAAGTTGGGGTAGAGATAATGTGAGTTTCTCAGGAATTTTTGTGTGCTGAGAGCAGGGTCTACAGGACCTTGGAGGCCTGGCTGTCATCAAGACAAGGTTGCTTTTCGTCCCTAGTAAAACATCAACAGGAAGGCGGCCTTGAGTTCCTTGAGGAAGGTCACGCTCAACCTGTCTCAGGTATTCGGCAGTGGGCTGCAGGCTGTAAGGAGATGGAATTTAAGCTACATTTCTCTGGCTTCTGTTTTCCTCATCAGGGAGCCACTACAGTGGGGGAGAATGGTCAAGGAAGGGCTCACTGCTGTGGTTAAGGCAAGCCTTGAAGGAGAGAGGGAGGGAGAGTTCCAGGCAGAGGGAACAGCAGGTGCAAAGGCCTTGAGGTGGGAATGTGCACGGCACTTTTGAAGAACATCGAGGAGGCTGGTGTGTTTGGAGCAGAGAGAGCGAGAGGGACAAGGCGGGTGAGGTCAGTAAGGTAACGGGGGGCCAGAGAACACAGGACAGGGGGTCAGCAAACATTCTTAAAGGCCAGAGAGTACATGTTTTGGGCTTCGAGGTCCATGAGGTCTGTGTTTCGACTCCTCTGTTGTTGTATCAAGAAAGCAGCCAGAGATGAGCCATAAATCACTAGTGGTGGCTGGGTTCCAAGAGAACTTTACTTACATAACAGCTATTGGGCCTTGAAGGCAAGAGCTCAGAAGAGGAGGAGCCAGCCAGGTGACAGGGAGGGAGCTGACAGGCAGGAGGGAGGGGAGGGAACCCAGTCAAAACCCACACTCTGCACACGGAATAAAACAAAGCAGAAGAACTGCGTCAGACTTTGCAAGGCTCTCATCCTGCAAGCCAGGAAACTCAGGGCTACGGGACCGATGAGTTCCAACTGTTCACAGAGCAAGGGGTTTTTATGGGATAAATGCAGAAGTCGTCTGGCTTCTGGAGCTGATTGGTCTAGAGCTAATGGTCTTTCTTATTTGGATTCAAGGGACTCCAAGGGAACAGGAAGTCCAGAGAGAGCACAAACAGACTTTGGTGCTCGGGGATTGGCTGGTGTCCTCAGCTGATTTCTGAGAAGAGCTGTAAATTCCTGTAAGGTTAGGTTAAGTGTCCTTTATGCGCCTACGTTGGCCATCTCCATTCTGCCTTTGACACAAGTGACTCCATTTTAGTTTGGTTCCACACCCAAGAAGGGGGCATCCTGGAGTCAGGGAAGCAAGGGCTCCCGGGAGGACAAGTGAGTGACCCCCGTCCTACGGCGGCTACTGCCTCCAGAAAGCCCAGGACTCTGGGCTGGCCAGGGGCGTGGCATCTCGGGGATCACCTGGAGGAAAGCAGCTTTGGGCAGGTGGGGGTGGGGGGAGCCGATTGCAGTGAGGTCGGCAGAGGTGGAGATGGGAGAGGAATTGGGATTTGGGTGTAGTGAGAGTAGGAGAGATGAGCTGGAACCTGGAGGCTCAAGAAGGGTGGTGGTGGGTTTTTGGGGTGGTTTTGCTTTCTGTCTTTTAAAGTTGGAAGAAATAACCACCTGCTTAAGTGCTCATAGGAATGATTCAGTAAAAAAAAGGGGAAGCTTTGGTGGGGGGGGTGGTTTCTGGAGCAAGGACATCAGAGCCTGTGTCCCATCCCCCAAGCTCTGTACCCCGGTTCAGGCCTGAGTCTGCTGTGGGGCCGTCACGGGTGCTTTTCCTGATTCACAGAATGGCACCTCGGAGGCCAGCGGTGGCTCTGGGCGCTGTCCTTGGGGAGGCAAGACGGGATGGCCCCCAGAGTGCTGGGGAGGGTCGGGCCGGGAACGGGACCACACAGGATGGGGGAAGGGCTAGGAGGCTATGGCCCGGAAGCTGGCTGGTAAAGGAATGCAAGGCATTTCTCTTCCGCTTGTCCTATTTTGTGAGTGCAACAGAAAGCAAGGTCTGCTTGAGGGGGTGAGGGGAGGGGAGGTAGTGGCAGGGGTTTGAGGACAGAGGAGAAAGTGTGAATTGGCATCCGGAGGGAGGGGGAGGGAACTAGAGTCTCATTCTCCCGCAGCCTTTGCCCCCGCTTGGGATGGAAGGTGGTCATTTGGAGCGAGGTTTTCAGCGCAGCAGTAGGGTGAAAAGCACTAGTCAGCGTTGTGCAGAGTGGGGAGGGGTGCGGGGCCAGGGTGAGGGTGTGCCAAGGGCTGCTTATATGCTGGGTGGTTAAATTGTGGAAGGAGGGGTGAGACAGCAAGCAGCGAGGGACAGTCAGAGGGTGGCAGGGCCAGAGGATGGGGTCTGATGGGGGAAAGACGACTGAATCGGGGACTAGAGGATGGGGTGGGCTCTGGAGCTGAAATTATGGAGTGGGTGTCGTTATGTAGGATGACCAAGCCTGGGGGCATCATGGGAGCAGGTGGCTGAGGTGGGACGAAGGGCAAGATAGTGGGAAAGGAAGAGAGACCAAGGACTCCGCACACCAGGAGTGGGAGGTGTCGGCGGTGTGGATGGTGAAATGGTCAAGAACTGTGGTGTGTGTTGGAGACTGGGACAGTGAGCCAGAACTGAAACCTTCAAGGAACGAGGGGACAGGGGCTGGACTGGTTTTGGGGCCTGCCTGGAGCTTGGGGCTGGAGTGTTCTAGAGAGGGGAGAAGGCGGGAAATGGGGGCGGGAAGCAAAGAGGGCCCCCTCCCCCGGCCTAGTGGTCTGAGAGAGCCCCCACGTGAGAGGGCTGCCCAGGAAGCAGGGGCCACAGAGAGGTCTGTGGTCAGTGTTAGAAGGAACAGGTGCTGGAGGACACGAGACATTGTCAAAGGAAAGGGGGTGGTAATGGGGGCCTGACCAGGACAGCTGGGGTTGGGCCCCAGGGCAACCAGGGGTTGCTGGTGAAGGGTGCTTTGTGGACCAGGGCTGGGGTGTGGCTTGGTGGGAGCCGGGCATCCTGTTCTTGCCCTTCAGAACCCATCCGATCAAACAGGTCAGACCGCTGGCTGTGGTGTGGGCCAAGGACACTGTCGCCTTGGCTTTGCCCTGGAGCCCATGGAGCTGAGACCTGATGCCAACCACAAGGAGAATGTGCCCCCCAGGCCTGCGGCGCCCCTGAGGCCAGGCAAGATGATTAATGGGTCTGGGTTGGATGTGGCAGGAGCAGTTATTGGCCCAGAGCTCCTTTCCCATCAGGCCAGCCCAGGGCCTCACTAATTCCAGAGATAAGCTGGACAGGGCCAGCTGGACCAGGACAAAGTCTTCCTAGCCTGGGGCTGAGGGAGAGTCAGGAAGAGGCAGACCAGGAGTGGGCCTGGCTGGGACCCCTGGCTGAGAAGGGCGGTCTGTGTCAGGGTAGTGGCTCGGGTGCTGGGGACTTCGAGAAGGCTACAAAGCTGCTACAGCCAAGGATGGAAGCAGCCCCCAGACAAATTCAGATTCTGATTCACAGGCCAGTTTCTCCAAGTTCTAGCTGTGTGACTGTGGGGCAAGTTGCCAAACCTCTCTGAACTTTAGTTACTATCTTCAAAGCTGAAGGTCTTCTGGTCCACTCCAGATGCTAGGCCCTCCCTAGTCTTCCGCTGTGGAATGGCCTTGGGGGCTCGGGAGACTACACCCCACGCCAAGTCCCCAAGAGCCACTCCCTTGTAGCTATTGGATGTGTTGGGTCTTGTTCTAACCCCCGGGGCTGTCCCCCATTACCTCCGCCCAAGCCAGAAATAAGTCATCCTTGGCTCTTCTCTTCCCTTCATCCCCCTACCCCCTTCTGAGCCTCCACAGCAGATCTGAATCTGTCTCCGAATTCCCTCTTCTGTCCCTGCCACTCCTGATCCCTGCCCTGTCATCTCTCACCTGGGATGCCCTCAACAGCCTCATTCCTGTCCCCCTGCTTCCCTCTGCCCTCCACCCCGCCTGCGCCCCAGCCCTGCTCCCTGCAGCCTGAGTCAGACCACCACTCAGTCCACTGGGGGAGTCCTGGCCCCCTCCCACCCGGAGCCCTGTCTCTGACCAGCAACCCCCAACCCACCCCAGCACCGAACACCAGCTCCCCCCCCTCCCCCCACCAGGGCACAACTGTCTCTCCTCTCTTTAGAGCAGCAGAGGTTCCTGAAGAGCCGAGATGTCGGCCTGGGCAGTGGACTTGGCCGGTGGGTGCGCTCGTACCAGGCCCAGAGGGGAGGGCCTGCCGCCACACCCTCCCCAGGGGCCAAGCTGCACCAGGAGACTTGCCGAGTCCAGACCAACCTGGCTGGCCCGAGCCCCGGCCTGAGCCTCGTCCTGAAGGACACAACTGGCCGGCTGATGAACTCAAGCTTGCAACAGCAGAGCAACCTGGAGCGCCCGGCCGGCAGGCCCCAGGGGAGGGCCCGAGAGCTCGCCATCCAGCAGAATAACCTGAGCATGAGGGGGACCAGCTCGGCTGAGTGCAGAAGTCCCATCAGTCCCCACCTCTGGCCCCACACGACCCCTCTGTCCCCACACGATCCTCGCCCCCAAGGATCACTGGTTTGCCCATCCTCCAGACTGAGACAGTCCCGGCTGCTGGCCACAGGCTCCCCCAGCCCAGACGTCCAACCCGCTGCAGGCTTTGCCCCTTTCAATGGGCACACACGGCCAGGCTCCAGACTCTGGTGTGGCCTGGGGAGCTGGCCCTCTAGGCTCAGGGGGGAGCCCCTCACCCTGGAAGACCTGACTGTCCCTGTCCAGAGCCAAGCTCGGGGCCCATCCCAAACTGCCATCCACCAGCTGCTGGCCTCCGTGCGACACCTGGAGCACGCAGTTGCCCGTCTCGGGTGCCAGGCGTCCCAGGAATCCAGCAGTGGCCAGGTACTCCCTGCCCACGCCCAGCCCAGCCAACCTGTTCTTGCTTCCTGGGATGGGAGGAAGAAACACCTGCCAGGTCTCAGGGAAACTGCCGATTTCCCAGAGACACAAGGGACCCAGGCTGGCCTCTCAGACTCTCAGGCAAACAGGAAGCCTGCGTCCCTGGAGACCACGCTGGGGATCCTGACTGGGGATTTCCTTGACCCTAAGCAGGGGGTCCTTCTGGCCAAGCCCCTGAGGCAAGGAGAGAACTTCTCCCCGGGGCCGACATATGGCAGCGGGCAGAGGGGAGGCCCCTGGCTCCCTCGAGGGGTGGGCAGCAAGGAGGCCAGGCTCTGCTCTCCGGCCCACTCCTGTGTGGCCCAGGGCGTCCCAGCTGGGCAGAAGTGGGGGCAGGTGATTCTGCTGGAGCAGGTCAGCAAGGAGGAAGAGAGGAGGGCTTCCTGCCCAGCAGACGCAGCCCCAACAAGGAGCACCATGCAGGTAGAGGCCAGAGGAGGCCGGGTGTGGGAGCTGGGGGACCTCAGAAGGGCTCCTCCCAGGAACTCTCATGGCCAGCTGGCTGCCACTACCCTGTTACACCCCCCTTCCCCCGGAAAAGGAGGCCTTGGGCAGCCAGGCTTGGCAGAGGGTGTCCTGTCCTGCTTGCTCCTCAGCCTGAGAACTGTGTCATGTCCTTTTGCTTTCCAAGAAAAAAGCCCGAAACGTGGTGAGCCTGGAGTCCGAGACAGCCCGGTGAGGCCATGGGCTGGGGGGTGGGGGCCGGCCACCCTCCTGGGAGAGCTGCTCCCCCATTTGCCTGGGCCAGTGGAGACCAGCCCCTGATGGAGGTCAGGCCCTGGTGGCAGATCCATGCAGGACTTCCGGGGGAGGGGACTTCCTTCACCCTGTCCCTGCTGGGGAATGCGAGGGACCTCCCGGGCCCCAAGGACAGGGACATGGGGACTGCTGTGGCTGCTGGGAATCTGCAACTTCTAAGGCTGCCTGGCACTCTTGGCCATCAAGGGGGCATTCTGCGGCTCTAGGAGTTTGCTTGTCCGGGATTTCCCGGGCTGGCCACCCGCAGAGGGCAGTTCCTCCAGTCCGCAGCTGGTCTTCCTGCGGCAGCATGAGGCGTCAGGGCTGGACAGGTGACCTGGGTGGTGCCCGGCCCCCAGCTGCTTCCTGGGGCCCAGGGGCCAGGCCCACCCCCCGATCAGCCCCGGTCTGGCCCCAGCTGGCAGTGGCTGTCCAGATGTTTTGGAGCCTGGTGGCACTTGGTGCAGGGACGGAGGACAGCGGCTGCAGCAGAGGCCCTGGGCCACCCGCAGGTGTTACGCAGAGGCCTGGGGGCGCTTGGGCGGGCTCCGCGGCTCCAGGAGGCCCAGCTGGAGGTGGCGTGGAGGCGACACACTCAGGCCTTACTGGCCCAGAGCTTCCAGAAGGTCAGGGGCCTCCCGGTTGGGCCATGGGGCGGTGATGAAAGGCTGGTATGTCTGGGGAGGGGGTTCCTGTGGGGCACCTGTTCTGTACCTCCTCAGTGAGCTGCGGTAGAGCGGGTGGAGGGCCACCCAGACACCTGAACCAGCTCTGCTGCTGTTGACATCCTGCCTCCGCTACTTTCTTTTTTCCACGATTTCTTGCTGTGTGGCTTTGGGCAGGTTACTTAACCTCTCTGCGCCTTAGTTTCTTTCGCTCCAAAATGGGATAATAATAATAGTACCTACCTTTCAGGGCTGCTGGGAGGTTAAGTTAATAAATAGAAAGGACTTAGGACCCTGCTTAGCACACAGCAAGTGCTCTACCGTATGAGTGGTTGCTATCTTTTACCCGTGGCTAGTCAGCCAGGACTGCCAGGACACGTCTGTGTTCTTCCCTCCTTGGGAAAGGGGTCCTCTGGGAGGGCCCAGCTCCAGGATCTGCCTCCCAAGGAAAGCGCTGTGTCTTGGGCTCCTTCTCTCCATTCATTCATTTATTCCCAAAGGGGCTGGGCAGTCTACAGGTTAAGACCGAAGGCTTTGGAGTTGGACATTTCTGTCCCTGCACCCCACCCTGGTGCCCCCTCTTGGGGCACATATGAGGCTGCCGCTGACATCCTTCTCTCCCTCTCTCTTCCCCAGTGGAGAAACCAGACTCTGCAGCAGAAGCAGGGGCAGCCACACGTCCAGGCTGGGCCGGGACCCCCACCCTCTGGGGCAGGACAAGGCCAAGGCCCCTCAGGAAGGGAACCAGGGGTGGACCCCACCAGGAGAAACAGGTAGTGCAGGACACCCCAGTGGCCCCTGGGCAGTGCTGGTGGCCTCCCTTCCCCCGCTTCCTGCCTCAGTGTCCCCCCTCCCCGCTCTCCCCATAAGAGAATGAAGATGAAACCCGCAGATGTGGACAAAGCTTTGTGCAAGAGTATGTCCATGGCAGCATTATTTCTATTGCTTGTAAAAACTTCAAAACAGGCTAAGTGTCCCACGGTGAGGGAGAAAATTATGGTTTAGCAACTGTTCAATACGATGTTCATCAAGACTTTAAAAATTCCTCATTCATTTTTAAAATTTTTCGTTTCAATATCTTTATTGGCGTTCTTTCTTTTTTTTTTTTTAAGATTTTATTTATTTATTTGACAGAGAGAATGAGAGAGAGAGCACATGAGAGGGGGGAGGGTCAGAGGGAGAAGCAGACTCCCCGCCGAGCAGGGAGCCCGATGCGGGACTCGATGCGGGACTCGATCCCGGGACTCCAGGATCATGACCTGAGCCGAAGGCAGTCGCTCAACCAACTGAGCCACCCAGGCACCCCTATTGGCGTTATTTCTAATTGTAACAGTAAGGCGTGTTTGATTTGAAAAAAACACTCCCAAATAGTTGAACCTTTCACCGCCCTTTCCTATGTATTCCCCCTTCCTAGAAGTAGTTTCATGGGTATTTGCATTGAATTTTTAGTGACAAGGAGAAATGGTTTTGGTATCTTAGATGGGGGGGGGGGGGAGGCTAAAAAATGGTGTGTAAGATATTTTTCGTGCACATGAAACAATACAGAAGGAAAAACAGTGAAATGTCGTACAATTACTTAGCACTACCAAACAGCTCACTTAGAGATGGCTAAGACAGTTAAGCTTCATATATTGTGTATTTTATTATTGTGTATTGCTCAAAATGAAAATCAATAAATATTTCGTCCAAAAAACATGCTGAAATAAGCAGATAGTGCTTATCTCTGGAGCAGTGAAATTCAAGTTGGCTATTTCCTCTCCATTCCCTCAATCTTCCACTACAGCAAACGATGGGTTTTGTTTCTATTTGTAAATGAAACAAATGTGTTTAAAATAATTATTCAAATGCCATTTGTTTGAATACATGTTTGCTGTGAGAATCCAAATGGTACTGAAGAGAATGAAACAGGGGCGCCTGGGTGGCTCCGTCATTAAGCGGCTGCCTTCGGTTCAGGTCATGATCCCAGGGTCCTGGGATCGAGTCCCATGTCGGGCTCCCTGCTCTGCGGGAAGCCTGCTTCTCCCTCTCCCTCTACCTGCCACTCGCCCTACTTGTGCTCGCTCTCTGTCAAATAAATAAACAAAATCTTAAAAAAAAAAAAAAAAAAAGAGAGAAAGAGAGAGAATGAAACCAAAGCAGAACTTCCCCCCAGATCGCTTTGATAATCAGGGATGATATGGAGAGAACAGGTTGGGGTAGGGGTAGCTGAGCGCACATTTGCACCTGCCGTGGTGGTGGCCGGGTGGCCAGGTTGGGACTGTGTGCTCTCCCTCAGCCTGACCCAGGGCATCGGTTTCTCTCTGGGCAACTTCACTCACAGTCCAGGGAGTCCGAGGGAGGAGGCAGGAGCCTGGCCAAAACCAGCTGGAGGCGATGGGGTAGACCAGATGCTGCAGGTCTTACAACAACTGGCCGGTGAGCTGTGGGCCCCGGGAAAGCAGGGGAGAGGGAGCGGGGTTGGCCCCAAGCACCCACACTGGGCAGGGCTGGGGCTCCTGAGCGAATGAGTGCTTACTGAGCATCTACTTGGACAGCTTCCCAGACACGATTTCATTTGAGCCTCACGGGACCTGGTCAAGGCTTTGTGCCCAGTTTACGGATGGGGAAAGTGAGGCACAGAGAAATTAAGTGACCAGCTTGAGGGCACACAGTATGAAAGGCGCACATCCTGTATTTGTGTGCCGTTGATGTTAATACAGCTCCTGCAGAAGCTTGAGTGTTCGAACCGGAAGGTCCCTCAGACATCACTCACTCCAGGGAAACTGAGGCCCAGAGACGGGGAACGACAGAGCCTCCTCCTGTCCTGAGCCTCCCTACTCTCTCTCCGCTTTACAGTCTTCCTGTTGTGGTACCATCAGAAGGACTGGGCCAGGCGGGAGAGGGGGTTCCAGGGAGAGGCCTCCCAGGTCACACCGAGGACTCAGAGGAGGGGGAGACGCCCCCAAGCCCGGTGCTCTCCTGCTGCAGATGCACCCAGGGTGGCCTTGCCGGACACTCAGCAGCGGAGAGCCTGGCTCTGCAGGTTAGGAGAAGTAGAAGAAGGTGGGAGTGGGGACCCCCTTCCTTGAGGCAGAGGGATTTGGTCCTAAGCAAAGCTCAGCGCCGGCCGCCCCCCAGCCCCGCTCCTGGAAGCACAGCAGTCACACAGGGTACGCCAGTAAGTGTCGTGAGGGGAAGGAACACAGATCCATAAGAGGGTTTTTCCCGTGTTAATTTTTTACGATGCGACATTTACATCTTACACAAAAGTAGAGAAAATAGGTACTAACCCCCAGCGTCCCCATCACCCAGCTTCAAGAAGATCGCCTCCTGGGGACGCCTGGGTGGGGCAGTCGGTTGAGTGTCTGACTCTTGGTTTCGGCTCAGGTCATGATCTCAGGGTCCTGGGATCGGGCCCCGCGTCAGGCTCAGCGCTAGCATGGAGTCAGCTTGAGGTTCTCTCACTCCCTCTCCATCAGCCCCTCCTGCTCATGCTTTCTCTTTCTTTTTTTTTTTTTTAATTTTTTTTAAAGATTTTATTTATTTATTCATGAGAGAGAGAGAAGCAGAGGCAGAGGGAGAGGGAGAAGCAGGCTCCCCGCACAGCAGGGAGCCCGATGCGGGACTCGATCCCAGGACCCTGGGATCATGACCTGAGCTGAAGGCAGACGCTTAACCGACTGAGCCACCCAGGCGTCCCCATGCTTTCTCTTTCTAAAATAAATAACTAAAATCTTTAAAAAAAGAAAGAAAAAGAGAAAATCACCTCCTGAAAACCTTGTTTCATCTGTACCCCAACTGCTTCCCCTATGTTATTTTAAAGCAGGCCCCCCACATCATACCGTTTCACCCATAAATACTTCTGTAGCATCTCTAAAAGATAGGGACTCTTTCCAACAACATAACCACCGTGCCATGATCACGCTTAAAAGTGAACATTAATTCCTTAATACCAACTGTTTTACAGGTACACATTCTGTTATAGTTTGTTTGAACCAGGATCTAAATAAAGTCCTCATGTTAAAGTTGGTCGATAAGTCATTAAAGTCTTTTTGAGCTCTGGGGTCCCCTCTAGTTTTTTCTTTCTTTTTTTTTTTTTTAAAGATATTTATTTATTTATTTGATGGAGAGAGAGACAGCGAGAGAGGGAACACAAGCAGGGGGAGTGGGAGAGGGAGAAGCAGGCTTCCCGCTGAGTAGGGAGCCCGATGTGGGGCTCGATCCCAGGACGCTGGGATCATGACCTGAGCCGAAGGCAGACGCTTAACGACTGAGCCACCCAGGCGCCCCCCCTCTAGTTTTTTCTTTGCAATTTATCTGTGGAGGAAACCAGGTTGCTGATCAAGTAGTTTCCCCGGGTCTACATCCTGCTGCCTGCATCCCCCAGTGCAGTTTCTTTTTTTCAAAGATTTTATTTTTATTTATTTATTTGAGAGAGAGAGAAGGAGGGAGGGGGAGAGGGAGAGAGAGAAGCAGACTCCCCACTGAGCAGAGAGCCCCACGTGGGGCTGGATCCCAGGACCCTGGGATCACGACCTGAGTGAGCCAAAGGCAGACACTTCACCGACTGAACCACCCAGGCGCCCCCCAAGTGCAGTTTCCTAGGAGAACTTTGAGCGAAGTTTGCTGAGCTCAACCATGGTTCCACGGAGATGTGAGGATGAATGCTTGGCCCGTTGAGGGAGAGCCAGCAGGAGAGCGCTAAGCGAAGGAACCATACAGGCAAAGGCCCGTGACAGGGGAGTGTGGGAAACTCAAAGGACACCCTGGCAGCCCAGGGTGGGGGCCGGGGGGGGGGTTAAGATGAAGATGGAAAGGCATGCCAGGGCCAGATCATGGCCTTGTAGGCGGTGCCGAGGAGTTGACATTCTGTCCTAACCGCAAGGCGGGCAGGGGGGGACCGCTGGGGGTTTTCAGCAGGGGACCAAGATGACTGCATTTGAGATTGGAAAAAGATCACTCTGGCCACTGAGCTGTCAGTGCCTGGAGGGGCCCCGAGTGGATGCGGGAGGCTGTGGAGGCCATCCGGGCATCCGGCGGTGAGGGCGTGGTGGCCCGAACAGGGTCAGAGAGTGAAGTGGCTTGTCCAAGGTTCAGCAGTGGCACGGACGACTCATACCAGCGCCTTCTCTCGGTTCCCCAGGTGCTTTGGGGCCTGGCAGCAGTTTGTGCAAAGAGCCACCCGGTCCCGGGACCACCTGGCCCGCCGCCGGGCAGGGAGCCTGAAGTTATATCTGCAACAGTGGGTGCGGATGAAGCAGCTCCGGGCCTCAGATGGAGCGAAGGTGATCCGGCTGTCCCTCTGCCGCCAGAAGGCGGGTGAGCGAGCAAGTGGCAGGCCGAGGGGCTCCCTTTCCCTCCCACCCCAGCAAACAGTGGCACCTAAGCTCCGTCTGTGGTGGGCCCCAGTGGAATTGATGGCTTCTCGTGATGGGAGGTGGTAGAACCCAGAGCATTCTGGGGGGTGCGGTCTGACGGCCCGGGAGGGTCCAGGAGGGGTCCCCAGAGTGGGCAGGCCTTGGCTGGGCCCCATCCTCACTCCAGGTCAGGAGCTTCTCAGGCAAGAGACTTCGTTCCATCTTCCACTAGGAGGGGATGTGATCCCTGCTCTCGGAAGCTCCTGGTCTGGGGGATAATACACAGCCCTTGTCCCCCTCCCCCCCAAAAAAAATCTGATAAGGAAAATGGGCTCTTTGAGGTGTCTTGGAGGGGAGGATTTGGAAGCAGTGGGAGGGGGCAGTGCCTGGGAGGGGAGGTCCTAAGGAGGGGTGAGGCAGGCTGGGGCAGCAGCCCACACCATCCCTGACTGCCATGGGTGCCGCCAAGGGCTTTGGGTGGAAGGAGGTCACTGGGGACACGGCTGATTCATCCTTTGACTCCTTCTCAGGGAATGTGTCCCTCTGCAGCTCAGCGCCTAGAGCGGCTACAGCCCGTGGCCTGGGGGTAGTGGCTCAGGCCCAGGGGCTGCCCCAGGAGCAAGGCGGGGGCTCCCTGCAGGAAGCCTGCCGGAGACTGGCCCTGCACCGGGCACTGCTGCTCTGGAGGACGAGGCTCTCCCAGCGCCAGAGGGCGGAGTAGGTGTCCATGAGCCTGTGACCTGGGGTTGGGCCTGGGGTTGGGCCTGGGGGTACGCATGTGAGCAGTGCTCATCCCTGGGAAGTGTCCCACGGAGAATGGGCCAGGTCCTGCCCTTCCCCGAGGTTCCTGCAGGGACCTGGCATGCTGCGGTACCCGGCAGGCAGATGCGGGGCTGAGGGAGGTGGCCCAGGGGCCGGGAGACAGTGGTTGAGCAGAGAGCAAGCTGTGGGAGCATGTAGTAGCCGGGGACACAGACACAGACCCCTACCTACCAGGGGGGCTGGAACCTGATGGAGAGGTTGCTTGCTTCTCTCCGGGCTAGAGGGGGGAGTCCCCTGGTGGCAGGAACAGTGTCTGCCTCACCTCGGTCTGGCATGTTAGAGACATGATAGATACTGTAAGCAAGTAAGTGCCCCCGTCTGCCTTGTTATACAGCTCGAGAAACTGGGGCTCAGAGGGCCGAGCAGCTTGCTCTAAATCACACTGTGAATTAGGAGCAAGAAGATCCCTGTTGCTTTTCTACAAGACAGTCGTTGCTGGGACTCAGAGTCCAGGCTGATGGCTGTGGGTGAGGGGGCGATGGGGGTCAGGAGGGGCCAGTGGCGCCGATGAGACCTCAAGTGGAACATAAGCCAGCAGTTGCAGGGATAAGAATTCCGTCATCAAAAGCCCCATACTAGGGTACCTGGGGCACCCAGTCAGTTTAGCATCTACCTTCAGCTCAGGTCATGATCCCAGGGTCCTGGGATTGAGCCCCATATCAGGCTCCCTGCTCTGTAGGGAGCCTGCTTCTCCCTCTGCCCCTCACCCCCACTCGTGCTCTCTCTCTCTCAAATAAATAAAATCTTAAAAAAAAGAAAGCGAGAAAGAAAGAAAGAAAGAAAGAAAGAAAGAAAGAAAGAAAGAAAGAAAGAAAGAAAGAAAGAAAGAAAGAAAGAAAGAAAGAAAGTCAATGCCTAGTATCCATCATCCATACCCCCTTGGTCCACCTGGACCCTCCGTCTCTTTGAACGAAGCCCCTAGAACTCCCAGAGAAGTCAGTTCACCATGATCCCTCAGAATGTAGCTCTCCCTCCTCCAGTCCATCCTCTAGCCTCTGGGCATCAGGGAACAGTATCTCCCTACAACAGAGCTAGGGTTGCCCTGTGATCTAAAATAAGTGTTTGAATCCCATGTCTCCTGCTATTTGGAGTTTGGAGAAATGACCTTCCATCAGGCCTCGGTGCCCTTATCTTTATAACCGAGCAGAGGCAGAAGTACTGATGGGACCATACATGTGGTCTCCTGAGTCTGGGGTCCTTGGGTCTGGGGCCCAGCTCCCCCTCCCATCAGGAGTGTGGCGAGGATCGCGAGGTGATGCAGGTGTAGACAGCAGCTGCCTCAGCCTTAGATACTCGTGAGAGTCACTCTGGGAGCTCTGGAAAAGTTAGGAAGCCCAGGCCGCACCTAGACTGCTAAGTCAGAATCTCTGGGGGTGGGACCCCAATGGGCATGAGTATGTCTCAGAGCCCCCGGTAGTCCCATACGTGGCCTGGTGTTTGGCATGGGAGGCCCCTTCCAGATCAGCTCTGGCAGAGACCCAGCCGAGGGTAGCACCTGCTTGGCAGCCCCGTCAGCCAGGGGGTGAGGCTGGGGCCCAGGGACTCACCTGCCCCTTCCTGTAGCTCCTTCCTCCGGGGCATGCGGCAGCAGATGATTCGGCGTATCCTGAAGGGGTGGCATTTGAAGGCGGGGGGTCCGAGCACCCCATCAGACAGTGCCAGGACCACCTTGGCCCCGGAGCTCCTGAGCGGCATCCCAGGAAGGGAGCCCTTGCTGGGCTGCAGCCCACCCCGAAGCTCACTAGAAAAGGTGAGGGGCAGGGGGTGGGGGGCAGGTGGGAGGAAAGGGTGGGGACAGGGCAGGGGCCCAGGGATCCAGGACTCCATCCCTCCTTCCCCAGGCTTCCAGGGCCCCCGCCCTCTTGGAGACCCTCCGGCTGAGCTTTTTGTGGGCCTCTGGGCAGCGGCAGAAGGCACGGTGCCTTCTGCTCTGGCAGGTGCAGGCCCAGCAGTCCCGGGGTGCAGCGAAGTGGCACCAGCGTACTCTTCAGAGGCGGTAGGGACCCCTCCCCATGGCGGGTGAGCCATGCCACCCACCACTCTGTGGACATCCTGTTCCCAGCCCCCTTCCCATTACTCCTTGACCTTCACAGCAGCATCCCTTTGCGGTCTGCCTCCCAGAGGGCTCCCATCTCACGCTCCGATCTGTTGGTACCCAGACTCAGGTCCTCTGGACTTCTGCCCTCCTAGCCTGCCAGTCGTTTCTCCCAGAGACTTCATAGCTGTGGCTCATTCATCTATTCATCCGCAGCACAATGCTCAAGCGTCGGTCTGCCTGGGTTCTAATCCCAGCTTTGCCCCTCGCTAGCTATGTGATCTTGGGCAAGTTGCTTAACCTCTCTGTGTCTCCTCCATCTCTCCATTTGTATGGGGATGATAACAGTAGTCACTCTGGTGGGCATCAACAAGGTAGGGGCACGCAATCCCCTAGCCCAGTACCTGGCACATAGTAAGCACTCAGTTCATGGCAATGTTTATCACTGGTGGCTGAGCTCAGGACTTGGTTGGGGTCCGAGGTCCCATCTTATCCCTAACCTGTCATTGTGACACTCGGAGTAGCATGTGAGCAGTCCAGCCCCCCCAGCAAGCCACGCTCCCCCATGAAGGAAACAGGGAGAAGAGTCCCCTCGAGCTCCTAGGGGAGCCTGAGGTGGCACTGACCATCCTCAGGGTGGACGCTCCCCTTCCTAGCATCCTCCTCGGCTGGAGCCACTGGGCCACGGCCCGAGGGGCCCGGAGAGAGCTGGCTGCTGGCTGGGCCTGGGAGCGGAGCTGCAGGGCCGCGCTGGGCTTGTGGCGGAGGCGGCTGGTGCAGGGGCGAGAGGTGGAGCAGTGGGTTCGGGCGCGGGGCCGCACACTGGTTCGACGCGCCCTGAACTGTTGGCATTCCTCCTGGCAGAGTGAGTCGGGGCCTGGCTCCGGGGCACTGAAGGGGAGGGAAGGGCTGGGTCCATCAGGGAGACCCAGGGTTTTGTGTCCTCCAGCACAGAGTCCAGCGATGGGACCCCCACAGGGCACACCCAGGACGGGGAGGGGGCAGAGCGGAACCCAGGGGCCTGGACATTGCCCGTCCGTTCCCCGGCTATGTGGACCTTACACAAGCCACATAACCTCTCTGAGCCTCAGCTTACTCATCTGTCAAATGGGGATCACAGCAGTACCCTCCTCAGAGGGTGATTGTGGGGAGTCTATGAGACCATCCATGCAGTGTTGGCTCAGAACCCAGCTCCTAGTAGGTGTTACTGTCATCATCATCTTGTCTTCATCCTCATCCTCATTATCCTCACCTGGCCTTCAGGAGTCATGGGCCTGAGCACTGAGTCATGGTGTCCTCAGAGCCCAGCATAGGAGGTGATCACTGGGGGCCGTTTTCGAGGCTTCCCACTATACTAACACATCGTATCAATGAGCTGGCGGGTGGGGAACTGGTCGTTCTGGAAAGTTCATGTCCTGTCCACTGGGGACAGCTGCTTCTCCAGCCCAATCGCTGCCCAGTTATGCTGACCCAGGGTTGCCAGACCTCGTTTTCAAAGAAAAGCTGGAAATCTAGATTCTTACATGAATTCTCCTGATTCCTAAACATTTCCAAGAAATGAAAAACAATGAGCTGGGTTGGCCTGGTCATTGCAGGATACTTGTAACCGAAGCATTTAAACCCTGGGGGCCTCCTCTGCCCCTGCTTGGGTCAAGTGCAAAGGGCTGGCTGAGGTGGGGCCCACAGTTACCCAGGGCTGAGGGGCAAGGCTGGGATGAACGCCTGGGGGCATCTCAGCGTCTCTCTGGCCACAGGGCAGCAGTTCCTGCATGCAAAGTATCAGAGGTGGGTGCAGGTCCATCTCCGGGGCTTGAGGAGGTCCGTGTTCCAGAACTGGCGGCAGGCAGCAGCTCGTCGGAGACACCCAGTGGACCCCCCAGAGCAGCTTCTACTGCACAGGTGGGTGGGCCCAGGGCTGGGAGGATGAGGGTCATCTCCACTCTGGAAAAAGCAGAGCGACAACTCAGGGGACCTAACGAGGGAGCCATAGAGTCATGACCACCGACCTTCCTTTACTTGCTTTGTTCGAGGGGTGCCCACCTGATGCCCTGATGAGCCCCAGGTCTCCAACTCCTGGCCAGGTCAGTCCTTTGGTTTGAGAGGACACAGGAAAGCTGAGGGAAGTCCATGCCTCCAACATCCACCATAATGTGTGTTCCAATGTGTTGCCCATGTCTTGTTTGAGGACAGGCAAGTTCTACTCTATACAGTTGCCAAAAGAGCGAGCTCTTCATCTAAACAGAGATGTTCTAGTAAAACGTATATAGCTCATTCGTGCAGAGTTAAAAGCAGCGGGGACAGATGATGCTTCCTCCCACCGTTCAGCTACAAATTCACAGATGTTCACGGTGTCCCCGCACGGGCGGCCGGCCATTGACGGCGGATTACGGATACTGAACAGATACAGCTGAACAGTGGGCAGTTTTTTTGGCCCTTCCTGGAGTGGGCACTGTGCTCCCCTCACCAGCCTCCTGCCCCCGAGAGGGCTTGTGAGGGGAGACCAGGCCTGGCTGCCCCCCCGCCCTGGTGGCACTGGCACTTGACCCCACACCTGCTATGTTCCCACGACCTCCTGGGAGCACCTGCCCTCCTGAGTCTGCCTGCTCGTGCGGAAGCCCTGAACCAAAGCCAGCACTTTGACCCTTTACACATCGGTTCCTACGTTCTGAAGGCACAGGGTTGTGTATGCAAAGCCACGTATAACCTAGGACACTTTGGGGCGGCATCTGTGGGTATGATTTGGAATAAATGGGACTTTTGATGCTGAAAGCCAGCTGGGCCTCTCCTCTGCTCCTGTTTTTCAGCCACTTCCAGGCCTGGTATGGAGCTGAGAGAGATACAGGGGTGGTCCCGGCCACGGGAGCCTCTCAGGATGGCCCGAGAAAGGCCGTGGGGGCCACAATTGCCATGTGGCAGGATGCCCGAGTGGCCAAGGCCTGGGCACAGGAGCAGTTTGTGGCCCGGGCCTCCGTGGCCCGCTGGAGAAGCCACGTGCAGGGGGGCCGGGCGGACAGGCAGCTGAGCAGGGCCCGGGCCCGGCAGGCCTTCGTAGCATGGCAAGCAGCTCTGGGCCAGCGCCACAAGGCCCGCCGCCTGGCAGAAGGCAGAGTGGCCCTGTGCCGGACACAGCGGGTGCGTGAGTCCCGCCTACGCCGGGTCAGCCGAGCCCGGGCTGCCCAGAAGCTGAGCGCCAGGTGGGTGCCTGTGGCCAGAGGGCAGCCGCACATGGTGCTTCCAGCTCTGTTTCTGAGGCCTTGAGCTTGTTGTTGGCAGAGGTAGAGGGTATTTGGTGGCTGGTGACAGGGCTCAGGAGGCTGGGGTCAGAGGGAGAGGCGGTCCCAGCCGCTGCAGCTCATCCTGGGGTCCAAGTCCAGACCTGCACTTTCCAGCAGTGCAACCCCTCTCTGAGCAAGTCTTTGAAGGTCAAAGGAAAATAACAGGCCTGCCTTAGAGAGAGAATGCATGGGAGCACTCGGCTCAGGGGTCAGAAACACAGCAGGTGCTCATTAAACAGTGCTCTTGTGAGGGAGGGCGAGGCACAGTGTAGCAGCAGGACTGCCCGCTCTCTGTTGCCTCAACAAGATGCTTGTCCCTGGTGTGTGATGTTCTGCTGCTCTCTGGGCCTCTTTTAACCAGATTTCCCCAGAAGAGGGATGAGGGGAGGAGCACCAGTGCGGGCTTAGCCTGGAGGTCCCCGCCCAGCAGGGGACTCCTCGCTCACTGGCAAGGGCTGGGAAGGGCCTCCCACAGCCCACCACACATGTGGTTTCCTCCCTCTCTCCCAGTGTCCTAGAGGCCTGGGCCCAGTCGGCAGCCAGGGGCCATGTCCAGCGAGCCACCATCACCCAATTCCAGCAGGCTGGGTCCAGACGCCTCCTGTGGACCCACTGGGCCCAGTGGCAGGCAGCGCTGCTCAGTATGTGGTTGGAACCACAGGCGGAGGCCCAGGAGGCCCGTGCAGTTGACCTCAGGCAGTGGCCCAGGGTGGCCAACAGAAGGCGCCTCCTAGCGCTGACCAACACTCCAGCCCCATGGAAGCAGGTGAGACAGCCTAGGTAGGGTGGGAGGTCCAAAAATGACCTGAGGGCCAGTGGCCTCAGAATCAGCTTGCTTCAGGGCGCCTGGGTGGCTCAGTTGGTTAAGCGACTGCCTTCGGCTCAGGCCATGATCCTGGAGTCCCGGGATCGAGTCCCGCATCGGGCTCCCTGCTCAGCAGGGAGTCTGCTTCTCCCTCTGACCCTCCTCCCTCTCATGCTCTCTGTCTCTCATTCTCTCTGTCTCAAATAAATAAATAAAAAAAAAAAATCTTTAAAAAAAAAAAAAAGAATCAGCTTGCTTCAGCCCGTGGTGGCAAACGTGGCTGGATACTTATCCGGGGGACCCAATGGCCTTATGGACACTACCCCTACTAGGTTCTAGAACAGCCTTCTGGCTCTGGAAGACTGCCATCTTTGGGTCCATCAGCAAACATTTACTGAGCACCTACTGAGTGCCAGCCCAGCACAGGTCTGCCACAAAGACAAATACCGTGGTCACAGTCTATTAGGGAGACAGACACCTGAACTCATATGTACCCTGGTGCAGCCTAGAGTCAGGTGCATGGGGACAGGAACAACTATTCGCCAAGTCCCTTTTGGTCCTTATTGGAAAAATTAAACACGCTCACTACAGGAAAATCAGGAATTACAAAGGAAATGTTGCTTTCATAACTCCCTCCACCCAAAGACAACCACCAGTCCCTCTCCGGACCAGAAGCAGTTAGTTCTGGGGCGCCTGGCTGGCTCAGTCAGTGGAACACGTGACTCTCGATCTCAGGGTTGTGAGTTCAAGCTCCATGTTGAGTGTGAAGACTACTTAAAAATAAAACTTTTAAAAGGGAAAAAAAGAGAAACAGTTCTGACACCCTCAAATGGTGACAATAGCTTAATGGCAAACAGGACTGAAGAGGCCAGAATGAAAGGCAGGCACAAGAAGGGACACCGCATTGCAGTCTAGGGACATGTCATTGGAGGACACACAGCCCCAGAGTTACTGGCAGGCCACACAGTGTTCCTAAAGATGAACTGGAATCATCTAGAATCCTGTTTCAGAATGCCAGGAAGCATGTAATAGATTCTAGAAAGGTTCTTAGAAAAAAGATTAAAAAAAAAATTTTTTTTTAAAGATTCCATTTAGAGAGAGAGCACACGCGTGTGAGTGCAAGCAGGGGCAGGGGCAGAGGGAGAGAGGATCTCAAGCAGATTCCACACTGAGCACGGAGCTCGACACAGGGCTCCGTCTCACGGCCCTGAGATCATGACCTGAGCCAAAATCCGGTTGGACATTTAACTGACGGAGCCACCCAAGCACCCCTACGTTGTTTTTTAAAACGGAATTGAAAGGGCCTAACTTTGGTTATTTGCAGAATCCATATACTCACACTTGGGGGGCTATGGCAAGAGCAGATTCTGGGTGCTCAGTATTTTATTTCTAGATCTGTGTCATAAGACAATTTTATTTTCAGTCTGTTTAAAAATACTAATATTCCATTCTTATCAGCAAAGGCAGGCGGGATCCCATGTGCTGACGGGAGAAACACAGGCATAATGAAACCAAAAGTAAATGCCGGGAAGGATAGCTAGGGTGCTTGGCTCCAGGGCCCCCCCTCTCTACCACATGCACACACGCACCCAGGCGGCCCTCACCGAGCCACACCAGCGCTATTATGCCTCCTCGTGGCAGAGAGGTCCTTCGAGAGCCCCTGGTCCGTGGTAGAGCAGTGGCTGGGCTCGGGCTCTGGAGTCAGATGGCTCCGAGACAGGGGGCCTCAGGCAGGTAATCTCACTTTGTAAAGCCCAGGTGGGGAGAGAAGCCCTGCTCACAGGCTGCCAGGGCACGGGTGAGCGCTCACCAGGCGTGGACCAGGTCCGCCCCTCTGCTTGAGTCTCCAGCCACGCTCGGAGGACGGGGCAAGAGGCAGTGGTGTGTGCCCGTGGCCCTACTCCTCCCAGGCACCTTCCCTGCCTCCTCTGGGAGCCTCGGGGCCACACAAGAGGCGGCGGCCCTGCTTCTGGTCAGGGGCAGGACACGAAGAATCCTGCCAGGTTGCCTGGGATGCAGGGGGTCCAGGCCCATGGGGTTCAGGCTTTCCTCTCTGGCTGTTCCCTCAGACCCACTGCTTCGGGACACTGCCCGGCCCAAGCCAGCACCACCGCCACGGCGGACAGAGGAAGCAGAGAGAAACGTCCTGGGCTCAGAGTAAGGAGACCTGTCCCGGGGGCCAGACAGCTCACAGGCCTGGAAATGCTTTTTATGTACGGGTTTTGTTAACCTCTTCTCCCAGGCAGCAAAGAGCCCCCCCTCTGCCGTGCCTTCCCGCGCCGGTGGCAACGGCCTGGATGCCCCGGCCAGACCCAAGGCTGGCCCCCTACAAGACCAGGAGGGGACTGCAGCTCTGAGGCCGGAGCCCTCAAAGGCCAAGGCGAGGCCGCTAAGAGACAGCTGGGGTAAGAGTAGCTGCGCCTGCGCCTGTGAGTGGGGTGGGTGGGCCCGGGGGCAGGGCCCGGGCCGGGCTGAGCCGGGGGGGCGGGCCCTCTCTCAGGCCAGTGCTCCTTCCTGGAGGATCCACGGGGGTCCGTGGCTCTGCCCTTCTTCCCGGTCACGAAGGGGTCCTGATGCTCTTGGCTATCAGGGTGCACGCCAGGGCCTCTCCCCACCAGGAGGAAGTACCTGCAGCGCTGGCACCGTGAAGCGCCAATTCGCCAGCTCCGGGGCCCCCAGCGGGCCAGGCACCTGGCCGCACCGGGGCAGCACCCGGTAGATGCTCAGGGCGCCGAGCGGCTGGCACGGACGCTGGTGAGTGGGGGCAGCCCCTCCCCAGCCTCAAGCTGATCTCGCAGCTCACCCCGTCCCCGACCCTAACCACTAGAAATGACGTCTCTCAAAGCATCTGGGTCTCTGTACGGATCAAGTCTGAAAGCGTGGGGTCAGGTGCAAGGATCTGCATTAGCGCACCTTAAAGGGCACCCTGCCCCCCGCCGCCCCGTCACAGCCCCTTCCTCCTGGTGCTGCAGAGCGGTAGGGGGAAGACACAGCAGAGGGGCTGGGGGGCAGCAGCGGCCCGGCCGGGGCCTCTCACTTGCCACCCCCACAGCTGAGGCAGTGGCACCTGAAGTGGGCCTGGCGTGTGTGGCGGCGGCGGGCCCTGCGGCTATGGGTGGCTCAGCGATTACAGCAGCAAGAAGGCGACCGGGTCCTTTCCCAGGTACGGGGGGTGGCCCCCACCCCCCAGCAGCTCTTCCGAGCTGGGGGCCCTCCTTGTCACCATCCCCCAGGGCCCCTCCATTTTCAGGGGCAGGGTCAGTTCCATTAGAGAAAACATAGCTTGGGTTTCGATTTAGCTGGCGATCATGTGCTTGGCCCAGGCCTACCCAGCCACTTGGTGTAGGAACGAGGCTTGGCCACAGCATGGCTGCCACTCACACTAGCCCATGTTGGGTATGGGTCCCTAAGTGCCCCCTCCCTTATCTGCCCCACTCTGAGCATAGGTTCCCAGACCTTAAGTCAGATCTGTTCTGAGCCTGTGCATTAGGCCTGGGGCAGAGCTGGCTGGCGGGGAGGCGGGGGGGCTGGGGTGGAGGCGGATGGGGGGGGGTCTCCTATTCCCTCTGGGGAGAGAAGGAACAGGGCACAGGTGTTAGCCTAGCACATACAGCAGACCCAGGAGGGAGCCAAATAGCCTTTCCTTCCTCCTCCCCGATTCCAGGCCTTGGAGAAGTGGCGCCAGCACCTGGCAGCCAGGGGCTGGAAGAGAGGAGCCACCAGCGGCCTGATACCCGAGCCAGGTGGGCATCAGGAACCTGGGAGCAGGCTGGAAGCAGCTCGAGCCCGTGTGTGGTGGACTTGAGGCGGAGCAGGGGACCCAGCTGCAGCTGTGACTTGTTCCCATAGAAAGAAAAACAACACTGAGCCCAGCCTCCCTAAGGAAGGAACCACGCTCCACCCATCAGGGGAGTGCAGCCTGGTGACAGAGGGGCCAGCTCCCTGAGCTCTGAAGGACAATAAAACACAGTCCTTAGTCCTCGCTGCTTCTCTTGCTCAGCGTCTCCTAAGGGCCGCCCCTCTGCCTCGGTCAGCCACCCTGGGAAGGAAGCGAAGAGGGTACAGCCGTGACTGTGCCCGCCTCTTCTGCCATCAGGCTGCTCTTTGGGCACCTACCCCCACTCTCCTCCTGCTGAGCCAGCGAGGACCAGCAGGCAGGGACCGGGACCAGGACAGGGAACAGCTTCTATGCATCTAGCAGTCATTGGCCACTGGCAGTGGGGCTCGAAGGCTGACTCCTGGGGAGCGCTGCCAGGCAGACCGCTTCGGGAACAGGCCGAGCAGATGGGAGGAGGTAGCTGGCGCTAAGAGGTCCCATCTAAAAAACTAAGCCAGGAAGAAGTCAGTCCTGCTCAGTTGAGCCTTAGCTTTGCCCTTGACAGTAATAGGCAGGGTATCCTTCCATGGCCAGGCGGAAAAAAGGGCAGGCCAAGGGCTTCACCAAGTATAAGGGTTCAGATGCCTTTAACCTCTACGAGGTACTTTCCCTCTTGAACCACCAGAATACAGAAAAGCAGCACAGTAGAAAAGTGAAAGCCCAGCTGGGCTCTCAGGCAGCCAGGGGCAAGAAATGCTTGCCTTATCGGGTTTCAGGCCAAGGCCTGGCGGGCGGCCTGCCAAGCAGGTGGGCAGGGCAGGGATCTGCCCCTCCAGCCACAAGCAGGACCACCTCCAAGATGAGCGGGGGCGGGGGGGGGCCCTCCGCTCTGCCGGTCTCTTCGGCAGCACCGTAAGTGCCTGCCACCCGGGTTCACTGCTGTCCCCGCAGGTCCGAATGCAAGGTCCCAGGAACTGCCCTGGTTCAGGGGCTCGGTCAGCAACAACCACCCCCTCTTCTTCTCCTCAGGGAGGATGTTGTTCCACCCACGAGGTCCTCTGCGGAGGGAGGTGCTCCTCATATAGGGCACAGACTCTAGGCTGAGCAAGGAAGACCAGCCTCCCTCGAGGGGCTGGCTCCGGTCCAGCCAGAGCGTCTAGCTGCCATCACCACGTGAGGAGTGGAGGCCGGGGCTTGGGGAGAGATGAAAGAGGAGGGGTCCCCAGGAAAACTAGGATTGGGGAGGAGGAAGGCAGGACACCAGTGGGCTCAAGCCAAGGACACGAGGGTGCAGGATCATAGAGCCTCTGCCCCTTGCTCTGGCGTGGGCCTGTTGAGAAGTTCAAATGTATCTTCTACCACCTGCCAGAGGCAGTTGTCCAGCGGAAACTCATTGTCCACCAAGTTGACCAGGAAATAGTTGTCGTGGATGTACTGGATGATCATGCGGGACGGAGACTCCTCCTCATACAGCTTGCCCCACTGCTCGATCCACAGGGCGAAGGCTTCATCCTGCACCCACACAGACAGGCGGGCAAGGTGAACAGAGCTGCCCTTGGGTCAGGACTGGCTCCATGCTAAGTGCCCCCCAGGGCCTCTAAGCTGCTCAACAGGACATTTCCAGAAATAGAGTAAGGCCCACTGCCAAAGTCGCCTCCCATCCCCCAGGCCAGAAATCAACACCCTGAGTCAGAATCAGAGCACATCTGGGAAGGTAGCGCCCCCCCAGCCCTGGGGGCGTGGCCCCCATGACACAGCCTGCCTAAGGTTTGCAGGGTGAGCAGGGCAGACCCGCTCCTGGGCTCCTGGACCCCTTACCTTCCAGAACATGAAGCTGACGGGATCGACCACTGTAGGCTGGATGATCTCTCGCCCAGGGAAGATGCCCCATGTGACTGCGTTGGGCTGCAGCTCAGGGGCATTGGTGATGTTTTCACCCTGAGGGCAGATGGGCGGGGGTGGGGGGGTGGGGTCAGAGCAGACCTGGGCCTAGACACTGCAGTCCTTTTCCTGCCTGGGAACTCACAGGGGTGGGGTGGGGGGTGGAGCACGCTTTGCTCCATCCCCTCCACCTGCCCCTCCTAGCCTGGCAGCTCCTAGAACGGCCGGGGGCTGGGCACTTCCTTCCTCCTCCCTGGGCTCCAAGCTCCACATGCCCGGGCATCACATCCCCCACATCTGGTGGCTCCCGCTGACTCCTGCAGGGTCACTCTACGGATCTGTGGATCTGTTGCCGTATCAGCCCAGCCAGGCTGCTCTTTGCTACTCAGACTGCCACAGGGAGCTCTGATTCTAGTCTCCCTGGTTCCATTATCCACAGCCCTGTCCACCGTGACCTGTCTATGACAAAACATGGAGCCAAGCCATTGCTGCTCAGAAAGGCTCCCTCTCGCCTTCAGGGGAAAACCAAATTCCCAGCAGGCCTTCAGGGGAAAACCAAATTCCCAGCAGGACAGTCAGTACTTTTAGCCTTACTCTGAACCCACTCAGCAGTCCCTGAAGGCTGCGCAGACAATGCCTTTGCACGACCTCCTCCCTTTCCCTGTGAAGCCTTCTCCTTGTCCTCAAAGATTCCAACCACATGGGACCCCTCCAAGCCTTCCCTGACCTCTCAGATTAGACATTCCTCCCCTGGGTCCCCAGCATCCTATACTGAACCTTATTGTTAAAAATGCAACCAGATGTGTAATTACCCACAGACTGGGCCTCCTCCCTAGACCAGGGGAGGTGCCCTCTGAGCTGAGGGCAGGAGCCTGGCTCTGGGTATACGTTTCCACCATGCCTGGCCCGGGCTAGGTGCTCAGCGCTCGCCGAGGGGAGGTGTAAACACAGTGCCTTCAGTCCCGGAACTCTGGGCCTGTTGAGCGCCGTCTAAAGCCCGGAAGCCAGCCTACCTTGACGTCCACGATGTGGTAATTAACCCGGAGCTCATACTTCTTCAGCACCTGCAGAAGCGCCCCCACCGTCTCTCGGGAAGTGAAGAACTCCAAGTAGGCCTGTGGCAGGGGGAGAGGTACAGCCACATCAAGCCCAGTCCTTGCACAGCCCTGCTCCGTGTGCACCGTGACTCTGGACGCTGGCCCTCCGAACCACCCCAGGGAGGCGCCCACGCAGACACGTGTGGCAGGACTTGAGACACTGGGGCTAGTGTGGCCACGTGGATTGAATCTTGAACTGAGAGCAGGCGAATGCAAGCAAGGGGGAGGGGAGCAGGTACGTGGGATTTCTTGGTCTGGACAGGTCTGAGGGGCATCTGCCACCCTTCTCCCAACCAGTGAAGGCCCCACAAAGAGGCCACTTTAGAAGCCGGACGGGAGGCCCCGTTTGGTAAGCTGAGACACGGGAGCGAGTCTCATCCCAGCCTCCCCACTCACTGGAGGCTAACACGGACACGGAGGGCTTCTCGAGCACCAACTGCCTGTCAGGGATGAGGCCGGGTTCATAGCCTGCAGGGGGAGCACTATTACCCCCATCTCACAGATGAGGAAACTAAGTCCGGAGAAGTTGAGCAACCTGGCTGCACTGAAGATAAACAGCAGAGCTGGGACTCAAACCCAGGTCTTTCAAACTCCAGAGTGCCCGGGCTACAGTTCTAGAATGTCGTTTTAACTCCAGCAGCCCTAGGAGAAAGGTGTCAACTCGGGACACCAATTACAGTTCCATTTAGTGAATGCTTCCTACGTTGTTCCCATATGCCAAGCATTTCGGTCCCAGAATGTGATGGGATCTATCCCCATTTTATGGAAGAGACAGCTGAGGCTCAGAGCAGTCAAGAAACCTGCATACCCAGGTCTGACTAAAAACGTGAGCTCCTGTCCACTCTGATCCTCTGCCCCTCACAATAAACAGACCCTGGGGAGGTAGGCTTCTCTGTCCCCATCTCTGGGGAACCCCTGGGGGCCGGCCGAGGTGGAACAGTTCTGTATGTCCCTGCCGCACCTTCTGGAAGACATAGCCCCCACTGGGGCCCCAGCCCACAATGGGGTCGGAGGATGGTTTCCCATTGATGTTGGGCTGGGAGTTGATGGTGAGGATGCCCTGCCGGTTCACTCGCAGCAGCTCCTCCTTCATCAGGCTGGTCTCAGCCGCCAGGGGCTCATCATTCCAAGGTAGGCAAGTCACCTGGGGGAGAGGGTGAGCCGGGCTGGGGCCATGATCACACCAGACACCCTGGGCTCCCTCCCTCTCGCGGGCTCCACCTGTGCGTCTGTCAGCCCTTCTAGGCGCCCCAGGTGGGGACTTCCCAACTCACCCTCCCTTTTGCTGAGGTGCCACATTCAGACAGAGAGAGGGGAGGCTTGGGTGGGGGCGGGGGCAGTGTGAGTCACAGCCCCGAGGTCTGGCCCACAGGGAGACAGGGCGGGGGATATAACCAGGGATCCCACCCCAGCATTACTCACCTTGTGACCATGTTGGTTGGGCTCTCCTGAGAGGTAGCAGGCAAAGACTTCAAAGACACTTTCTTCACTGGTCAGCTCCTCCCCCCACATCTTCAGTAGCTCTTCCCTTGGGGACTTACTCTTCAGGTAGAAGAGGTAGTAGTCCTTCAGCTCCCCAAAGGCTGGAGAGGAGGAATTGCCCCTGGCAGAGGAGGTGCCCAGAGGGCAAGGCATACTCCTGACCTGGGGCTCCTGACAGAGGGACAGTTGCACCCACCCGCCCAGGGGACATTCCTGTGAATCCTGTCCCACACCGCTCCCCAAAAAGCAAGCCAATAAGCAGGCAAATTCCCTCTGCCTCCCTCCCAAGAAACAGGATACACTTGCAATGGGTCGCCTGCAGGTGCTCACCAGCGGCCGTTGGGGAACTCATCCCACTCCTGTGTGCGGTAGATGTAACTCTTTGGTCTGGAGGCCCAGAAGATGGGACGTACATCTTCCTCCCGGCGCTTGGGGTGGGCACTGACAGCCCAGGGCAGGGGACGCCTGGGTGAGAATGGAGACAGAATGAGTAAGGGATTGGCTAGAGGAAGCAGGAAGGGGTGGGGACACCACTCAGCCTGACCTCTCTGATCTGACTGTGCATGGAGCTCCCACTGAGACAGAACCCCTAAGTGTACGGCTCGCCATGGCAGACATTCCTCTGTACCGCCGTGGTGGCCAGCACTGCTGGGGCAGGCTCATGCTGTGACCTCTCTCTGACTTTCCTGTGCCTCCCAGGCCCAAATTCAGGGCCAGTGGCTTCACCTGGGGTCCTCAATCCACATGCCCAGACGCTTCAGCACCTCTGTGGTAGCCATCTCACGGTTGAGGGTATAGAAATGGAGGCCTGGCACCAAGCCACTGGTCAGAAGTTCCTGGCACAGGCTCACGGCCTGCTCAATGCCATAGTTTCGGATGGCATCATCATTGTCTTTGATTGGCTCAATCACGTCCTTGATCTGCTGCGGTACCTCCAGCTTGGACAGTTTCACGAGCTGCCGAAGGGAGTGGTAGCCCTGTACAAGACACAGGGGCTGTGGGGCGCCATCTCCCAGCCCGACTCTCCCCTGAAATACTTACCGCCCTCTCCATCCCCACCAGGCCTCCTGGCCAACTGTAGTGTGACACAGAGTGACTCAGGAGAGTCAGTCCAGATTGTAGGAGCACCCCCGCCTTGTCCTGCTTCTTCCGCTCAGTACAGAAGCTGCCTACAGCATTCCTGCCCTCAGGCTGAGCTAGCCCTTCCGCCCCGAGGTGTATTTATTGATAACCCAGTGGGCATCAAGGCCAGTGGCTCCCAAGCTGCACTGATCATCAGCACCACCTGTAAAATTTAGTAAGTAATATGCAAGTTCCCAGGCCCCACCTCAGACCTATTAAATCAGAACCTCCAGACAGGGGATCTGAAAATCTATCTTTCAAAAAAGTTTTTCAAATGATTTTGATGACAGTCAAGTTTAGAAAACATTGATTTTACCAAGATTTATAATGAGAGTTATAATCCCTTTTAGGGACACTTAGCAGCCCCTCCAACAGACACTATTGCTGTTTTGGAGGCAGGGAGGTAGATTAGAGGTGACCAAAGTGGGGTGGCATGTTGCAAGGACTGGAGCATCTGTCTGAAGGGAAATCTACTGAGCATCAGAGATTGGCATTTCACCCCAGGGCCCTGGCCTGTGCTAGGAGGGGGATGGAGGGAGTCCACGGCCCTCCTGGGACCCTCACCTGAATAGGAAAGATTCCGGGGAGGATGGGGCAGGTAATGCCTATCTCGCTGCAAGCCTTAACAAAGTGGAAGAATGTGTCAGCCTCAAAGAAAAGCTGGGTGATGATGAAGTCGGCTCCTGCGGATACCTTCTCCTTCAAGTACTTCAGGTCAGCCTCAAAGCTCCCTGCGTCGGGGTGGCCTTTGGGGTAACCTGCCGACAGGGATGACAGTAGGGAGAGGCTGGCTCCCACGTGCTCAAGGTGAGTGAGGAAGAGACCAGAAAGCTGGGAGCCGAGAGCTCTCTGTCTCAGAGGTTCTGGGCTTGTCCCTTGCAATACCACAGCACAGACAGGCCGAGACGGTGAGTGGCTGTGCTTCTCGCTCTGGACATGACCCTTGGTGAGAGGTGGCCTAGGGCCACCTGCCCAAGAGCTGGGGGGATGGCACCAAACTCCCCATGCCATCCTGCCTCAGGTCCATGGCAAGCAGCCGGGCAAATCCGGCCGGCACGCTATGGCCACAGAAAAGAGAAAATGTCGCCTTCAGCGTGGGTCTGGCAGCACCTGGGCTCCTGGGTTGGAGTCTGGGCACTGGATTCAAACCTGTACTTTCAATTTAACATGAAAATTACTCAGGGATCCAAGAGAGTGGACATTAGAAACCATGTTACCCAGGGAAGAACTGAAGAAAGTGGGGCTGTTTCCCCTGAAGGGGAGAATGGAGAGAACACCGGAACTACTTTCAAAAGCCCAAAGGTCTGTTGCAGAGAAAAAGGGATTCACCTTCATTAAGTTCCTTACTAGTCCTAGTCTGTGTTGCTTCTGATGACAGAGCCAGGATCGGTCCCAGAGAGCTGCCTAACACTGGAACGAGCGGCCCCACCAAATAACAAGCTCCTGGAGACCTCGAGCCGGGGAGGCCAAGGATGGGATTCCAGAACTGCTTGGAAGGCAGGACCACACATCACGTGAGCTCCTTACTAGCTCGAGTAAGTAATCCTAGGACTGCTTCCTTCCCTGAGCAACTGAACTCACAGGCAGCCGTGCTTGGTGTTTGCAAAGGACGACTGTAGGCCTTCAGAAAGCTATAGGAGAGCACTAGCTTCCTGAGCCTAAGCCCTGGGCAGGACGCTGAGCCGGGCTGCTGGAGAGCCAAGCTGCTTTGCCGTGATAAGGCCCTTCTGTTCTGCAGAAACCCCAAGTCATCAAAAATGAATATAAAAATTCTTGTCTCAGGGGGCAAAGGGGTAGGACTGAGCACCACGATTTCACTTTCAATAACAAAGCTATTTTTCCAGCAGGAATTTCAAAAACAAGGAGGTTTTAATAGCTGAAACTATAACTCTAAATCCTCAGTATCACCAAACACATGTAGCATTTGCTTACATTTAGATTTTGCCCTGTTTATGTTTTCTGTCACAGCCAACGTGTTTCTCAACCCAATCATCCTGCTCATCCACTTTATGACAGGCAAAGCTCCAGGCCCCTCGGCACCTACAAGCTCACAGCTTAGCCAGTCTCCATGCACGACCACCTAATGCCTACTGCACATGTGCACGTTCCCCATTTACTGACCAAATGGTGGCCCGTGTAAGCAGTGAATGCTTGAACAGGGGGAAATTCTCACTATGTTCCTAACTCATCGGGGCCTCCCAGACTCACCTAAATGCCCCTGTTGACTATGAAGAGTGGATATGCACATGAGGGCCTGGGACTAAGTTCAAAGCCACCGGCAACAACTAGCTTCCTTGAGGCCATATGGGTTAGTTTTTTAAATTCACGTCACTTTGATATACTACTCCAGAACATAGCCTGTTTGTTTTAATATAAAAATTAATGTAAAAATGATAGGATTCTCCCCCAAAAAACTTTGAGAAAAACTGTCATGCCGAGATGGTGTGTCAAGTTAATCCCTGGACTTCTTGCATCCCTGGCACATGCTGCCTCACCATACCCAAGCCCCAGCTCGAGAAGCTGAGGCCCAATCCCAGTGAGTGGGGTAAGAGGGAAGGCCACCTCATCCATTTCGAGGACGTGAACCTTGCCTCTTGGCTGTAGCCCGTGGAACTGGAGCTGAGCCGATCCAATGCTCTCTCCTGAGAATTTGGACTGACTCATACCTGTCAGTCTGTCTGGACTATTGGCTGGAAGAGGCCATGTGCACTCAGGGGCAGGCGGCTGGTCCTGTGTGTGCAAAAGTGTACATATCAGGGCTACTGGAAGTGTGGAGCACATGTGCAGTGGGAGGCAGAGATGGGGGGGGACTCTGTGGCTCTAGACAGAAGGAGGGAGGCCTTAGTGTCTCACTGCTTCTGGGTCCGGGGCCTCGTGAGGTCAGGTACCATTTTCTGACAGGGGTTCTGCAATCCCCTGGCCTCCCACCCCCCGTCTTAACAAACGTCCCTTTTTTGTTTTAAGAAGAACAGGGCTGGGAAGCAAGCTAAGAGCACGAAAAGGCAGAGGGATAATAAATAACTTAAGGGCTGGCGGCAGCCTGGCAGGGGCGGGTGACAGAATGAGAGCGAGGGCACTGTGTGATGAGCCTCTGAGCCGCCCGCCCCTGCGCCTGGGGTCACCGGGTCCCGAACTGAACGCCGGCGGGCCTTCTGTGCCTCTCTGCGCGTGTCACGCCTTCCCTTCCCTGTCCCTCGAGAAGGCCCAGCCACTCACCTGCCACACAGATGTCGAAGTAGTCCCCGAACTCCCTTCGGATGTGCCTCACCAAGTCCGCCGCATAGCTGAAGCCTCCCTCCTCCTCTTCCCACTGGTCACCCACGGGGTCTGCAGGGGTGACAGAGGCCACGGTCACTGGGCCTCACCCACGCTCCAGACGGCCTTTGTGCTCCTTCTCCCTACCCCACACCCGGGGCGGCGGCCTCCTCTCCAAGTGTGTGTCTGTTCCTCCCAGCGTGGCACTTGGCAAATGGCGGCGGGGAAGACAGCGGCCGCCCTGTCAAGCACGTTCCGAGCCCCGACTCCGCGGGCAGTGTGCCGGCCGCACTGAGCAGGGCACAGCTGCTGCTCTGGGGCTAGTCTGGAGCATCTGAGACCCCTTCCCTACCCAGATCTGGGGGTGCTCAGGCACCCTCACCCAGCCCCACTGCTCACTCTCCCACCCTCTTGGAGCCCTTGCCTCCCGGGAGAATCTTCTACTCAACTCAAGCGAGTCCTTGTGGGGAGCGCGAGGCCACAGAATCCCACCCAATCCGTCCCTCTTCCCACACTCGGGGGCGTGATGACCGCAGGTGCCAGAGACATGAGGAGCCGTCTCACCCCTGGGATCAGTGCCAGAACCACGCTCTTTGACTGGGCCCAGAGCCGGGCACGGCCAGCAATCGATGAAGCTGTGAGTGGCCAGGGCAGAGGGCTATCAGGCAGGGCCGCATTCCTGACGGAACTCCTACGCCGAGGTCAAGAGGTCAAGAAGTGCCTCCATCCGTGCGGCAGCGACAGTGCTCACTACCCACCACCCTCCTGACCCTACTGGCCGAGGGCACGCTCAGCGTGCCCAGTGCGGGGCCCGGAGAAACATAAAGGACTGTTCCAGGGACAGAAGAGGCCCTCAAGGAAGCAAGATCCCAGAGAGTAGAGGGCTGCCTCCACACCTCCCCTCAGCGCCAAGATGTTCTTCAGGCCCAGCCGCTTGGCCTTGTGCAGGTAGCCTGTGATCTGTTCCCGGCTCTGACAGCAGCAGGTCATGTGCAGGATGGTCTCCAGGCCACAGTAGTTCACGGCGGTGCTGGCAATCATCATGGAAGAGGTCTCCTTGTCTGAGCCGGGGTCCCCTGCTGGGTGCCAGGTCACATCTATGAAGAGGGGGCCTCCTGCCCCCATCCGATCAAACCTGTAGGAATTGCTTTCTGAAGAGGGGCTCCTGAGCACACCGCCCTTCACCACCTGCCCATGGGCTTTGGGAGGTAGGGAGACATCACGGGCAGGTCGTAATCAGACGACCTATATTCATATCTGGGCTCTGCTACTTATTAGCTGTGTGACCTTGGGAAAATTACCTAATCTGTCTGAGCCTCAGTTTTCTCATTTCAAAAACATGCCAGAAAACAGTACCTACTTCATAATAACGACACTGTGAAAATATTACAATAGATGACTCCACACACTGAACACTCAATCAATGCGAGCTCCTGTTACAATGATGATTTTTTTTTTAAGGATTTTATTTGAGAAAAAGAGAGAGAGAGAGAATGAAGGGGGGTGGAGGAACAGAGGGAGAGGGAGAAGTAGACTCCCCGCTGAGCGTGACCTGAGATCATGACCTGGGCCGATGTCAGACGCTTAACAGACTGAGCCCCCCCAGGCACCCCGACAATGATTATTATTGCAGAGATTAACTGATATCAACAACGCAACCGTTTAGTGAGAGGGCAGCCCTGCAGCCTTTTCAAAGTGCTTGCACATGTATTATCTCGGGTGAGTTAAGACATTTCGACAGTCAAAGGTACAGGGAACTCTCAGAGTGGCAAGCAGAGGCTCACTCTAGGAAGAGGGAAAAAAGGTTCAGCAGACACAAGTTTCCTTCATGCTACACCCCTCCCCCCATCGTGGTGCCAACCAGCAGGCTTCTAGAACACAGAAGAGCCACAGGTATGCACACGCGCCTGTCTGACCAGCTCTAACATGGTATTAAACACCCTTGGGCCGGGGTGCCTGGGTGGCTCAGTCAGTTGGGCGTCTGCCTTCGGCTCAGGTCCCAGGGTCCTGCAGTCGAGCCCCACATGGGGCTCCCTGCTCAACGGAGAGTCTGCTTCTCCCTCTCCCTCAGCTGCTCCCCTTGCCTGTGCTCCCTGTCAAATAAGTAAAATCTTCAAAAAAAAATCAACATCCTCGTGCCTTTAAGCTTCAAAACTTTCAGAGCAACACGTGAAAAATGCCAACGGTAACATGCATAAACTTAAAAAAAAGGAACCGCAATTCATAAGGCGCTAACGTTAATTCGTTTGGCATTTCTAGATTTTGAAAGGCATTTAAGTTGAATTCCTAACTTACTGAAATGTTCTCCAAGCCACTGCTTTATGACTTCCTAAGCTGTATTCGTGCACCAGCCCCAAGTTCTGCCAAAGAATGCAGTCTGAGAGAATCAACATTTTTAACCCCTTGAAGAATGTGTCTAAAAATTTCAGATGCGGGGCACCTGGGTGGCTCAGTCAGTTAAGCGTCTGCCTCCGGCTCAGGTCATGATCCTGGGGTCTGGGATCGAGCCCTGCATAAAGTCTGCTTCTCCCTCTCCCTGCCTCCCTGTCCCTCTCCCTGCCTCCCGCTCATGCTCTCTCTCACTCTCTCTCTCTCTCTCTCTCAAATAAATAAAATCTTTAAAAAAAATCCCAGATGCTTATAGGGACTTTTGCTGACAGCTGAGAAGCTGCAGCTCCAGTGGTCTACCCTGCTCTTTTCCATCCCCTCTGGCTGCCTTTTCCTGCCAGGTCAGAGTGTGGCCCCGAAGCAGGGCTACGGCTTTGCCTTCCCCCCCAGGGGGCCCCCTCATTCCGACCCCACTCCCCAACTACATCAACTCACCTTGAGATGAGATTGACAGCTCCCTCAGCCGTCCGAGGAGGGAAGAATTCCAGGGAGAACCACTTGTCACCAGATTCCATCCTTCGCCTCATCTTCTCCCTGAGTCTGTCGTGGCGCTCGGGGTCCAGCCCGGGCGTGGAACATCTCGAACTCTCCTTGGAGCTCTCGCTGCCGCTGCTGCTGCCCTCTGAGCGCGGAGGGGGGCCGCCATCCCCTCTGGGTTCGTTCACCATGGCCGGGTTCCTGCTGCACGGAGTGGGGGCAGGAGCGTCAGAGGGTAGGCAGTCAAGTCCCAGAGTGGCAGGGTCAAGTGAGATGCGGCATTTCCAGCAGGAAGAAGGCCAGGGAGGGTAAGGGTGACAATGCCCCCACCCAGTGGCTCCACATACCACAGCTGTGACTGTCTACGCCCTCCACAGCCCCTGGCTCCAAATAAACCAGCCCCACCCGGCACAGAAACATGCTCCTTCAGCCCAGGGATCCTCGGTGACAGCTACCTGATGGAGGGTGGCACTGAGAACCTCACCCTGCCGGCCTCCAAAGCCCACATTCCTAGGGAGGGGCTGCGGGGTCTGGCTGGGAGAACCTTGGGTGTTGGATGGTCCATCTCTGCCAGCTGGGACCCAGAGTGGGTGGGGAAGAAGAAAGAGGAAACCTCCCCAATGAGTGTGTTCCTCTGGGCGGAGGGAGCTGTGACAAGGGAAGAGCCCAGAGCTAGACTAGCTGGGGCCCTGCGCAAGGGGGCGGGGGCAAGGCTTCCAGGCGAGAGGGAGGGCTGAGGCTCTAGTTGCAGAAGCCGGCTGGAAGGAGGGCGCTGTTGATTGGAGACTGCAGGGGTTGGTGGATAGGAGGCCAACAGACGTTCAGGGTCACTGGATTACTCTCCAAAGAAGGCAGAGCCCAGCCTGGCCCTGCCTGGAACATCTCCTGTTACTTGAAACTGTCTGTCTGCATGCAGGATGGAAAGAGTGTGGGCATGACAGAGCAGCCAGATTTCTCCTGAGTTCGTGCTACTCCGAAAAAGACCCTGTCGTGGGTTCGAACTTGACATTGGCTGGGTTCCACAAGTAACCGGACCCAAATTCAATTAAGGGCACGAATTCATGTCCTACTCAGAACAAAAGCTGTCCCATCTGTGCCTGCCTTCCAGGCTGTTCTCCTACACCCAGCACCCAAGTCAGTTAATTACAGTGACTGCACAGCCACCACATACAAAGCCCTGAGCCATGGCAACCACAGGCAGGCCAGCAGAGGGCACGGCGTCATTGGCCAGTTTGGTGGGAAAAACAAGACAAATACTTAAAAACAAGACAGAACACAACTCTTACACAGCAATGTGCAAACACCCATTTTTAGTAGTGAAAATCCAATGTGTGGTGACATGGGGCATCAGAGGAACAACCAGGCCAAGTTCATTCCTTTCAGGGAACAGCCACAGCTAAACCGGTGTTCTTAACTGTTTTGGGGTCCTAGACGCCTGAGAAATTGATGAATTCCACTGCTCCTCTCCCCTGAAACGCACACAACACAAGCTCCAACGTCCAAAGTCAAGGAGTCAAGACCAAAGTAAAAAAAAAAAAAAACAACACTTGTACCAATGATTTTTCTTCCTTGGGATGCCCACCACTTTGAGCCTGACCTAAAACTCCAGCTCCTCAGGAGGGATGGCCATCAGGAGTAAGGAGAGGGAGAATATCAAGATCAACCTAGCTGACCTTTCTTCTGAATTCAAGAGAGCGGCTCATTGATTGTCTGCTGGAACAAAACCAAGAGAAGGGGAGGAAGCAGAACTACCTGCTCTTTCGTTTTACTTAAAAAAGACTTAACTGCATTCCTAGTAAGTGCCAAATATGTGCCTTTCTTCAACCTCGTTTCTCGCAGCACTTCTTACCCATCTTAAGCTGGACTCTCACAGCACCATAGGGTTGTAATTGTGGATTCACAGTTCTGTCTCCTCTCCAACCCCCCAGTTCCCTGAGACCAGGGCCCAATATCCTGCCCGTGGCATCCCCCATGCCCGGCGCAGTCCTCACAACCAGCCCTCAGTGAGCGCCAACGGGTCAAGCGCTGTCACTCTGTTCTCAAAATAACCCTCTGCCATCTCCTGACCGCTTGCTTTATCTGTGCCAAGCACCGTGGCACGAATACGAAACCCACCCCGCCCAGAAGGGCCAGGGTGGACACCTGCGCGCAGCCCGCTGCACTGGCGCCGGAGACTGCGCCAGCGGCCTACAGGTGCTACAGCTGGGAGGCAGGTTTAAAAGGCCGGAGCCGGAAGGACGCCTCCGGCACCCGGCTCGATGCCCGGCTCGATGCCCGGCTCGAAGACCACGGATCGAGTCACCGGGTCACTGGGTCAAGGTGGGGGCGGGATCGCGGGCCCAGACCCGGTCCCAAGGGGCTGGGTCTCCACCCCGGCTCAGGGCCGCCTCCTCCCCCGGTGTCCCCTCCGTCCAGGCAGGCCGGGGGCTGAAAGTGAGTTTTCCCTTCTGGGCTGGAGGTCACTGGGGGTCGCAGCCACTGGAGGTTACACCAGCTCCCCGGAGGGCTCGCGCAGAGGGGCGGGCCGCCCTCCCTCGCTCTCCGCCCCCGGGTGGGTGGTCTCCACTTCCCGGATATCCCTCCCTGGGGAACCCCACACCCCGCCTCCACTCACCCTGCCGTCGCGGGTGACTCAGAGCGCGCGCGGCCGCAGCAGCTGCTAGACCGGTGTGTGGGCGCGTGCGGGGGGGCGGGAGGCGCGGGGGCGGGGCGCGGGGCAGGTGTCAGGTTGCTGAGGGAGGCGGGACGAGAGGGCGGAAACCATGCGGGCGGGCGACCGGAAGCTCCGCCCCCAACATGGCCGCGCCCAGAGGTCTCGTTGGAAGCGGTCCTTCCACCGTCATGTGACGCGGGCCCTCGCCCCACCCGTCTGCAGCCACTCCCGGTCTCCGTCCCGAGTTCGAGAGGACCACGTGACACTGTCGGGGCCAGTCACGTGAGGCGCGGATTCTGGGTGGGAGGGGGTTGGCGGAGGGTTCCAGAGCGGCAGTAAAGGAGGGAGATGGCGGGGTGCAGGGGGTCCCTGTGCTGCTGCTGCAGGTGGTGCTGCTGCTGCGGTGAGCGTGAGACCCGCACCCCGGAGGAGTTGGTAAGGAGCGGGCGGAGCCCAGCTGGGGAGGGGGCGGTTGCCAAGGGACGGCGAGAGGGCGTTGCCGGGGGGTGGGGCCAGGCCGAGCTGCGGCCTCAGGTGGCAGCGGGTGGGGCCCGGGCACCGCATCCTAGGCTCTCGAAGCATCTGCCGCGCTTCCCGTGCTCAAGTCTGGGGTCTTTTCTCATACCCCCTCCCTGGGATCTGAGGGAGAATCCAGGCCCGCTGCAGTTAATCCCATCCATGTTTTCCTTTATTTCCATGTGAAAGGAGTTTTGAATGAAACGAGCGTTTTCGGAATGAGCCCCTTCACTGGACTTTGTGCTTATCCAAGCAGCTGGCTTAGTTTCTCCAGCCCTTTCTCACTGTATCCCTCACCTTTTCTGGGTCATTGATAATCCAGCTTCCCTCTGCAAAGGACCCTGGGAAAACTTGAGTTGCTGTGTCCCAGAGTTGACAGGTCCCTCCCTTCTGTTTTCAGATTCAGTACATTGTCCGATGGAACCTGAATTTTTTTTCTCCTTTATCTGGCATGGGAGATCTTTGATGTGTCCTGAAGACAAGAGTGGTTATTTGGAGAACGTATCAGTAGAAACGAAGAGCTCAGCTGCGTGACTATAGATAGCCACCGACATCACCCCCACCCCCCCCCCAATTTTTTTTTTGAGATCTTGTTCCCATTTGGTAATAGTTCTAGATGGTTTGGAAATTAGCAACAAATTTCTATAGATGCTCTGTCTTTTTCTACTTTTAACCATTTAAGTATTTAACCTTTTAACCATTCTGTGGATCTATTTTTCTAGACCATCCTCGGAGAAACACAGGAGGAGGAGGATGAGATCCTTCCAAGGAAAGACTATGAGGTGAGATTTCTTAGTTGCTGCCTGGGATAACAAGAGCAGTGAGTGAGCTGGTCACTTCAGACAGAAGCTTTAGGATTCTAAGGAGAGATGCTCTTTGACTGTCTCTCCCAGGGAGTGAATGAGTGAGAGGTAATTTCCCTCTCTGAAAGGGACTGTTTAACAAGCCCTTTTCTCACCACGACCCCAAAACAGGGTCTGATGTGTCTCTGTGCGTTCATAGATCTGTGGCACCTTAACCTAGATAGAGCATGTTTGCCATTAAACTATTTGCTTTTACAAGTAGAGACCCAGAGTGAAAGCCACTGCAGCGTGTGCTCATAACAGGGTGGGACAGGAGACCCGCCTTCTCTTCTTAGAGAACTTATTTTTCAGATGATTGTTTCCTGCTCAAGGTAGCTTCCTCTGAAGTGCTCTTGACTGTCGTTCTGGTTCAAGTATGGGATTCTAAGAGTGTGTGTGTGTTTAGTAAGGTCAGTGCTGCTGGAGTAAAACCAAGTTTCCTTTTTTATCCTTTAGTCAGTTCCTGATAATGTTTCTGTGATTTTTGAAATAACAAAAACAAGCCATGGTTCTGATAGAGAATTCTTAAAGCCGTTTACAAAAAGAAGCTAGAGAAAAACCCATAACCCCACCCATTAAAAGATAACTGTGAACCTTACTGAATATCCTTTTCCATGCTTACATTCCTGCTGCTTTTTTGAAATAACAGAAGCGAGATTCTGCTACATAGACTATTTTAACATGTTTTCTCCTCAACTTGAAAGCAATCTTTGTATTGCTAATACATTTCTGCAGTATCTTTTTAAATAGAGGAATACTCTTTTATTCCACAGTTTATTCAATCTGATTTTTCTATATGGTGAACTAGTCTTGACTATCTTTTCTTCTTCATCCTTAATTGCTTCTTTGAGCAATTCCAGGAAGTATGATTAATCTTGTATATTTATTTATTTATTTATTTATTTAATTTTTTTTTAAGATTTTATTTATTTATTTGAGACAGAGAGAATGAGATACAGAGAGCATGAGAGGGAGGAGGGTCAGAGGGAGAAGCAGACTCCCTGCCGAGCAGGGAGCCCGATGCAGGACTCGATCCCAGGACTCCGGGATCATGACCTGAGCCGAAGGCAGTCGCTTAACCAACTGAGCCACCCAGGCACCCTAATCTTGTATATTTAATACGTCTTTGAAAATGTCATGTAGAGGGGCGCCTGGGTGGCTCAATTGGTTAAGCGTCTGCCTTTGGCTTGGGCCATGATCCCAGGGTTCTGGGATCGAGTCCCATATGGGGCTCCTTGCTCAGCGGGGGCCTGCTTCTCCCTCTCCCTCTGCCTCCTCCCCCCCTCCCTCTGCCTCCTCCCCCCTGCTCATGTTCTTGCTGTGTCTCTCTCAAATCAATAAATAAAACCTTTAAAAAAAAAAGTCACGTAGACTTTAAAAATTCAATATTTTAGGGCAATAACATACTCGGACTAATTTTCTTTTTTAATATTTTATCTTTTGCTGTAGAATTTAGTGGAACTATTAGGATTTATTAGTATAACATGGAAATTTTTTTAAAACTTTCATTATAGAGAATTTCAAACATAAAGAAGAATGGACAGAATAGTATATTGAAACCCCCTGTACTCAACAGTTTCAGTAGTCATTCAACTCATGCCCAACCTTGTTTCATCTGGCTCCCATCCCCTTCCCATGTTATTTTGAAGAAAATTCTACACATCACATCATTTCACCCATAAATAATTCAACATGCATCTCTAGAGGATGGAGCCTTTTTTTTAGCACAACACAATACCATTTTCATACCTAAGAAATTAACAGTAATGCTTTGATATTAAATATCCAATGTTCAAATTTTCCAGTTGTCTTATAAATGTCATATAATTTTTTAACGTCCTATCATTTTTAAATTATTATTATTTATTAATTATTATTGTTTGAATCTAGTTTCCAATAAGGTCCTCATATTGCATTTATTTATCTTTTAAATTTTCCTTCAACTTTTTTTTTTTTTCTTAAGTAATCTCTACCTCACCAACATGGGGCTCAAACTCACAACCCCAAGGTCAAGAGTTGCAGGCTGAACCAACTGAGCCCACCAGGTGCCCCCCTTTAAAATTTTTTATAATCTGTAGATTCCTCCTTCATCATTTTTTCCCTTGCAGTTTACTTGACAGAATATTTTTAGGACTCTGAAATTTGCTCTGAAAATTGCCCTACCATGGTATAGTTTAATATGCTACACTGATGGGAATGCTTTTAATGAATCAAAATCAAAAAGCACAGTATCTACTGATGTATTTTCCCATATTTCTAAAATATTTTTCTCCTTGCACATAGCTGAGAGGTTTGCAAGAATTAGTATAAGAAGCCCCACATTGTACTGTCACCTTATACTCCCTCATTGAACCCTGTGATGTCACCCTGACTGTGTGACCGTGACTGGAACTTTCTGGCAGCCTTCATCTGTTCCCTGGAGCTCACCTGGCTTCTCTTCTCCATTGACCCAGCTGTTTCCAAGTCTCCTTTGCTCCTTTTACTAAATTTTGTATTTGTAATGCGTTTACTTTCACCTGATATACATACTTATGTAAATTTTATGGGTTAATGTTTCATGTGAGTCATTAATATTTCTCAATTAACTATCTTCAAGTATGAGCTTCTTCAGAATATTTGCTTTGTATAATAGCAAATTTAGCTAGACGCTTACTCTGAAAAGTCTGCTCAGATTTTACTAGGGATGAACTAGAAAACCCTTCTGTTGAAAATCTTTCTAAAATGTGCTCTTTCTCCTTCCTGCCTTACTAAGAGTTGACTGCCCCTACTTGACTGATAAGTTGGGGGTCTTACAAGATGTTAGAATCCCTGGTTTGACATCCGTTCTCTTTCTAGATGGTTTGAATAACAATAACCCTCTATCTGTGGGATGGGGCTGTTAACCGTGATGTTTTCATGCAGGTCATAGAGCCTGTGTTGCTTTTTTGAATTAGAAAAAGGCATCCCTCAGAGCAGAGGACTTAGAATAAAGAGCTTCTCCCTCTGGGCCACAGCAACTCCCCTAGCTCAAGGCCCATTGAGGCTGCTGCTTGTGTGAGCACTGAGGTGCCCTTCCTGGTTGAACATGGGCTGCCTTTCAGCCCTGCTTACCCCTGTGGCCACACGCCGTTTGGCTAATACTTTGGGCAGCAGCCCTACAGGACCCCTATATAAAATTATTTTTTTTTAATTGTTAAAAAAAATAAAACAAATATCTGTCTCTGTGGACCTATCGTAATTATCTTATTATTATATAGTCTCCTATATTTGGATGTTTGATCATTGATTTAAAAAGTTGCCGGCTGATGCCCCAGGACCTTTTTTAAAAAGGTATTTGGACTTTGGGTATAGATATAGATGGAATAATTGTCAGATGTCACACCTGTGTTTGGCTGACTGCTGAGTCTTGCACGGAGTGTGGCCACCAGGCTGGTGTCTAGCTTGTTCACCAGCTGATGTGTAGGTTGCAACAGGTTTAGGAAGGGGAGAACACACAGCAGACCATTTTCCTTTGTTGCCAGACTCCTGCTTCTCTTAGAAAACATAGAAGAAATAAAATTAGTTCCTTTGAATTGTTTCTCAAGATGTCTCTGGCACACAGGCAGATTTTTTGCAGAATAGCTGTGTTCTGTGAAGGAGAGTTGAAGGAACACTGCTATAGATGTAGTTTTAGGAGCTGTGTCAATCTCTGCCTCTTCCTAACATGAACTGAAAGTTGCTTTTTAAAATAGTCTCCATATTGGTTTGTCTTGTGACTAACCTCTTTCTCGTAGAAGCTAACTACAGAAGATACTTATAATTAACTGATTTTCTAAATTAATTTGGTTCCGGTTGATTGAAAATTTTACACATGTAATGGGATAAGTTGGGTAACACTGGTGGTAGCCGAAGGTCTTTTCAAGTTTTGCAGAAGCAGGAAGTTCAAAGATAGGTAATTGAAAGATTTTCCCAAAGCTTGAACCTACAGCAGCGCTGCCGAAACATTCATGTGTGTCAAGTGCAGACTCCCTTGAGGCAGGTCAGAAGGTCTGAGGTGCTGCATTTCTTTTTTTTTTTTTTTTAAGATTTTATTTATTTATTTGACAGAGAGAGACACAGCGAGAGAGGGAACACAAGCAGGGGGAGTGGGAGAGGGAGAAGCAGGCTTCCCGTGGAGCAGGGAGCCCGATGCGGGGCTCGATCCCAGGACCCTGGGATCATGACCTGAGCTGAAGGCAGACGCTTAACCAACTGAGCCACCCAGGCGCCCTGAGATTCTGCATTTCTAACCGGCTCCTCCCCGGGGGGTTGTAGGTCCACTGCCCTGCCCACCCACACTTCGAGTAGCAGGAACGTGAAGCTTTATCCCTTTCCAAGTTTCAGTAATTCTTCCTATCTGGTTGTGACCTTTTTACTTGCGTTTCTCTGTCAGAGTTTGGATTATGATCGCTGTATCAATGACCCTTACCTGGAAGTTTTGGAGACCATGGACAATAAGGTGAGTCCCTTATTGATCTGTTGGGACTGAATAGATATTACAATGGCTTCTTTTTCCCATCTAAATGCTCCTGTAGATAGCCATACCCCATGGCTTTTAGCCCCTTTCGTGAGATGGGGTAGCATTTATTCCTTAGACCTTCATCCTGCCAACCAGAGTACCCACTCTTGGTGTGCCTGGCCCAGGCTCTTAGAGCTCATCCTTCTGGCCTTGTAAGGCGCCTGCCATACCAGACACCACAACCAAGCTTGCTGTGTCTGTGGAATTTAGCCTAAAACTGGTTGTCCAAGATGTGCTCCTTCCCTGCTGCCAACAAAACCATATAACAAACTGAGTCTGTCTTTCCCTGTGTGAACAGAAAGGTCGCAGGTATGAGGCGGTGAAGTGGATGATGGTGTTCGCCATTGGAGTCTGCACGGGGCTGGTGAGCAGGCAGGGCATGGGGGCCTGGTGGACGGGGTGGGGGCCCGGAGGGTCAGAGGGCAAGGCATCTGTCGTGATAGCAGAGGCTGCCTTTTCTTTTTTTCTTTTTTTCTTTTTTTCTTTATTCCCCCCACATAATAATCCTGACACTGTGTTCCGCACTTCTCTTGCTCTCGCTTTATGAAAGCGAACCCTACAACACTGGTATTCTTTAAAGCACTCAAAGGCTTGGTCAGGACCGAGCTCTTATGATATGGTCCTATCAGGTGGACAGCATAGTGTGGGGAGTATTTCATGGAAATTGAGGTCACTCTGTAGGGAAAAAGCAAAATAGTGGAACAAACCCAACCATGACACCCTTTCCTTTAGTGTGGCGTGTCAGTAAACAGGACACCGTCGAGCTCAGTGAATTTATCGTGCTGTCCTGGGCTTCTTTCCGGCGCATTGCTTGTTTTATTTAGAAGGTAGAGCTGGCGGCTGTGGATAGAGGAATATGCCTGAATGCACAGGGTTCTGGGGTCAGCTTGCTCACAGATGAATCACAGACAAGAAAAGATTATGAAACATTGCCAAATTGTGTAGTAGCACAAGGCCTGGAATCCTAACTGCTGACCTAACCACACTTAAAGCTGGGGAAGAGAAACTGGAAAAGTCAGCAGACAGTCAAAATGATACATGTCACATCTTATTTTCTATCATTACAGTGTTCAAATGGGCTATCTTCGTCCGTTCGGGCTACTGTAATAAAAATACCAAAGACTTGCCAGAGGCTTAAACAACAGATGTTTATTTCTCCCAGTCCTGGAAGCCAGAAGCTCAAGATCAAGGTGCCAACAGATTTGTGTCTAGTGAGGGCCTGTTTCCTGGCTTCTGGCTATGTCCTCACAGGGGAGAGGGGGCCAGATTTCTCTGGGGGTCTTTCATAAAGCCAATGATCTTATTCACGAGGGCTCCACGCTCAGGACTTAATCACCTCCTAAAAGGCCCCACCTCCTAATGCCATCACAGTAGGGGTTAGAATTTCAACAGATGAATTTGGAGGGGGGACACAAACGTTCAGCACATTAACAGGTTATATTCCTAAGCAGCGGCCTGTTTATCTCACTGGAACTGACTACAAGTCTCATTCTTGATTCTGCATGTTATACCCGTAAAATGTAAGCACGCATTTAGTATAATCTAGCCACAAAGGCTGACCAATTTTTATTTTCCTGGCATTTGTCAGATTTTTACTGAGGTAAATTCAGAGGCCAAGGAACATTTTTCTAGTTAAGACAAATGGCATTCAGAAGGCCTCTTTGGTAACATTCTATTATGGGGGGAACTTGGGTTGATTTAACTGTTATATTGAAATTTCAGATCATCTGTTTTGCCATATACGTTTCTGGTTGCAAATTTCCCTGTAATAAGCATAATCATGAGCCATCTACTTGTTAGTCTTTCTGCTACTTTCGTATAACACTCCTTTGAACTGCCATTTATCAATACTAGCAACTTCCACCAGTCCCCTCACGTCCCCTCACGCTGCTGGAAGGCAGACTTGCCTTTATAACTCAGCAACCAGCTCCTCTTGCTACTAGCTCTCTTATCCTTCGATCTGTCACAACCTATTGCTTCAGTGTTTAAAAGCCTCCGGGCTTTGGCTTGAGGGAAGGCCAGAGGCCTGAAGCCTTTGATCCTGAATCCACCAAGTCACAAGCCTTTCCAGTTCCCCGTGAAGCCCAGAGCAAAGACAAGACGTGGGGCTTAAAGTGGGCTGGTAGAATATGAGTGGTTTTCTCTTACTTAACCAGGGTAACCATTGGCTGCAAATCAAAATAGTGACTTACAAAGTATAAATAGTAATAACAAACATGTAAAAGCCATAAACACCTGAGTAAATGTTGTTTTTCAAAGTAATATCTTAAGCTATGTGTTTATTCAGCTAAGTATCACTGAAGATGTTATTGGAGTTCTTCTGAAACTGCCTCTGGAAAATGCTAAGTAGCCCCTCACAGGATTCCGGGTGATTTCTCTAGTCACGGGACGGTCTTCCTTGGTTTCACATCTTTTCCTGCAGCCTTTCCTTTTGTTTTACTCTCCTTCTCTCAGCTTAGCTGTGCCCCATTTCCTTTGTCCTCTGGAGGGGCGGTGGGGCAAGGTTGGCAGGGAATCTCCTGGCACGTCAGAGTGACTAACAGGAAACCCATTCACTCGTTGCCTCTTGGTGACGTGGGTGCATGTGCCAACCAGGAAAGGCCAGGGGGGCTCACAGCTTTTGAGCAAAGTGCCTGCGCCACAGTGGGGAAAAGCTGTGTGATGGTTCGCTTGCTCTTCACAGGTGGGTCTCTTTGTGGACTTCTTCGTACGCCTCTTCACCCAGCTCAAGTTTGGAGTGGTACAGACATGTATCCTTTTCACGGTTCTTGGTGTTCCCAGGTGTCAGCGGTTTCTGACCCTGCTTTCTTGTCTAGAGAATAGGAGACATGATCTAGTGAAGAGCTATTTATTAACCATTCAGCTTAAGTTTTTAGTTACCATTAAAGGACACAACAGGAAGACTTTAAGAGAGAGATACTTGTATTCAGGTTGGTGAGACACAAATACCACAAAGATGCCTGTTCTTCCCAATCATCTACAAATTCAGTGTAGTTCCAATCAAAACTCCAATAGAGTTTTCCATGGAACTGGAAATTTCTCTTCCTAAATTTGTTGGGAAGAGTAAAGGGCCAAAAGTAGTTGGGACAGTTTTGAACAAGCATGGCACTTGCCCTACTCAATGTCATAATTTAAGATATAGTCATTGAAACCGTGTCCTATTGGTGCAGGAATTCCCAGTTAGGCAAATGGAAGATAACAGAGGAGCAGAAATTGGCTTGTACATATAGAGAAGTAGGGAGAATGACAGAGTTAGTGTTATAAGTCAGTGAGGAAGAGATGGACATAATAAAGATGTAGGGACATTGGTTTCCATCTGGAAAAATAAAGATTCCTACTTTGTACCATAAATTAATTCCAGATGGATTGAAGATGTAAATAAGCAAAACAAAACTCTAAGAGACTATGTGATGTCAAGAGAAGGGAATAGTTTCTTAAAGCTCCAGGAGGCACAAAGTGAAAGGGAATATAGATCCGTAAACTTGACCATGTCAAAGTAAATTTGTTTTTCATACAAACAAAAAACCCCAAGCCATGACAGTAAAACACCATAAGGAAAGTGGAAAACAAGTCCACAGCCTAGGAGAGGTTACTCACTGTACATTGAAGAGACAAATAATTAGTATCTAGAACACCAGAAGAACAGCAGCTCAGTAAGAAGAAAGCCCAAACAGCCCAATAGAAGAATGAGCAGAGGATGTGAACAGGCAATTCTCAGAAGAGGAAAATGGAATGGTCAATAAATAAACCTGTAGAAAAGGGCTCGCCTCACCACTAACCAAGGAGATGCAAATTAAATAGATAGCAAGTACACCTCTGGCTCCCAAGTCCCTCTTTCTCATTCAGACCTTGGACATGTACAAAGATGTTTGTTACAGCTTTGCGATTGCAGAAAGGTGAAATCACACAAAATGGGAGAATGGAAAAATTGTAATGTGTTCATATGGTATAGTTTTATGCAGAAGTTAAAATGAATGGACCAGAGCTGTGTATATCAACATGACTAATTCTCAAAAACTTGATGTTGAAGGAGAGAAAAAAGTGTAGAATGTGCATAAAATGCAATACCATTATTTTAGTTTTAGAAACACATACAACAAATGGCTACGTCTAAAAATACACAGGGAATGGGGTGCCTGGCTAGCTCAGTTGGTAGAGCGTGTAACTCTTGATCTCGGGGCTGGGGGTTCAAACCTTACGTTGGGCATAGAGATTAGTTAAAAATAAAATCTTAAAAAAAAAAAAGACACACCATAATTTCCGGTTAGTGGTTTTTCCCAGGGGAGAGAGGGAGGGAAACGATTTTTTTTTTATGGTATCTAACATTTTAATTTTTAAAACCTGGAGCAAATATGACATAACACCAAGATTTGTTAAAGTGAGGGATGTGGGGGGAAGGGCGTTTGTTGCTTTTTATGACGTTTGAAGTATTGATTTGAAATGTTGGGGTGCAGGAGCAAATGGTCAGAAAGGAGTCTTGAGACGTTTTGGGTGCAAAAAAGGTGGTTTTATTAAAGCACAGGGACAGGGCCCATGGGCAGAAAAAGCTGTACGGGGATTGTGAGGAGCAACTGATTACATACTTTTAAATTGGGAGGGGTTAGGGATAGTGTTAGGTCTTTAAGGAGTTTGGGAAGCAAGGTTTACAGGACCTTGAGGGGCTAGCTGCTCTTAAGATAAGGTTATTTAGTACTGTCTGGTAAAACCTTTGTCATGAGACCCTTCAGAAGGATATCAGTGGGCCATATGCTTGGAGGATGATTGCTAACCTGTATGTTGGGGAGGGTGGGTAGAGATGAAGTTTCCAAAGGGATTTTCATATGTTAAAGACGACTTACAGGATCCTGGAGGTTGGGCGAATATCAAGTTTGCCTTTAGCAAAGCAGTAACGTTGAGGCAGTTGAGCTCCTTGAGAAAGGTCACTCTGCCTGCCTCAAGTATTTGTCGATGGGCTGCAAGTTGTAAGGAGATTTAATTTTTTCTACATTTCTTTTGCCTTTGTTCTCCGCATCCATATTTCATAATTTAAGAATAGTTCCCGGGTACCTGGCTGGCTCAGCCAGTGGAGCATGCAACTCTTGATCTTGGGATTGAGTTTGAGCGCCATGTTGGATGTGTAGAGATTATTTAAAAATTTAAAATTATTTTAAAAAATAAAGATAAGCTTAGAAAATGGTTCCTGATATAGACGATCTCTCAGACAGGTGTTTTTTGTTTTGTTTTGCTTAAGATTTATTTATTTGAAAGGGGGCATGCAGAGGGAGAGAGAGAGAATCTTAAGCAGACTCCCCACTGAGCATGGAGCCGATGTGGGCTTGATCTCATGACCCTGAGATAATGACCTGAGCCGAAATCAAGAATCATGACTGAGGCACAACTGACTCAGCCACCCAGGCGCCCATCAGACAGGTTTTTTCTTGAGTTTACATATGGAGAACAGGAAGATGTGCAGTAAGCAGCCAGCATGTTTTAGAAGAAGAGATGCTGCACCGTTCCCTACTGGTGGTGGTAGGAATGCCCCTGACAGGCGAGCATGTTTGCCTTAACCCCGGTTCTGCAGCGGTGGAGGAATGCAGCCAGAAAGGCTGCCTTGCCCTGTCCCTCCTTGAGCTCTTGGGTTTCAACTTGACCTTTGTCTTCTTGGCAAGCATTCTTGTCCTGATCGAGGTGAGGCGGTGTGGGTGTTGGCATTTGGCTGATGAAGGTTTGGATTCCTCCATCCCCACTTCTGGAATGTCAGGAAGCTGAATTAGACTTGGGATATAGATTCCTGCAGAAAGTGGCCTCTCCTACACTTAGAGCTGTTTCTGAAAGTAAAGGTTTCCGCCTCTGGTAGGATGACAGAGGAAAAGTCCAGATTAGGAGGGTGGTTCTCAGCCTCGGCAGCACATTAGAATCACCGGGCAACTTTAAAAATGACTCTAAGTAACTTGAAAATACTTCAAAACTAACTTTAAAAAATAGCTGCTACCCAGCTCAAGTGAATGAGATGAGAATCTCCGGAAGTGGAGTGCCTGCATTGGTAGATGCGTGGCCCCCAGGTGATGCCGAATCACCGGGACTTGTTAGGAATGCAGCTGAGTCAGAAACCCAGGGTGGGGCTCAGCATCTGTGTTAACAGACCCACCAGGTGATGCTGATGCTGCTAAGGAAGAAGGTCAGTTCCCCCTCATCAGCGGGTTGTTGTGGCTAAGCCACAGAGCTGGTGGATTTCGAGTTCACGGGCATCCTTCTCTCTCCTCCCTCAGCCAGTGGCAGCAGGTTCCGGGATACCCGAAATCAAATGCTATCTGAATGGTGTGAAGGTGCCCGGAATTGTCCGTCTCCGGACCCTGCTCTGCAAAGTCTTTGGAGTGCTGTTCAGTGTGGCTGGAGGTGAGGAGAGTCTTTCTGACTTTTAGCCTTCCAAGTATTCCAAGGGGTGAAGGTGACAAGAAGCACTGTGTACGTAAATTAGGTAGATTTGGATTTGAAGGGCCTGCCCTCAAACAGATCTCTGCCCTGTTTGTTGATGGATAATGTAGACGCTGTAAGTTACCAGTTGGATACCTGACTAACACACGTTTAGTTTTGAAGTGGAATGACCCTTTAGTTGGTTTGTGGAGTTTGCTTTTAGCAAAGTCAGCAAGCTTTTTGTGTAAACAGCCAGACAGTAAATATTTTAGGCCTGATGGGCTAAGAGGCAAAATGGGAGATACGATGTAGGTACTTAAACATATATAGCCATTTGAAATAGAGCCATGTGAGAATGTAAAAACCATTCTTCGTTCTCGGGCTATAGAAACAGGCACTGGGCCTGTCTTGGCCCACAGGCTATGGTTTTCTGAGTGCTCATATTAAGGAGTATTTTTTTTGATGTGATGAGTATTTGACTTTTTCTTTTACAAAGTCACGTAATCATCTCTGCTGTACAGTTGTCGAGAGAAAGGTCTACCTAGCAAAGGTCTCCTAACCAAGATAGCTTTCTGTGCTGACTGATGGCCTCCCCCTTTTCCACCTGTTCCCAGGGCTCTTTGTGGGGAAGGAAGGCCCCATGATCCACAGTGGAGCAGTGGTAGGAGCCGGCCTCCCCCAGGTAAGAGCTGATGGGCTGGGAGGATACGTCCCTCAGAGGGGGCCCCTGGGGAGGGCCTTGTCCATGGCTGAGTTTGTAACATATCCATTGGGAGCACCTGACATGGCCTTGGAAGCTGATGTCCGTTTGGGTTGATGTGAAACTGTTCCGTCACCCAGCGGAGAGGGTAACTGGTACCCCGGGTCTTAACAAGGCCCTGCTGAGTCCTTGGAGCAACAACGGGACAGAGAAAGTCTATTCAAATGAAAGTCCCCTGGTGCGCCCCCAGCCGGTGCTGAGCACCTGCCCATCCGGCAGTTGATGGATCACCTCCGTGTGGCCAAACCCTCGTAGACGGTTAGCTCGGTTAGCTCTGGTGCTCTGTGGGGAGGGAGTCACCGTGGCTGCGGGTTATCGGCGCAAAGGAGAGAGACTCTTGTCCAGAGCCCGTCTGTTGGTCTCTCTTGTTACTGCGTCCCCTCCCTCACATCAGGCACCGGCCTCCCGGAAGTGAGCTGAGAGGCGGAAGGAGGCCAGCTGAGGACGAGGCAGCAGCGTGAGAACTCGCTGGGCTCATTGGACCCTCGCCGGGTCTTTGGGCCCCTTCTGTACCGACATCCCCTGAGCAGAGTCCACTTCATCTTCTGCAGCAGCTTTCGGTTCCTCCCTCCACCCAGCAGTTTCCCCTTTCTCTGTCTGACTTGTTGACTGTGTACCAAATGTGATTTCCAAAGATCCTAGAAATCTGGGGGGCAGGAAAAGAAGTTCCTTCCAGAAGTAACGTCTTTTTTTTTTCCCCCACGTTGCAGTTCTGGCCTCTTGCAACACATCTGCCTGGGTGTGCTCAAGCAAAGGGAACTTTCTGGTGCCTGGGATTCCTGTAGCTCTGGTCCTTGTGCCCCCCACCCCCACCCCCACCCATCCTCACTTTGTTTTCTCTTCCTCTAGTTTCAGAGCATCTCCTTACGGAAGATCCAGTTTAACTTCCCCTATTTCCGAAGTGACAGGTATGGAAACCCAACCCAGTTCGTTTGCTACCGCTCAGACCCCACGCCCGTCACCGTAGCTGGCTCCCGGGCTGCCTTGCTGGGCGGGCTGTGGGTGGAACCCACCTGTCAGAGTGGAGGGGGGTAGGAATCTTCTGAAAATAAGTATGAGGGCCAGGCTGGCTTCGTGACTTCTATTTTGTCAAGACATAAGGCTTAGAACCGTCTCAGGCAATGAAGAGGACAGTCCAGTATTGAAAACACGACCAGGGAAGTCCACAGGCATATTATCAAGAATGTGTTTTATATTCCAAAATGATGTACTTGGTCTGCCACCTTTCTGGGTTGGAAGGTGCTCTTCTGGGTACTTTTTCGCCCTGTGGGATTTGTGCGTGTTACTGATGTGTGCACCCTGCTCGGCCTTTGGAATCGGGGGCCAGATTCAGAGTCATCTACCTTCTCCTGCTGGGGTTCCTGCAGGTCACTGTCACCTGCTCCTGACACTTTCACTGCCGCTGTGGCTTTCTGGGAGAAAGATCTGGTGAGAGTGGGGCTCAGCAGGGACTGACAGAAGTCTGGGCTCTGCCTCCTCAGCTGGTGGCTAAGACCCCACATTCAGAGCAGACTGACGTCAGGGAGCCCCTCCGACTAAGGAGAGTGTCTGGCTCGTAGGGAAACCGTATTTGCTGGGGAGTCTGCCTCACCAGACACCTGCCCTTCGTAAGCCCTGACTGTTCGTGGGTCACAAGACATGATGTTGGTGGACAAGGAAGTGAACACCTGCCTTTTGCGGCCTGAGGACTCTCTTTTGGGTGAATCACCTCTCTGTTCTCCCCGCAGAGACAAGCGGGACTTTGTATCAGCAGGGGCGGCTGCTGGAGTTGCTGCAGCTTTTGGGGCCCCCATCGGGGGCACCCTCTTCAGTCTGGAAGAGGGCTCGTCCTTCTGGAACCAGGGGCTCACGTGGAAAGTGGTAAGGAGGACTTTTAGTGAAAGCACCTCCTAAACTTAGCCACCCCCTCTCCCCAAAACTAAACTGGACATTTCTGACTCAGTATGGTCACCTGTCATTTTGATGAGACCAGGAGGGTTGACTTTATTAGAAATTCCTTTGCTCTGGACCCATAACCTCCAAACCATGGACATTTCTGTACGTTTCATATCAAGGCCCCCCCATCCGCACATCAAATTGCCATTGTCCTCCCATGATGAACCATCTGGCCTAAAAACGGGAGACCGGCTAGGGTCAGAGGCAGGCAGTGGCGGAGGCTAGACTTGAACCCTACCTGGCCTCCTCCCTCAGACTAGCATGTTCCTTGTCTTGTAGTTACCGTTCCTTTTTGGGCACATGATCTAGTCCACAACAGGCTCTAAATAAAGAGGCTCTCACAATAGGCCACTGAATACACACTTCTCACAGCCCGATTCGCAGTTTTCGCACCCGAGGAGTGCTCACTGCAGTGGCTACCAGGTCTCTGTGTCCAGACCTGGACGTGTGGGTTTTTTTTGGGGGGGGGGCGGCAGTGGGTTTTCTGAGGCCGCGCCCAGAAGGTAGGACTTGTCACTCCTGAGTGTTCTCCTGTTTGTCCCGTCTTCTAGCTCTTCTGTTCCATGTCTGCCACCTTCACCCTCAACTTCTTTCGTTCTGGGATTCAGTTTGGAAGTTGGGGTTCCTTCCAGTTGCCTGGATTGTTGAACTTCGGCGAGTTTAAGGTATGTTTTGTCCTTTTTTCCATCGTTTTTTGGGGGTTCTGGTTTTTTGTTTGTTTTTACTTGACCCATGAAAATTGTTTTTAAAGTACCAGAGAGCAGTGGTCAGAAGGGTAGGCAGAGCTTCTAATGGGGTCTCTCTGCCCCGTGAGTCTCCTGTGCATGCTCAGTGCTCGGTGCGGGCAGGCTTCCAGCTCTGCTTTGGCTCTCGTAGATGGAAAGCAGATTCACCTCTTATTTCTGTCTTCTCTGCTTCTGTCCCTTCTTGTTCTCATGGGCACTCTGGTTTTTCTTTCTCCCTCCCTTGCCCCTTCTCTCAGTGCTCTGACTCTGATAAAAAATGTCACCTCTGGACAGCTATGGATTTGGGTTTCTTCGTCGTGATGGGGGTCATTGGGGGCCTCCTGGGAGCCACATTCAACTGTCTGAACAAGAGGCTTGCAAAGTACCGTATGCGAAACGTGCACCCGAAACCTAAGCTCGTCAGGTACCTGCTTGCCTCCCGCAGCCTGCCGTGGCTCCCTGAGCTTCGTGTGGACCAGGCCGTCTCTCCCGAGGAAAGAGCTCATGGGAACGGACTCCACTTCTCCCGCCAGCTTTGATTTCGTGTCTGAGACTAAAAATAGAGACAGGGTCGTGGATCTCCTCTATTTGTCAGACGGGCCAAAAGGCTGAGTCTGAGCTTAATTTACATCAGAGGTGCTGGTTGCCTTCCAGCCACTAAGTCAGAAGGGTCGATGAGACTCTTGACCTAAAATGGAAGGCCATTTTGTTCCTCAGAGAGAGGTGTTGTGGTAATGTAGCAGCCCATGTTCCTGGCTACCCACTGTTGACGAACGAGTTGCTAGAATGGAGCAAGTCGCTGACAAGCTCTGCACGTGTCCTGACTGACTCGGGGCTGCTGGTTGCATGCTCTTTGGGGCAGTGAGGGTTAGAGCAGACAGGGTTGTGTTTTTTAGTTCCCGAGGCTGGGGTGTCTTTTTTTATCTTGTAGTAACCGCTGTGCTTTGCTTCCTAGAGTCTTAGAGAGCCTCTTGGTGTCTGTGGTAAGCACCGTGGTGGTGTTTATGGCCTCGATGGTATTAGGAGAATGCCGACAGATGTCTGCTTCGGGTCAAATCGGTAATGACTCATCCCAGCTCCAGGTAACCCCTGTGCACCTGCTGCCTTTGTCTTACACCCCCAAAGAGGAAGAATCCAGAAATGTGTGACTTGCCTCTGCTGATAATAGGTGTGTTTGTTTGTTGCTCCACACCTGTATCAGATTGCTAAGAGCTAGAGGAATCCGTAGGAGCCTTTTCCCGGAAAAGAGAGTGTGCATGCTCTTTTTCACTTTTGTGAAGAGTCACGGCCATCATAGAGGGGAGCTTCTCTGTTTGTTGAACAAAATTAATTGGAGACAAGCTCAGGAAGCCAACCGTCGCTTGTTCGATGAGCCCCAGTTTACTCTTCTACCTCTTCAACCCTGAAAGGTGCCCACCAGCCTCACCCTCACGATTATGAGCATCACCCTTAAGACTGGGAGAAAGGAGTGTCCTGCGTCAGAGTGATCTGCGATCCGGCTCTTTTGGCATTTCCTGGTTCTTTCTTCTTGGGTTTAGGTCATTTACTGCCTTATGTTCTTTTTCTGTTTCTCCTTCTTGCTTCTTAGGAGCATGTAGTATTTTCTAGAACCTTTCCCTGAAAGAGCAGGGTCAGTGAGGGAGGCATTGGAGCTTACTCTGCCTTACAATTTTTTGGTCCAAGCCAGTGGGTCTGAGAGCTTCATGTGGTCAGCCAGATGCATGGTTCTGGCCTCTAGGGTAGAGGCTCGGGAGTGTTCCCTAAGTATCCAACCTTTTTATTTTTTTTTAAGATTTTATTTATTTGATAGAGAGAGAGACAGCGAGATAGGGAACACAAGTAGGGGGGAGTGGGAGAGGGAAAAGCAGGCTTCCCGCCAAGTAGGGAGCCCGATCCCAGGATCCCGGGATCATGACCTGAACCGAAGGCAGACGCTTAACGACTGAGCCACCCAGGCACCCCAGTACCCTACCTTCTTGCTGCTCCTGAGTAGCTGCTCGCATCCCTCAGGGTTGTTGGGAGCTTTGTCTTGGATGGCTGCCCCTTTGGCATCCCCAGCAACATCCATGAACAGCAGCATGGGTTAGATCAGGGCTTGGCAAATTGTGGCCCGTGGGCCAGATTTGGCCTTTGGCATCTGCTTGTTTTTGTGTGGCCCCTGAGCTAAAAATGGTTTTCACCTTTTTAAAGAGTGTTTAAGAAAAAAAAGAAGAAGAAGAGGAAGAATGTGCAACAGAGACTCTGCGTGGCCTATAAAGTCTAAAATACTTACTATGTGGCTCTTTATATCCACCAACCCGTGTTACTCGTTAGTCCCGAGGCTGCCTCCTTACCAGACCAGTATTTTCCAAACGCGTCCTGTGGAACACTGATACATATGATTCACAAACAAATGGAAAAGAATCCTGTGGTCTAACGGGTTAGCTAGAATTAAATGAGTTGCTCTAAGGACCGCGTAGGATGTCTACAATTCCGTCAGTGTCATGGGTGTTTGGACGTTTATCGTGTGCTAGCTATTCCAGTAAGCACCGCATGGACATGACTTCATTTAGTCCTTGCCCCCACCGTGTTGGCTGGTATCATTATCCCCATTTTACAGGGGAGAAAACGGAGACAAAGTGAGGTCTTTTTTTTTTTTTTTTTAAGATTTTATTTATTTGAGAAAGTGAGAGAGCAGCAGAGGGAGAGGGAGAAGCAGACTCCCCCTCCCCCCGTAGGGAGCCCGACGATGCAGGGCTTGATCCCAGGACCCCAAGATTGTGACCTGAGCTGAAGGCAGACACGTAACCCACTAAGCTACCCAGGCGCCCCACAAAGTGAGGTCTTGACCATGATCTCTCAGTGGTATACACCATGAGCTCGGCATTACTCACATTTCACAGGTGAGGCTTCCAGGATGAGCTGCCACTCCCACAGGCGCTGGAGAGGGGCAGAGTCAGAGGCCAGTCTGTCTGATGCAGGAGCCTCTGCTTTGCCCTCAGCTGGTTCTCTGATCTCCAGCAAGGCTGCGATGCATCTCAGCACATTCGACTGCAGGACTCTTTCCTGGGAGGCCTCAGGACCGGGGTTCCTCCCGACATAGTTTGGGAAACTCTGCATGCGTGGATCGTTTCGTGGTCGCCTCGTTCCTGAGCCACACACATTTCTCGTTGGGCAGCCCCTCCCTGCCAGGTTCCGCCAGGAGGGGGCACTGCCCCGCTTCCCGCGGCGGTCCTCCTCCGCACTTCACAGTGCGTGGGGCTCTCAGGCCAGGCTTCCAGCAGTTATCACTTACAACGTGAGCACCACGAGAGGAAGCAGAGCCAGATCCACGGTGAATTTCATTGTCGTAACTCAAGAGCCCTCGTCCCGATTCTTTCATTCTCGAAGCGTAAGGAATACAGTATCACGGTTGGCTGCTCTTGGCTAGAGATCGATTTTTTGCCACCTGTTTCATTTCCGGGTAAAGCTTACAAGCCAGACTTTCTCGACCCCACTAGAGACCTCCCGCTCCAAGACTTTGAGCGCCCTGATCAGGTATAATGACTTCGTAATGACCTCGTACTGACTCTCCGATTCTTGTGTCTTAGGTCACATCAGAAGATGTCAACTCAAGTACCAAGACCTTTTTTTGTCCCAACGAGACCTACAACGACATGGCCACACTCTTCTTCAATCCCCAGGAGTCTGCCATCCTTCAGCTTTTCCACCAGGATAGTGAGTATCTGTGAGCCTGCCCGTTCTTAGGTGATTGATTTTTTTTTTTTTCCTGCAGGGAACATGATGATTCCTCTGCCCCTGCTGTTGGCCCACAGACACAGCCAGGCTTACCCTCAATTCTGAGCAAAATAGGAGTTTTCCTTTGTACTAGCAACCCAGACAAGGCTGGAGTCTCTGCCTCCAGTGTTGGAGGTGAACTGGTTGGGGTGTGGAAGGACCTGGAAGGGGCCAGAGCAGCCCGGCGGGCCTTGGTGGCGTCTGGTGGTGGGACTCAGATGGGTTCTTGCCTCGCAGGTACTTTTAGCCCCGTCACTCTGGCCTTGTTCTTCGCCCTCTATTTCCTGCTTGCATGTTGGACCTATGGCATTTCAGTTCCAAGTGGCCTTTTTGTGCCTTCCCTGCTGTGTGGAGCTGCTTTTGGACGTTTAGTTGCCAATGTCCTTAAAAGGTAAGTGTGTGCGTGTGCGCGTGTGAGCGTGCCCGGGTGTGCGTGGGCACAAGTGTGCGAACCTTGTGATTCCAAGCCATAGTCTCCGCTTCTTTCTTGCCCAGCTACATCGGCCTGGGCCACATCTACTCGGGGACCTTTGCCCTGATCGGTGCCGCAGCTTTCCTGGGCGGGGTCGTCCGCATGACCATCAGTCTCACGGTCATCCTCATTGAGTCTACCAACGAGATTACTTACGGGCTCCCCATTATGATCACTCTGATGGTGAGTGCTCCCCTTCCAGGCCTGTCCCCGGTGCAGGGCCAAGTTCACCCCCCCAGCAGCCTTTTTTCAAGTCTTTGTTTTGTGTCTCAGGTGGCCAAATGGACAGGGGACTTTTTCAACAAGGGCATTTATGATATCCACGTGGGCTTGCGAGGTGTGCCACTCCTGGAATGGGAGACGGAGGCGGAAATGGACAAGTGAGACCATGACTTCCATCTGTTGTAGTTTCAGAGTTTATGACCTCGGGCCTGAGGGGTGTGTGCATCAGAGTGGGAAGTGGTGATTAAGATTCTGGGGTGGGAGTCCAGTGAACCGGTAGATAACTCCCAGAAACAGCTGGGTGTGTCTGGGAGCTGGGGGGTGGAGGCCGGCAGCTGCTGCGTGGTTTGACGTAGCTCCTGTGGCCTTCTGGTTGGACCTGATAGGAGGTCTCGATCAGGTCTGTGTTAGGACTGCACGTTTCCGCTAAGGGTCTGCTAAGCCCGATGAGTGAGGGCCAGCCTGCCTCACACATGCCCCGTGAAGTGTCATGCCAAAAGCAGGGATTATTCTAGGCATAATCGCTGATTTATCCACCAGCCTGCAAATGGTTTGGGCCTTCTGTGTCCGGGGACCCCACAAGGCCTTTATGGTCCAACAGAGGGATCAGCAAACTTCTGTAAAGGGGTGGATAGTTAATATGTGCAGCTTTGCCAGCCATGTGGTCTCCGTTACAGCTAGCTATAGATAATATGTAAATGAGCGGGAGAGGCCAGATTTGGCCTGGCACCTGCAGCTGCCACCTGGTTTAAAGGAACAGCCCATACTTTTTTTTTTTTTTTAATTCTAGTAGTACCATTAACAATTCAGTGATGATATGAGGAATGTGCCATGGAGGGCTGAGGAGGGGATGGCTATTCACCTGGGCAAGTAGGTGGCGTTTGTGGTAAGGGGACATCTTGTATTGAGCTGAGGAAAGGCCCACCAGTTTGGCAGAGCAGGGAAGGGCGTTCCAGGCATGGGGAAGGGCATTGCACAAGGATAGAAGTACAGACGAACGTGTGTGTTCAAAGAAGCTGGCTCAGAGGAGGGAGCCCGGTGGTCCGGGCCATGCAGGAGATCCAGGGCTCGCTCCTGGGATACTGCGGGCTCTCTTGTGAGGCAGGACCACTTTCCTCCTCCCTCCCCCAGACTGAGAGCCAGTGACATCATGGAGCCCAACCTGACCTACGTCTACCCGCACACCCGCATCCAGTCTCTGGTCAGCATCCTGCGCACCACGGTCCACCACGCCTTCCCGGTGGTCACTGAGAACCGGGGCAACGAGAAGGAGTTCATGAAGGGCAACCAGCTCATCAGTAACAACATCAAATTCAAGGTACAGCAGCCCGAGAGGAAAGGTGGGTGAGAAATAAGCAGTTCCTTGACGCACACGCTGATCTGGCGCCTGCCACACCCCGTAGATGGGGGCGCTGGTTGGCTCTCAGGGAGAATCCACCTCTTCGTTATGTGCGGCAGCAAGTGTAGACGTGATAGCGAGTGTGGATGTCATTAGGCCGTCAGGACATGTGTCCGTTGTCACCCCAGCAAGCGTGCAGATGGATTTTTTGTTTTAATCGGCATTATTTATGGCATGTAAGTGGTATCAGGAGGTTTCTAGAGTTGCCTGTGACAGAAATGGACTTCGGCCTACCTAAGAAAAAGAAGTCGGCTGGAAGCTGCAGGACCGACAGGGGAGCTGGAGGACCAGAGGCCTCCCGCCGGGCGTGCAGGCAGCTCACAGACACCCTGGAGGGTGTTGGGAGGCACGGGGACCAGCCCTTGCTCCTGAGTTGAAATCCAGGCAGAGGGAGAGGCCCTCACTCAGGCCATAAGCCCCCGTGGCTCTGGGGGCTGGGGCACGTCCATTGTCAGTCCCACCACGACATGATGTAGGAGAGGGGTTCACCCTGGAGAGTTGAAGTGCTGTTCCCAAACCAAAGGAGTAGGGAAGTTGGGCTGGCAGAAACCGCGGGTTCCAGAGGCTCAGAGAGACTCCCTTCAACCGCAAGCCCCTGAGCCACTCCGAAGATGCCTTGCACTTCCTATGTCAGCACGTGCTTGTCGCCACTGTCACCCAAATCTTTAAGCTGCATAGGTGCCATGGTGGTGTGCCCAGGCCAGCAACCCATGGCCTGCCCGGTAGAAACCTCTGTCCCCATCACCCCTCCCCACGCACAGAAATCCAGCATCCTGACCCGGGCTGGCGAGCAACGCCGACGGAGCCAGTCCATGAAGTCGTACCCGTCGAGTGAGCTGCGAAACGTGTGTGATGAGCACCTCCCCTCCGAGGAGCCGGCCGAGAAGGAGGACCTCCTGCAGCAGATGCTGGAGCGAAGGTGAGAGCACAGCCCCCCGCCACACGCACCCCCGCCTGCAGGGGCTCACGAAGGGGCTCACGAAGGGCAGCGCACTGCTCGGAGGCAGCTCCCGAGCTTCTGGGGGATTTGGGGAGTTGGTTGGGGCCGTGGGGGGGAAGCAAGATGCAATCCTGCTGAGGGTATGCTAGGCAGCGTCTGGTTTTTATGTAACAGATACACTCCCTACCCCAACCTATACCCTGACCAGTCCCCGAGCGAAGACTGGACCATGGAGGAGCGCTTCCGCCCTCTGACCTTCCACGGCCTGATCCTGCGGTCACAGCTCGTCACCCTGCTCGTCCGAGGAGTTTGTTACTCGGAAAGTCAATCAGTGAGTCTCTGCTCTGCACCGGGATTCAGGAAGGCACGAGGGTGTTAGGAGCACAGTCCCTGTGCCTCGGGGCGGACGGGAGCTAGTACGTGGGGAGCCCGTGTGCCAGCGGGCAGCTGTCCTGCAGTCTGTGCAGCCCCATGGCTCCCTCTGCTGCTCTCAGCGCCTCTCAAGGGGCACTACGGTGGGGGGACGCCCCAGTCACCCTCCCCTCAGTCTGTGCATTGCCTCTTAGGTGTCCTTTCAGCCTGGAGACTTTTTTTTTCTTTTTCTTTTTTTTTTTAAGATTTTATTTGCGAGCGAGCACACACGTGCGCAAGCACAGCAAGGGAGGAGCAGAGGGAGAGAGGGAGAAGCAGACTCCCCCGAGTCTGAGCAGGGAGCCTGATTCGGGGCTCCATCCCAGGACCCCGGGATCATGACCTGAGCCCAAGGCAGACGCTTAACTGACTGAGCCACCCAGGCGTCCCAAGTCTGTAGACTTTTAATATAGTTTCTACACTTTCTGGTATAAGTGAACTTTTTTACATGCTTTTTTTTTTTTAATGTTCTTCCTATTAATTCCCTTGTAATTTTTTTTTTTCCTTTCGTTTGGTTTTTGTAGAGATAAGCAGGGGTGGGTAGGGTGTGTTGTTCAAAGTGGTCCCTATAGTAACCTGAAGACCCACTCGTCCCCACACACTTCACCCCCTTTAGAGGGAACCTGAAAAGGTTGCCCAAAGGCCTGCTTTCCAAACGGACTCTCCTGGTTCAGCTCTTGGCCGCGGAGGCCAGCCCTGCAGTCACTTGTGGTCCTGCTGGCATGTGGAAAAGCAGCTAGCATGGGGCGGGACAGGAAGGCCCCAGGGGCAGGGGCTGGGGCTTGGAGGTGTGGTCGGTGGTGTGTGGGGCACAGGAGGGGTGATGTGGGCTAGGTTGCAGAGGCCTCGCCTTAAGGCAGAAAGTAGCTGGAGCTGAGCTGACCAAGCGCTAGGAGCTGGGTGCCGCTGAGCAGGCGGCTTGGGCGGGGGCGGGGGGGGCAGTGTGTGGAGAGAGGAGTTACGGGCGAGCCATCAGGACAGAGCGGCGACCAGCACTGTGGCCACTGTGCCCAGCCTGAGAGCCATGGTGGCGGCCCAGGTGCCCCGTGAGGGCCGAGGGGAAATCCAGAAGATTTGTTACCGTCCCTCGGGATGCAGGGATGGTAACAAAGCTGCCGTGTCCAATTAATTGCCACAAACCAGGTGGCTGCAATCAACAGAAATCTCTTCTTTTCACAATTCTCAAGGTCAGAGTATGAAGTCCACACGTCAGCAGGGCCTCGCTCTCTCAGGAGGATCGCTCCTTGCCTTCCTCGTTTGGGGGGCTACCAGCCATCCCTGGCACTCCCTGACCGGAGACAGGTCCCTCCAGCCTCTGCCTCCGTTGTCACGTGGCCTTCTCCCTCTGTGTCCTTCCCTCTTCTTAGAAGGACACAGTCATTGGGCTGACGGCCCACCTTAGTGCAGTCTGACATCATCTGAACTTGCTTACGTCTCCAGAGACCCTGTTTCCCACATGGCCACACACACAGGTGCAGGGGCTAGGACTCAGACACGTCTTTTGAGGAACACACGTCAACCTGAGACCTATTAGCTCTTCTCCCGTTTAGACTCCGGGACAAGCCATGTCCATTTTACAGGCAAGGAGAAGCAGGATCAGAGAGATTAGGAGACTCGCCGAGGGGGGCACAGCGAGGCCTGGCTGGGAACTGGCGTCAGTCGACAGGGGTCTCACGACAGAGCCCCCAGTTCTGCACCGCCTCACGCCGGGTGGCGCCGTAGCCAGCGGTGTGGACGTGGAGGGGGAGGGGCTCTCCGTGTGCCCCTGCCGCTTGCCGTGCTGGGTGCAAGGACCTGTCTCGCTTGGGATTGCAGAGTGCCAGCCAGCCGCGCCTTTCCTACGCCGAGATGGCTGAGGATTATCCACGGTACCCCGACATCCACGACCTTGACCTGACGCTGCTAAACCCGCGCATGATTGTGGTGAGCAGGGCTGTCCCTTTGGGGCAGGGCCCCCGGAGAGGAGCCGGCCGCTGCTCGTCCGTGCGTTCACGCCTCATCCCGGGTAGGGCGCAGGTGGCCAGAGGTGACTTGTGTTCTCTTCTCTGCAGGATGTCACCCCGTACATGAACCCTGCGCCCTTTACTGTTTCACCTAACACGCACGTCTCCCAAGTCTTCAACCTGTTCAGAACGATGGGCCTGCGGCACCTGCCCGTGGTGAACGCCGTGGGAGAGGTGAGTCTGACTTCCCACTGTGCCCGCAGCCACGCCTGCCTTCCAGAAAGGACCCTGCCCCCGCTGCGTGTGAGTCAGGGCTTCCCAACCAGCAGGGTTTCTCGGACTAAAAGCTTTTCTGCCCACTCTGCCTCCTGTGTGTTTCTGACGTACACTCTCCACTCGGCCGGCAGGTGTCGCCAGGGTCACAGCTGCTGCGGAAGAGCGTAGGGCAGGCGTCCCCAGTGTTCCTCTCCTTCACCCTCCATCAGACCTGCGCCTCCTGAGGCGGGGTCCACTCCCCACCCGCGCTGGGCATTTATGACGTTAAATGAGAGAATTTCAAGCAAAATGCTTAGAGAGTTTTATTTGATTTGATTTTATTTTTTTTTAATTTTTTTTTAAGATTTTATTTATTTATTTGACAGAGAGAGACACAGCGAGAGAGGGAACACAAGCAGGGGGAGGGGGAGAGGGAGAAGCAGGCTTCCTGCGGAGCAGGGAGCCCGATGCGGGGCTCGATCCCAGGACCCTGGGATCATGACCTGATCCGAAGGCAGACGCTTAACGACTGAGCCACCCAGGCGCCCCGCTTAGAGAGTTTTAAAAGATCCAACTACGTATAACTAGTAATCAGTGCTGCAGACTTTCCTGGTTTTCTTTTTTCTTAGAACTCCATTGTTTTCTTCATTACACAGTTATCGTGTGGTTGTTTAAAAAAAGAAAAGAAAATATAGAGAAGCAGAATACAAACAAAAAATAAATACCAGCCCTTAGCTCCTTTGTCTTTTTTCCTCTGCATCTACAAGTAGAGATTTTACGTGTCCTGTCTTTTTTTTTTTTTTAAGATTTTATTTACCTGACAGACACAGTGAGAAAGGGAACACAAGCAGGGGGAGTGGGAGAGGGAGAAGCAGGCTTCCTGCTGAGCAGGGAGCCTGATGCAGGGCTTGATCCCAGGACCCCGGGATCATGACCTGAGCCGAAGGCAGATGCCCAATGACTGAGCCCCCGAGGCACCCTGTCACGTGTCCAGTCTTAATGAGGGCATTGTCACCACCTGTACTAACACCCTCGTGGTTTGTGTGACCTGTAGGAGATGCCTTTCCGTGGCAGGAAACATTCGCTTACGGTATTTTAACGGGCTCGACGGCATCCCACTGGCCGGCTGTCCACTGACTTATCCAGCCGTCCTCTGTAGGGGGACATGTAGCTAAACATCACTGCCGTGATCATCCTCTTGAGGCTTTTGCTGTTTGTCACCAAGTCGCCCTTCAGGAAGCGAAACCTCTCTAGACAGGGACCTCCGGCAGAACGCTGGCCCGGCCCAGCCTGTTCTTCTGTGGGCGTAGTTACAGTGGGTCCAGCTGTGTTCCTTGAAACACGAGCACACGGGAGGTTCGAAAACAGTTTCTGGTGCTCAGCACCCGCGTCACTAAGACATGAGCAGCGGCGGCTGCAACAGCTGTGAAGACCTCTGACTTCCACAGCGTCCCTCCCTTCTGACCCCATCTGCCTGGAGATGGCATCAGATCCTGCACATTAAGGGTTCAGCCCCATAAGACAGCCCCCCCCCTCCTCTTCGGATGCCAATCAAAAGTCCAGGTTGTCACCTGGGGTTCTGGCCAGGTGCCTGTAAATTGGAGGTTCCCATGATCTGCTTCTAGAACTCAGGAAAACAGTTTACTTACCAGCTGAAAGGATGTGACCCAGGAACGGCCAGATGGAAGAGATGCAGGGGGCAGGTGTGTGGGAAGGGGTGCCAGGCTTCCACACCCTCTCTGGCACACTGCCCTCCTGGCACCTTCCGTGTTCACCAGTGTGGAGGCTCCCCACACCCCACAGTTCAGGAACTTTGTTGATGGCTTCATTGTGTATGTCCATGGGATTGATCACATCATGGCCACGGGTGATTGATTCAACCTTCCCCGCCCACAGATGGGGGTTGGGACTGGAAGAGCCAGTCCTCTAGCCACATGGTTGGTTGCCCTGGCAACTAGCTTCCATCCTTCGGGACTTTCTAAAAGTTTATCATTCACATAAACTCAGGTATAGTTGAAAGGGGCTCATTATGAATGGTAAAGGATGCCGTTCTTACTCGTCACTTAATTCCCAGAGTTTTTAGAGCTTGTGCAGGAACTAGGATGAAGACCAAACACGTATTTCCTGTTATAAGTCACTGTATCACAAGGACTCAGGTATTTATGAGCCGCAGTGGGGTCGCGGGGTCTCGGCTGCTCGGGAACCGGCATTGGGCTGCGTCTCTTGCGTGCATGCTTGAAGCAAGCGGCGGGTGATGGGAACTGAGGCGGCTAGTGAGCGTGTGCCCTGTTGAAAAAGACATTCAAATTCAGAGTTTAGCTGGCCTGACTAAAATTTCTCTTGGAGCTGAATTTGTCCCCTTGGCCTCCAGGTGACGAGCCCTAGTTACCTGTTGATCTCCTTGTCATCTGGAGACTGGGTAGCCTTGAAGTGCGCAGCGTGGCCAGCTTGATACGTCTGTCCCAGCGCTCTGCGGGACGGGCCTCTGTCGCCTCTGCTTACGGTGCCTCTCAGGGCCAGCCCTGTCCGCTCCGGTCCTGCCCCAGCGGGTTTGCTCTGCAGGTGACGGGGGTCTTTTCCTCCTTGTCCTAGATCGTTGGGATCATCACTCGACACAACCTGACCTACGAATTCCTGCAGGCCCGGCTGCGGCAGCATTACCAGACCATCTGACGGCCCAGCGCGGCCCCGCTGCCACACGCCAGCCTGCCCTGTCCCGGAGCTGCCCAGGGAGGCGGCTTGCTCGTGCCCCGTCGCCACGGCCGGCTGGGGCTGTTCCAGGACGCGGAAGAGTCCCACTCACCCACTCGCTCAGAAGCCTCCAGTCATCGAACACTTCGCCGGTCAGCCGTCCTGGGGATGGTGTTGAACCGCGAGAGCCTGGGCCTGTCTGACTTTCTCAGCAAGTATCTTCCTGTTTCCTGCTCCCCGCTCTCCTGCCGTCCAGCATGGGCCCCGGCCCCAGGCCCCTCCACCGCACACGTGCCAGGACCAGAGGGGGCGTCAGGCCTCGGCCACCAGGGAGTGACGCCCAGAGCAGTTTTCCTGCCCCCTCCTGCTGCTCTCCTACGGAACCCAACTGTTGCCTTCAGCGGACAGGAGGGGCTCTGCCAAGGCAGGTGCTGGGGCTAAGGCCAGCTGCAAAATGCAGTGAATTACCAAATTTAGGGACTGAGCCACTGAGCTCACCCATGTTTCAGGGGGGCCCTCCTGCGTCGGGACTCTGGACAGGCGCACCGGTTCATTTGAAGGGAAACACGGCTTCCTGGGGGAGCTGCTGCTCTGGGCTTGCCCCCGTGGTCACAGCCTCCTCGGAAGCGCCACCCTCCAGGAGCACAAGTCCCATGGACCGTCCCTGAAGGAGAAGCCTGACGAGATGCTCCGACTTACAGCCACCCTAGTCTTTAGCATTTCGGCTTCTCTCCTGGTGACTTGTGTTTTCCACGGTCCGTCCCTCGTTCCTCCCCTCTGCACTGAGTTACTAACTTCCCCGTGAGTTCTTACACGTGTCTTCCTGGTGAGGCAGCCACAGCCCAGGTGTCCCCCCCACCACCACCACCACCATTAGCTAAAAGCAGGGCACCCCGTGATAAAACTGCTCGACCCGACTCTGGGCAACGGAACAGTTACCTCCGAGACGGACAGAAGCCAGTCCTGCGCCAGCGAACACTACGGCACGTGATGTGGCCGAGAAGCCAGGGTTAGGACTGGCTTATTCCAGGAGGAGGGCGTGTCCCCGTCACACGCCTGTCCACCCCCCTGCTGCTGCTAGCCATCCCCAGCCCACTGAGGGGCCCAGACGTGGAAACTGTGCTGCCAGGGGGCTGGGTTGGGAGGGACACCCACCAGCACGTGCCCCAAGGCCTGAGCATGAACCCCGGGAAGGAAGCCTCTCTGTCTCTCCAGGCCGGGGGGCCCTCTCTGACCAGGCCCCCAAAGTGAACACTTGGGGGTTGGGTATTTCGCGCTTACTTTCCTCCTAACCTCTGCTCCCCCCCTACTTGCATCCACACCCTAGGCCCGTTGCTGTGCAGCCCTGTGACAGATGCGCTTTGGGACCCAAGATGGCATTCATTTGCATTTAAGCTTATGTTGGGCTTTGGTGTGTGTGAACCGTGGCAGTTCCCCAAGAGCATGGCCTGCCCTCGACAACGCCGTCCGTCCTCTTACCCTCTGCCTCCAGGCTGATGTCTCTTGCCAGGACGGCCATGCAGCCTGGGGGTGGGTGCACGTCTTGGCATGGCCAGCCCAGGTCCTGTGCTCAGCACGCTCTGCTCCCCTAAGTGAGGGGGCTGCTTCAGGTCTTTTCCACCTGACTGCGGCCCCACCCACACTCCATCCTTTCTATTTTCTTATCTCTTTGACCAAAAATACTTTGCCTTCTAAATGTTTCAGCTTCCTTGGATGCATTTGACTTGTGAAATGTGGAGGGGACCCCCAGTAAGTCGTTGGGGAAATCACAAGGACCAAAAAGGCAAACCCTTCTAAAGGTGATTGTGTTCAGCCCGCTGCCACTTTATTTTAAGGCAGCCTTCAGAGCTTGGCCACATTATTCCTTCCTTTTATTACAAGGGACACCAGTTGCCCAAGTCAGGAGAATGTGGGGACCGCCCGTCACAGAAACGGAATCCCCTCTTCCCACCCCTCAGTGAAATTGGCAGAACTAAGGTCCTGCGGGGGAAGCCTCTGGCCTCCAGGGCTCTGGGGTCATTAGCTGCCTGCCTCGAGGCCGCCCTGGGTGATGGTGTTGGACTTTACCCCTTGTGCACATCCAGTGCCCAGATACTTCATTGCCACTGAATAGCCCAGAGGTGGCTGGCAGAACACACACACCCCCTGCCCGTGAACTGACTGCACGGCGGCGAGGTCGCAGACACAGGCCTCTCCGGAAAGGCACGTTGCTTCTTGTCCTCTACCGGCGTCTGCCCTTATCAGATAAGCCCAAAGACAACCACTGCCCCACTCGTAACAAATAACTGGAAGCCTCACTCTGATAGTTAGAAACCCACGTTGTCCACATCCCACCTGTTACCAGCCCCGTCGCCCCCTGGTGGTAGGGTACGTGCGTGCGCGTGCTTGCGTACCCCCCACACACGCACACAAGCCAGAGGGGGCTCTGGGGGGCTAGAGACGGTTTGCTGTGTGCCTGCCGTCTCCCGCTTGGTGTTTCACGTTCCCCAGCCGAGGAGCCTGGGAGGTAGGGAGCCAGAGTCCCTCCCGGCCGTGGGACCTTGGCAGTCGGGAAGGATTTGCTCATGACCTTGTTTAACGAACGGTTCCTGGCTCGGATGGACGCTTGCTTGCTTGACCCAACCAACTATATGACGTTTCTGATGCAAAATTGTGTAGTGACATGACCGACGGAAAGAAAGAAACCTCTGGAAAGGCCAGAAGCGCTGTCCCGGGCCCTGTAGCATTGATGTGCAGTATTACCCCACGGCTCCCGAACGTGGCAGGCTTCTTTCTGTTCAGACTGTTGGTTTAGATAGTAATACTAGCTACTTCTGTTGGGTACATATGTTGTATTTTTTTTAATTTGCAAAATTCTATTTTTATTTGAACTTTTGGAACTTGGGAAGTTCTCATTGTAACCGTAACGTGTCAGAATAAAGTGTCTTCATCTGTCTCCACAGTGCTTGCTGTACAAGGGTACGTGGTTTTCATTTTACTCTCGCTTTCTACTATGTAAAACTCGCAGAGCCGGAGAGTAGATTTACAGTCTCAGAGGTCTCCTTCCAAATCTTTGACTTCATTCCCAGGGGAATGCTACCGACTTAATCCTTAGTACAAATCACGAAGTTCCCGGTTTTCTGTCTCCCTTCAAATCAACGCCATGTGATCTTGTTTACGGATGTTTTTCTCCTGTAAAAACCTACCTATTCCCTCAGCTGCCGCCACCCCTAGCGGGAGACGGAGGACCCGTGTGTGTTCTGACAGCGCTGTGTTTAGGCATCTGCCCCACTAACACGTTCCCTGATAGCCAACCAGAAGTACAAGCAATTTCTGGCTTCTGTTTTGCCAGAAATAGGATTCTCTTGGTCTCCGGTTGATCTGCCTCAAGTTGCCATTTCACCAGTCCTAGAAATGGTGTCCGTCTGTGCCGTCCCCTCCACCTGTCCCCGGGTTTCCCAAATTCCAGGGACACTTCCTGTGCACTCAGCACTGTCTATTCCATTTGGGGGGGACCCACTGTGTCAGTGACCCCTTGGGAGTCGGCCCAGTTCCCCACACTTCCCTCCTAGCAGCTCCCACTCCCCGGACCTCAGGAGCCGAGTTTGGATGCTTTTTCCTGTCTTTGCGCCTGTCTTTATAAAGTCTATCTGCTTCTTGGTTTTCCGCCCTTCTGTGTTCAAAGTCCACGTGGAGAAGATTTTTGTTGGAAGTGGTTAGATTAGAGGTCCTTCACCCACTCCACTCCCTAACCGTCAACTCACTTCTGGCCTCCTCCTCCCCCTGCAAAGAGTGAACGACTTCTTTATTCCCCCTTTTCCTGATTTCTGTACAAGACCAAGACAACTGGGCTGACGTTACAGAGCACGGACTTTGCCATGTGCTTCAGTCGTGCTGAACAGGCATTGACCTTCAAGGAGTTTACAATCCAGGGACAGAGACATGACTGCCTACCAAGGCAAATTGTCTTGTATTACAATAGTTATACCCAAAATGCTGCTGGTGCGGAGCTCAGATCGTAGCAGCATTCTCCATGAGCTTTGATTGTGTAGAATGTTCTCGGGAGCAATGGATAAATGGCATTACAAGAGGAAGGGACAGGATAAATAAGGGCCAGAGAAGTCAAAGTGTCAGTGGCCAGAGGGGGAGGGGGTTGGAGGAATGTCATAGATTCTGACGTGGAGAGGGGGATGTGTAGATTAGAGCATGGCTCCCTGTTGTGGGTGAACTTGGTGCCTGGTATTCTCTGCTTTTCAGAAGCAGATACAAAGAAATGGCATCTTCCCCAGCCCCCCCACCCCACCCGGACCCCTGTCCAAGCACCTGGGACCAGAATTAGAAAAAGCTGGTGGCTACTTTTTAATTACATCTAAGTACCCAAAAGGCACCTAAACGCACAGTTCGTCAACAAAGCACACGTCTCTTTCTTCACTTTGCTTAACGCAGGCACCACTCTGGGGGCCATGTTGCTCGTGAGGGAGGCTCTGCATGTGTGCAGGCAGGGGGTCTATGGGAATTCTCTGTACTTTCTGCTTAATTGGCTGTGAACCCAAAACTGCAACGCAAAATAAATCTTATTATGTTTAAAAGGAAGAAGAAAGAAACAGCCTTCTCTCTGACAAAAGGTAAACTGGGTTATCAGGCTGGGAAAAGAAAGCAAGCATACCAACTGAGCCTTTGGCTTCTGTCCGTGGTGCTGAAGTTTATTCGTTTTTCAAACCGCTTTCAGTAACAGGTGGAGTGTCTATCCTAAAATTTAATGCATGGGATGGGAGAGGTGGGGAAGCCACAGTTAAACCACTTTATCTACATTTAGCATAAAATGTGAGAAATGTTGCCAAGAGGCTGCAGCTTGAATACGGTTCTCGTCACGGCTCAACTTGATGGCAATGAGATGGGACAAAGTTGAGTGTGAGACCCCAAGGGATGAGGGTCTCTCGAAATCTGCCCAGGGCCTGGCCCGCCTTTTCCTCCCTGGCCATTATCTTCGGTACTACAAAGAGAACAGAGACAAATTTGGCTTGGTGATCTGGCCCTATTGGAAAAGTCAACTTCACAGGACTGTGCTCGCCTCCCACCAGCCCCCACTCCAGCCTGACAACCCTAGGAGTTTCATGAACTGGGACACAAGTTGCTCATTAGAAGTCACAAGTCAACCCTGGTCGTTTCTTTTCTTTTGTTTTTGTTTTGTTTTGTTTTTTGTAGATTTCTTTATTTATCTTGAGAGTGAGCAGGCGTGCGCATGCGTGGGTGAGTGGGGGGAGGGACAGAGGGAGAGAATCTCAAGCAGACTCCCCACTGAGTGTGGAGCTTGTCATGGGGCTTGATCCCACGACCCATGAGATCATGACCAAAGCTGAAACCAAGAGTCGGACGCTCAACCGACTGAGCCACCCATATGCCCCAACCCTGGTCATTATCATTTAATCCTTTGGGATCTGACAGTTCTGGGGAGAAACATGAACTCCCAATCAGCAGAACGAAGGGGTCTTGGCCCCATGAACATTTTAAGTTCCCAGTGCTCGTGGCAGTAACTTTTTTTCCTTAGCATTTCCTTGGCAGCCTGTAGCTGAGGATGATGTCATTGGCCCAAGTTGAGGCAAACATTTCGAAGGAAGTAAACTTCTACTCTGGTCTCTTTACTGCAGGAGGCATGCCCTAGTGGTGTTCTTTGACAAGGTTTGAGTCTCAGTGAAACCACAACTTCCTTCCTCCCCATCCCGTGTCCATTCCCAGCTCCTCTTACCCGGAAGCTGTTGCAACCCAGTCCACTCTGGGCTCCAATCCTGTCCATCCTGCCTCCGAAGCAGCTGGACCTCCGCAGGCTCCGAGGGGCAGCAAGCAGCGCTCTCAGCTTGCTTTTCAGGAGGGCAGATCTATCGGAGGCGTCCCAGGGGCCCCGCCCAAGGGCACCCCCATCTCTCTGGGCTGGGTTGACCTCCCCCGTCCAGGGAGGCACCTCAGGGAGGGGACTGAGAGCCACCCCAGCTTCCTCATTCTGCTCACTTAGTATTTGTGGGGGCACGACCTCCTCTTCTAAAGGCATCTTGTCCTCCAAGTGGTCCAGCAAATTCTTTACAAAAGGAACACACAGGGAAAGGGAGAGGTCTCACTCACTGGCAGAGTGTCACAAAGCCCCCTGGTCCCACACTGTGGCCCCTGTCCTGGCCCTACCTTGAAATCCATCAGGTCTGCATTGGACACAGAGCCATACACGGGGTTAGCTCCTGTTTGCCCCAGGAGCTGAAATGCCAGGAAGAGGAGGAATCTTGAGGTGATGGTGGGGGCGCTCATGCTGGCGTCGCTCAAGGAGTGGCCCGGTTCTTGCTGCCTCTCTGGCCTCTCGTTTCCCTCTCTCGGCCTCCGTCCGGCTCTGTCTCCCAGCTGCCCTGCGCCTCCTCTTTTTATAGGCCCCCGGCTCTCCAAGAGCGCAAGAGGGACGGAACCCTCCCCATTCTGTCACTTGCAGCGATAAAGCAGCTGAATGAAGAGCAGCAGAAGATGGCCTTTTAAAGCTATCAGTCCAGCAGAGCCTGTCACTGCCCCTCCACCTTGAGCAGCCCCAACAGACCCGGACCCTCAGCTGCAAGAGCCACATTCTTGTTGATTTGCCTCAAGAGGTTCCCACTTCAAAGGTGTGAGAAGAGCAAAAAAGAGTCCTTGGTTATCTTACAGCGATGCCTGGGGCTTCTTTCTCCTGGGCAACAGGACCCGTGCAGGGAGGCAGAGGGTGACGGTTGGCTGGCGCCCAGCTCCCCCAGTTGGTTTTCGGCTCAGCTGTCAGGGACTCCAAATAAGGGCGGGTGGGGAGGAAGTGGCAGGCAGCCTGCAGCTCGGGACAAATTAGTCCAGATGCTCAAGCTGGCCTCGCACCTGACTCATCAGCCGTGAGGGCAGACCTCTCCCTGCAACTGGGCTGCCCTCCCTCCTGGCAGTCACTCGCAGTGGTCAGGTGAAGAGGGAGTTATTTTTTAGAGCCTTAAGCCAGCCAGGAACCAAATGTGATGAATGTCCCAAGAATTCAGCTCCCAGTTATAAACACCAAGAAAAGTTTTGGAAACACAATCATCTTTCTGCCAAGCTCCTCCTCCTTCCTCTCTGAGGCGTAGAAGGAGGAGGGTACTTAGAGATGCCAACATTTTCATTCCGTCACCTTGCTGCTTGTGGAAACTCAGGCTCTGAATTTGAAGCTTCTAATGCCCCCAACCTTCCCGGGAAAGCTCCCTTGGCGAGTTGGCTGATGGAGTAAGGGGGAAGTGACTGTGGCACACAGTTTCCCTTAACACCTTCCATGTAACTTCTGCGAGGCCAGGAGAGTGATGAGCCACCGAGGCCTCCATTTTCCTGGCCCCTGGGGAGAAATAACAGGCAGCAAGTCTGTCCACACTTAACGCGCGCGGCCCCCATTCACTAAGCACAGCACTCCCTGTTAGCCTGCTATTTGATGCAGAATGTACTGGGCGGCAAATGCTACATTTGAAGGGTCGAGAGACCCGCATTGCAACCGCAAACAAACCAAGTTACACACATCAGCACCGCCTTATTTTCCCCATTTGTAAAAACCTGCTCTACCCACCTCTCCAGGTTGTCAGGCGAGCGAGTAATGCGTGAGCGCGCTGTGAAATGCTATCTAGTTGCAGGATGGTACTCGTGGTTGCCTTCATTGACCAGCTGTAATGTGCCAGACACTCTACCGAGAGCTTTGTGTGCATTACCTAATTGTCAGCACCACCCCCACGAGGTGGGTGGTATTAATGCTCCCATTCACAGAGGGGCAGAACTGAGACAGAGGTTATGTCACTTGCCCAAGGTCACTCAGGCAGAGCTAGGACTTGAACCCCAGGTCTGACACCGCTGTCCATATTCCTAACCATCTCACAGATGCTGCTGCCGCCGCTTAGCATAATAGTCCCTTACCAGCCCTTTCTGTGCAGTTCCCGACTGAACACACCCCTGCCCCCACTCTCCCAGGTGGCCTCTGAGCAGCTCCCTCCCCCTCCCCCATCTTGGGTCTGTAGCTTTGGGTGCTTGGCATGTGTGTGTGTGTGTGTGTGTATTACCTCAAGGAAGGGGTCAGCCAAGCCCCATGGCCTGTTGACACACCTGACGTGGTTCGATATACTCCATGGGACTCAGGAAATGCATGTGGAATGCCCAGCTCTAGCCTGACCAGACAGACCCCTCCCCGGCTGCGCCCACTCCCTGGCTGATCAGGTGGAGAGGCTGTTCTTCTGTGGGAGGGCAGAAAATCGGAGCAGTATGTAGCCAGAGGTCACGAGACGTATCTGGGGTGATTTTATTCTAAGACAGAAGGAGAAAGGAGGCCTCTTCTTTCTCCAGGAGCCTTATTCTGGGTGAGCCAAACTCAACCTGAAATCCAAAGTAGGCGCAACCCTGAATAGGAGCTCTGGGGGCCAAACCCCTCGTATCCTGATGAGTCCCTGGAATGTGCTCACAGCTTAATCGCTCAGTTGGCAGGGTTATTATTAGCAAAGAGGATTCAGTGAGCAGCCACACCGGGGGAACTGATGCTCCTTGCTGTGTGCGTCACACGGCCTGTCTCCTGGAAATGCCCTTTCAGACAGGCTTTTGATGCGGACGGCGACTTCCAGAAGGGCGTCGTGGCAGGTGCCCTCAGCCGTGGTTCTGTCGGTGGCCTGAGGAGAAGAGGAAATGCTATTCAAGGGTCCAGAAAGAGAATTTCAGAATTTTCCCAGCTCCTTTTATTAACGTCACTGTTCTTCTTCCAGACCGAAACCCGAGCAGGGCAGTAATGTCAGCTGAGTTTCTTCTACGAGCCAGAGGTTTTTGTTGCGGTGTGGTTTGGGTTTTGGTTTTTTGTTTTTGTTTTTGTTTGTGGAAGGGGAAGCGGCAAGAAAAAGAATATTCAGTTTTGTTGCCCGGAGGACTTCACATAGATCCAACACCACCTCCTGCCTGAGGCTTAGTAGGAACACAAGCCTCAAACACAAGCATTACCCCGATCCTAGCAAAGCCTTTGATTTGCACCTGAAACAGAAAATGGCTTGATGTAAACTTTCCCTTCTTTTCCATGCCCCTGCTTAACCTGGGAGAGGGGGGAAGGTGGGGGTGTGTGTGTGGAGGAGTCGATCTTTAATGCAGCCTTTAGAAGCGAGCCTGGAGGAGTGAGACAGAAGAAAAGCAAAAGGCACAGAAAACCAGATCCACCCCCCACCCCCACCTCTCCCACTAGCCCAAAAGCCAAAAGCCTTTATTTCCTGATCACTGGAAAGAAGTTGTCTTAGTCATATGTCGGAATGAGCATTGCAGATGGGTGGGAGAATCCAGAACTGAGGCATCTCTAGTTTCCGTCTCAGAGTTTCTGCTTTAGGATCCTCCATGGGGATGCTGCGGGCAGCTTTGGGAGCGATGAGGTCCCAGCAATGTAACACAAGTGCAAAACTATGAGAACCCCATCATGTCCACGGTATGATTCTGTCGGACACAAATGGTCTAATGCAGAAGCCCCAGATGGGAGAAATCGGTAAGACCCTGATGCACATTTAGGGATGGTTGTTTCTGACTTTGGAAATGATGTTCTGTTTCTTAGGCACAACAAGGAGGTCCCTGGCCCTGGAAGTTGGCGGCAGTTTCCCTAGAAAACAAGGCCCAAGGCAAAAGTTCAGTTGCTCAATCTTTATGGGGGTGGGGGTGGGTTCAGTTCAAGGGAAGCAGGAGCGAGGGGAAAAGAGAAATGAGACAGTGTATTATTTAACTGTGGCTGTGTAAAAAAAATGACCCCAAACCTTAGCAACTTGAAACAACGCACATCCTTTACTGATATTCTGTGGGTCAGGAATCTGGCCCTACTTAGCTGGGGGCCCCTTGCTCAGGGCTCTTGGAGGCTACAATTAAGATGTTGGCTGGGGCTGCAGTCAGCTCAAGGCTTGGCTGGAGGATCTGCTTTCAAGGTCACTCCTGTGTCTACCGACAGACCTCAGCTCCTTGACGACCATTGGCTGGAGGTGTCAGTTCCTCAACAGGTGGGCCTCTCTGGAGAAGTGCAACTGACTTCCTCTGGTACAGGGAGAGATTTTGTAACCTCATGTTGGAAGTGGCATCCCAACGGCATGGGTACTAGGAGATGGGAGGATATTGGGGGGCCCCTCAGAGGCTGCCCCCCACAGGGTAGGAGAAAAGGGAGTGCAAACAGAAGGGGATACACTCCCAAGCTGGCCACAGCTTTGCAAAAAACACCTTAGTGGCAGGTGGGTCATGCTGGACATCCCCAGAGAGCTTCCTGGAGCCCAGCACCATAGAATAGTCTGAGGGGAGAGCAGGGTGAGGGGGTACTGCGTTCGATCCCCAGGGAGGCTCTAACACAGTGCCACAAACTGGGGGGCTTAACGCAGAGGAAGTATATTGTTTCCCAGTTCCGCAGGCCAGAAGTCTGGAGTCGAGGTGTTAGCAAGTCCACGCTCCCTCTGAACCCTGTAAGGGGGGAGATGTCCTTGCCTCCTTCAGTTTCTGGCACCTGCTGGCGCTCATTGGTGCTCCTTGTCTTATAGATGCAGCACCCCAATCTCAACCTCTGTCGTCACATGGCTGTCCTCCCTCTCTGTGTTTCTCTCTCCTCTTCGTGTAAGGACACTAGTCCTATCGGATTGGGAGCCCACCCTACTCCAGTCTGATCTCATCTTGACTCATTCCGTCTACAATGAGCCTGTTTCCCAATAGGGGCATGTTCTGAGGTTCTGGGGGTTTAGAACTTCAACATATCATTTGGGTAGACAGAATTCAATCCATAACAAACACTTTGTCTGTGGGCTCCTTTCTAACTCCTGTCTCTCGCTGGTCAAAGTGCCAAGGCCACCCTCACCCCAGCCCTGCCCCAAGGCCATGGACTCCCCTTTCCTTCTGGGCTGTATTACCCAGCTCCTTCAGGTAATAGCTGGGGAAACCTGAGATTCCATCCACTCATGAACTGCCTTGGCAATCTCTCCTCGCCAGTTGATCCTGCCTGTTGGCAGACAAGGATTGGTGGTACATGGAGGTGGGGAGGGGGGTCAGCTGGCAGCCCTGAGAATCAGGTCAGCCCTGCTAATGCAGCCAATGCAGCCATTGCTGCACTTTCTGGAAAGTCAGAGATGCGGGCCAAGTATGATGCAGTGCACTTGTCAGCTGCAGGACTCCACTGTTGTGCTATTCCAGCACAAGCCAGAGCTGACACATCCTGATACTTTAGAAAAAATTTTCCGAATGATTGAATGAATGAGTTTGCCTTGAGTGCCTCTCCAACCCACCCACCCCTCCAAGGTACATACCTGCGTGCC